TTCAACTGTCCTGTCCTCTCCAAATATAAGGCATAAACATAGACTGTATATAGAATGGACGCCATCTGCCTCCTCGCTGGGTGAAGCCTCCGCAAGAACGGCACCCTCTGGTGACGAGCTGCAGTATAGGTCATAAATCCCGCCTCCTCCAGCAATTTCTATGGAGCTGTGGACAAACTTTAGAAATTAATTACAATATGAATTTTTCTCCCTCCTGGTTCTGACAAGGGGTTATGTTTTTTTTTATGATTGTCACTTGATACAGCCTATAGGCGAACGAAGATTACGTAGCTCACCCGGGAGATGTGGTGTTTGAGCCGAGTGTCATCACAGCGACTCTCCCGCCGAATGCTTACAACACTACTGCTGCAAGTGGTGGTTCCAGGAAGGGGAAAAAATCCTGGAAATACAGAGGGCAATTCGGCTTTAATTTCGTTAATGGCGGAAGGCGGAGCCAAGTTGACCATAGTATATACGGTCCATGGTCATGAAAGTCAACGAATGGTTGAACAATCACAACAATTTATTGACTTTTGTTCTTCCTGCTGATTTTGTTGCTCCATAACGTCACCGAACTTTCTTACTTCCTCTTATTGTCTTCATGGTGACAGGAGGAGCTTAACTGTGGTTGTGGTGAAAGGGAAATAAACTAGCATGAATTCAAAAAGATCTTTAACATTTGCAGAACTAAACACGTTTGTTGAGGGGTAGTCTCTTTATTTGGTTTTACACACGTACAAAGTTCATGAGTTTGATGTCTGTACATCCTTGCTCCCACGTTAAGTTTCTCTCTAAGCACTTATCTCTTATTTCATCTGACATAGCTCTCTATTTCTCCAACAATACCACCAAATAGAGTTTAACTGCAGTTCTTTGCTTTCTAGCAATTTTCAGGTATTGCATCTGACCCCGTTTTGGATCCAGTTTTTGTTTCAGGTTGTTCTATTTTTCCAGCTTCTGTAGCTGCTCTACAATCTTCCCACATCCTCCTAACATACCGCAGATGTATGCTCTTCTTGGATACCGGCACTGCTGCTCAGGAATCCCCACACAAACGCTTTAGATAGTAAATGTATTCAGAGCCTTTCAGTTATATTTTCGTGTGTGAGATCTTTTTTTACGTACGTCAGCGGGGCTTTTAACCTGCGTCTTCTTAGAAAGCTCGATGGCGTAACGCTGCTGATGCTGTATTTACATCTAATCCTGCCTTCTAGCTTCAACTTTTGACAGTTTTCTGGCCAATTGCTTGTTATGGCTCATTTGCCTTATTTGGTTATGCAAATGCTTCGCTTGATTATCCGACCCCTGCAGCTAAAACTGTGAGCCGATGTAGTTGCTTACAAGACCGATTTATGATTGGTTTATGGTGGAAGTGGTTGCTGTTGTTCCCCACTTGCCGGTGCTTTACTTCGGCCCACACTGAGAGGCTTGTGCTTGAGGGGGTACGACGGCAGTGCACTCCATTGCTTCATTGTTCAAAGTCATTAGTCTTATGACCTTCGCTTGAACCAGACTCTGTGGTCTGTCTTCATTTTCCCCTAAGAAACCCTCCAGCGGTCCCGTCTCTTAGTCTCCCTCCATCCACATTTCCACAAAGAAGACATTCCCCTTCTGCACATCTGCCAGCCTGGCTCGCGATCAGGGGCTGCACTCGGAGCTGTGACAAACACACTCGACATTGCCGAGAAATTAGACATGGATGGAGTTGACAAGAGCTCCTAACATCTCTTACAGCTCGGGACACTTTCCCAGACTCCGATTCTCCCCGCTCTTTTAGAATCTGCGCTTTGCGTGTTTTTTTATTTTTTTCACCCTATTGGAAATAATTACACGTCAAAGAAAATGACAATATCAGGAGAAAATATGCTCTGTAAATTTGCATGGGTGTCTGATAACACGCCCTCACCGAACGCCACTGTCTTCGCCCGTGAAAACAAGCTTGATGAGTTTATACGAGCAGACAGTTGAGACGGTTTCATTCACAGAGCGGCTGAAGCTCGAGGATCTTTACGTATTCAGTCATCTCTAATAACACCAATTGATATGAAGCCTTGTCTACCTCAATATCGCTAAAGTACAGCGAAGGACTTGTGTATAATTTAGTAGAGTTTTCTAAATGGCTCTACAGATCCGTCTGTTTCTCACTGGTACCTCTCTTCCCATGTTCTCCCCTCTCCACTACCTCTCCTCTGTATAATTTCGCTCTCTCGCTCCTACATTAGTGTGCTATACCACTGCCAGCTGAAGGACTGGGGGGTGTTTTCACTCATCACTCTATATGTGATACAGTTTCTGCCTGCCAAGCTCAGCCGCCGCCACTGCCACCGTCACTCTGTGCTGACGAGTTTGGGTGCCTGCCACGTTCTGCACCTGCCAGGCTCATAAAGAATCCCCCTGTTTCTCCGGGGGCCCGCAGGCAGGATCTGCCATAATTGTTAAGGATGTCGCGATTTAGACGTTCAAGCCAAAGCTTAGACAGTTGATGGCGCCAACAAGTTGGCAGATGGTCCATTTTTGTTCAGCTGATCCGTCAGTGGGGGTATTTGAGGTGTTAAGATGAATGAGTGGTTGCGATTTATCACAAGTGGCAAGAATTTATGGTCGTGGTCTCAAGTGTGAGCAAAAGGCAACGAGCGCTAAATGCTTTCCTGCCTTCCCAGCCAAGAGTCCACCCCCCCCTTTCCCTGCAAAGTGGATCCTGTATTGTTATCTTTACTGTCAAAATAAGGAACAGTCCAGGGTGATTTCAACAGCTCAGATTGACAATCCTGAGTCATTTTCTAACGGATATAACAGGAAATAACCGAGGATGATGTGTCTTCAAAATAAAACATCCTCAAGTCGGTTCATTTATAAGAGAACAGACTTTAACGGTAATAAATAACCCGGAGTATTTACGTCTCTCTTCACTCTCAAAGTGAGAATCATTCCTGTCAGACTTGGTTTAATGCTCTTCCTGCTATCCGAACAAACTGGACTGTGAGACCATGACCCTCAGCCCGTCGTTGTTCCTGCAGCGACTGTAGACCACTCTGAGTAAAGGCTGGAATCGGCTCATCGTTGGGTCCTATCAGGGGAAATTTGTCATAATCACTTTTCTATGGAGGTGAAAGGAAAAAAAAACGAGCCGTGTGCAAATCCGTGAGCACAGATGGAGCGGTTATTTGTGTGCATGGGATCCAAATCCATACAGTAGGTACGGATTCACATGCAGGAGACTCTGCGCATGGTTAGCAGTCCAATGTATGAGTTCTCACGAATCACAAATCCATCCATGAATAACAGATCTGTGCACATAAATAACTGTATGCACAGATATGCACGTGGCTCTTCTTCTTTTGACCTGGTAGCTTTTTGATAGATACTCCTTCAGCAAACCTTCTTAGAGTCTTTCTTTCTCTTGATTTCTGTGAATTATCACAGACTAAACTAACGCCACGAACAGACATGGAGGTAAAATGTCACTAACTGAGAATAACAGCTCTGAGACTGGACTCTTGACCAGTTGATACAACAGTTTCATTAACCAGGACGCCGTTGCCTGGTACACTTGGATCTTCTCACCTTCACTCTCCCTCTCTGCTGCAGAAACTCAGACTTTTTATCACATCCAGAGTCAATTACTGCAAGAGTATCTTATATAGTTTACCCAACACATCCAAAACTCTGCCGCTCGCCCCCTCACCCACACCCTTTCACGCCACCACAAACACTCCAGTCCTCTAAAACCTCCATCAGCTCCCTGATCACCAACGCATCCCGTTTCAAACCCTTCTCCATACCTTCAAAGCCTCTCATCATCAGACCTTCTCTTTCCTTGCCGACCTGCTCCACCCCTCCTTCCTGCACCCTCTGATCCTCAGACTCTCACCTTCTCACCCCTGCTCTGAGGACCAAGCACCAAACCTGGGGGGACCAGTCTTTCTCCATAGCTGCCCCCTTCCCTCTGGACCCTCTAGACCTCTCTCTAGACTGGCATTAAAATTCAACCCCTCTTTAAAACCCACCTGGTCAAATATTTTTTAAATCAGTTTTTACTTTCTCTTTATTCTATTTCTATTTAAATGTATTATTATTATTATTATTGATTATATATCTGGAGGAGATCAAAAATGGACCATTTGCTGTGGATTTTGGAGAGACCTGACTGGTGTAAAATCGCGGTTATCAAGATACACAGACTCAAACCGTTTTATTATGTGAACTGTAGAGTGAGTTTGCATGATTAAATGCATCTTGTTGAATCTGAGGGATGTTGTTCGGTTACCCTCTTTGCGTTTGGGCTTGATGTATCAGCCAGATCCTTGGACAACATGCACATACTGTGAATCTGATGCGGATCGGCGAAGTTTTCCACTCATGCTCAAAAATACAAAAGTTAAAAAGTGGGTGAAGTGGACGTCTGTGCCTCGTTCCTGCTCCTCCTCTTACCCTCTAATCGGAAAAACGTTCCCAATTTGGACGAGGAGTCAAACTCTGACTGATGTGGTTTTCAGGAGAAGTAATTCCAGCTTGTGTTTGCAGAAGCCGGAGGAGAACCACAGACCATTAATTAGTTCATGCATTCACCATTTGGACGCCAGCGGCTAAGTGAATGCATATTTATGACATGTGACAAGATGATGGAATGAGGCCTCCAGAAACCAGGAACAATATTCAGCTCAATCACACATACACACACAAACACACAGCTGGCTCTATTTTCAACTCCTGTCCTGCTCTCATGTCTGAGCATCTTGTCCTCATATCAACTCGTCTATATATAGCAGGTCTGTCCCCACTCTCTCTCTCGCTGTCTGTGGTACTGGAAAAGAGAGGAGTGGGCGCCCCACTTTGAATACACAGCTTTGTCTGGGAGGGCGGAGAAGACGGAGAAAAGAAAAAGGGAGAGGCCGCAGAGGAAGAAAGCGCCATTGACAGACTCCAGTCAGGCCCTGTCCCCCTCTCGCCCCATTGTCTCCAAGTGCTAGACGTCAGCAAACGACAGGAATCTAGAGAGAGGGAGGACAGAGAGCAAAGAGTCGAGGCTTTGTTCGGGGCGGCTGGACCCGTGGACCGGGTGAAAGTGCACAGAGAGGAGAGAGATGGAGGAGAGAGGACTGGACTGACCCCGATCCAGGATCCCCCTCCTCCTTTAGTGTAAACATGGCCTCCCTCCATGTCGTCCTCATGTAACTTTTACATATGAGCCTCCGCAGATGGTCATGATTCCCCCTCTCACATCCTCGCTTGAGCCTGACACGCCAAGTGTTGATTACCTCCCTCTTATCTCGACCACATCACAGTGAGGGTGCGATCTAACACGTCACATTCATCACCGCACAGAGTTTGCAAATTCGCCCCAAGTTGACGATTGTTTACACAATTAATTCGCCGGCTACTGTACGGCGCAGGTGCTTCCTGTCCGCCGTTATTTCTCCCCCTCCACTCCAAAATGATAATGTGTGTAATTTGTTTCAATGAGGGCAGGAATGGAGAGAATTGACAGTGGAGGGGGTGAAGGTGGGGGGAGTCTGGAGAGGAGGAATGGGCCGGGCCGGGGCCTGCACAAGGGGTGTGGTTGGGTATAAACCAGGGGACAGTAGGTTTTCTGTTGTTGTCCCGTTTTGAAGCCCTCTGCCCCTGGCATTCTGCACCCCTCCACTCTCTTTCTTCCTTTTCTCTTTCCTTGTCCTCCTTTTCGCTCCCTCCAGAGCGGGACTCTTCCTCGGCTGACTCGGTCTTTTGGGAGCTCTGTTAGAAGCCAGAAACCATGCTGACGTTTTTGGCGCTGGCGTCGGTCGTCCTCCTGGGAATAGGTAAAAAAAACAAAAAACAACAAAGAATAGATTTGCTTTTAACATTCATTGAGTTTTATTGTGATGATGAGAAAGCCCACTGTGAATTGCAGCTATTGATAGTGGAGATGTGGAAATTATCTCTCCTCTGATTTGAGGTTAAAGGTTAAACCGTGAAGCTGATTTTTCATCTGAAGTGCTTACCTGAATACTGATCACGATGATAAAAAGGGTCAACAGGCTTTCTATTACATGAATCGATCCTCCTCTGAAACGAAATATCTCTCTGTACACTCGATTAATACAAATCTGGGTATTTTAATTAACATGCTTTGTGTCCTAACGGGGGGAAAAGGCCGTAAAGACACCTGTAAAGGACATCCTCAGGTGTATCGTGGTAAATGGCCCGTGTCTTGTAAGCGGATTGGCTCCTTTTTTATGAAGCAGCTGTCTCTAAGCTTGCAAAGTTAAAGAGCACTAATATTATGACTTTTATACCAAAGGTTGGCAGACACTTTGCTCTCACTCAGACGGCTTTTTTCTCTCCTCCCAGCCTGTCAGCTATTTGCGGTTTTGTCAGAATTTTAATTAAAAAATGTCAAGCGTGATTTCATTGACAGTTTCTCGGTGGCTGTCTGCTCTAAAGGTGCCTGTTCAAGGACGCTCGCAGAGAGAGAGAGAGAGAGAGAGCTGTGAACTTTAACTCTCTTGGTGTTAGAAACTTAAGAGCATCGATGCAGCTCTGTACGTCGTTTTAAATCAAACCGAACGAGAAGCGAAAATGCTGCTTTCCACCCGTATTTGAGACACCGGGTGCATTTTCAGGGAAAGTAAAATATTGATTCTGCAGCCAGACCAAATTAACATCCATCATTAAATATTATTCAAGCATAAACAGTGCCTATGATTAAGCCAACATAATCTATATTAATGGAGAAAATGATGTTACCCTTTGACTCCAAGAGACTCGCACTAATATTCCTGCGATAATCCAAATATTTACAGAGTGCATGTCTGAATCGATGGAGGATCTGACACGGCTAAATGTCTCGTTAAATGGCGTGTGTCTCGGTGTCTATTTAAGTATTTGGGATTTGTTTTAGTGATTTCGAGGAGAAAAGTAATTAAGGCTTTTGGAGTAATGCTTTGTGTGCTTTGTGATCACAGTAAGGACTGAAAGATGTTCAGGATTGTGGTGACTTAGGCAGAAATGCTTCACACTCCATTGTATTTACATTGACAGCATAATACAGGGATTAGAGCGAGTAGACGTGTCAGTCAGCTCTGTGCAAACTTGAGTTTCTGCAGCAGTCAGGAGAAACACTGACTCAGAATCAAGTGAAACTTCTTCAGATGATGTTGGTGGTTGTTTTGTTTGTAACTGACCTGCGTCCACCTCCTCCTCGTGTGTCCCAGTACCCGAGCGGTCCCAGGCCATCGTCATCTATACCGGCTGGGAGCGCCACGCCCTGGTGGGCTCCGACATCCGGCTGTCCTGTTCTTTCTTCTCCTGGCGCTGGACCTCTGAGGACGTCACCTTCTCCTGGACTTACAGACCCGATGGCTCCCGGGACAGCATCTCTGTAATTCACACACACACACACAGACACACACAGACACACATATACACACACTCACAATAGGCTCCTGCATGTCCTGTACCATTATCTAACCATGTTATCATCCTGTAAAGGAATTAGAGTGTCGTGTTACTGGAGAGTTTTCAGTTCACATCCGCACTAAAGCTGCTCCTCATGAGTTCGTCATTGAGCAGACTTAAAGTCCTGGTCTGGGTCTGAACTGATGCTCTGAGAGGCTGGTTTTGGTCTGTCTTGAAGTGATGCACAACATTGTTTTCTTATGCAGCTGAATTCTGACAAACAAGACAAACCGGTGCTGGTTTTGCTCAGCTGGTGGAGCAGGCGCCCGTGTGCAGGTGCAACAGTCCTCGCTGCACTGGCTGCAGGATTGATTTCTTCTCCCAGCTTGACTTTTTCGCCTCTCATCCTACATCTACTGTCTTTTTCTCGAGCTGTCCTTTCAAAATAAAAGCGAAAAGCAGATACTCAACATGTTGAAGCTTGTTTTGAGCAGTTTGATTGTTGATTTGTGCGCATAATTAACTCGTCAGCTGCAGAAACGTCCATATCTGCCAATTCTGGTAATTTAGTTTTTTCTCAAGTGCTTTTTGTTGGGTTTCAGCCTTTATTTTGACAGGAAAACAAGGGGGATAAAGAGAGAATTGGCATGCACCAAATCATGCTGGGATCAGGAATAGATTCCTCATTTACAAATCTACCAATTCTAGCAATTACTTTTATGTTTTCGAGAATATTTTGGCCTTTAATTTGAAAGGACAGCTCAAAAGAGAGGCAGGAATCAATCCTACAACCAGTGGAAGTAGAGTTTTAACTTTTGTACATGGGTGATCGTAAAAGACCACCATTACCTGAGAGTTTTGTCAGAAAAAGATGAGCACCTGAACTCCATAAACTGCAACTTTATTACTACGATTATAAAATGTCGTTTCAAGGTCGGTTACTTCACACTTTTACATTGTTTTGGCTGTTTTTTGTTTCGCTCCACTCTTGTGCCATCCTCAGCACAAATCAGTGTCCTATAACCTCCTCCAACAATGCCCCTCCAGCTCCAAAGGACACACACACAAAGTTAGCGATCAGCGGGTGAAGATAGTGTTTAGCCTTTTGTCGCTGAGAGGCGACATAGTTAGCATAAATCATTAAGGGGAGTAACAGCAGAGAGGAACCCTGTCCCGTTTTCTGCTTATCTCCCTTGAATAAACTTGTGATGTTATTTACTTCTCCCTCTGAGAGTTAACCTTTTTATCAAATTCAGGAAAGCTACGGATTAATATTTTAGTAGGACGCACAAAAAGGCCTTTTGCACAACAGACGGGTCGCCTTGACAACAATGCCTACCTCTTTTGTCAAAAGAGGGTTTTGTTTACACCCTCGCCGCCCCTGCCAGGCACAGAGAGGGACGCAGATTTGAGCAGTGAGGAGGGGCGGAGCACTGATGTCACACATTAAAAAGCTTTTATCGAACCTGTTTAAGTTTATTTTAAAACCTTTTTAATATGAGGATACGTGGACGGATGGTTATTTGTGCCCAAATTGTGTTTTTTTTGGAGTCACTGAAATAGAAAAACAAACAGAGTCCTGTTTTAATCTGACGGAGACAGCTCGGTGTGATAATCTCTCAAACAAAACAGATTTATTCCGAGTGATTTATTTATATATTCACTGTAAAAAAGACTCAAACTTCCTCTCCTCTTTCTGCCTCACCTGCTCTTTAATTTCACTCTCCCCGGCCTTATCGTCCTGCCATCTCTCTAATCTCTCTATCTCCCCGTCCTGACTGCGCCTCCCTCTGTCCACCTCCCTTAATCTCCTCCTCCCCAGACCCGACCATCTCTGTCCCCTCCTCCCCCCTCTCATTACCTCCTCCCCTCACCTCCTTCGCTTTCATCCGTCTCCCGCAGTGCCCTCACTTTGAAACGAGATTTCTCTCCTCCTTTTTTTCACTTATCTTCTGTCACTCATTCCTCTGCCTGCCTGCCGGGGCAGACTTACAGTTTCATATGTCTCTGGATCTGTTGTCATGGTGCATTTGTCACTTTAAAACGTCTCATTTGATTTCCAGCATGTTCCTATCATGTAAAAGCCTGCTTATAATTCATGGACTCTCCATGAGCCTCAAACCTTCATGCACCAAAACTCAAATTCTGTGTTTACCTCATTATTAACAGAACATGCCGCTGAGCTAGTCGTGAGAGGGGACATAGTCCTATCGTATAAAAGATGCTTAATGAGTGAAATAAACTCGAATCAAGTTATCTCGGCTCGACCCTCTGGCTATTCAGACTTGTCTCATAAAATCAGTGCCACCAGCATGGGTGAAAAATTAGCCACTACCAGCGCTAAAGGTTAAGAATTTCAAAATAATATTAAAACCTTCATTTTTTTTAAAGCCTCGCTGCAAGAATTTTAATTACAGGTATAATTTCTACACATTTTTGTATGTGAAAGGAAAACCTTGTATTTTGTCTTTGTACGATTAGTCAAACAAAAATCAAATAAAAAAGTTCAAATTGGAAATTTTCTTTAACCCAAATCTGCTTCAGTCAATGTATCTATACAAAAAAATATTTAAGTTGAATATAAATACTGTAAAATTTTAGGATAACTTTAACAGAAGCTCTTATTTCATTGTTTTGGCCATCGACTTCATTTCTGTTTGTGGAAATTAAAGAAAACATGAAATTTTTGCTCCAAACAGCAGATAAACAAAGTTAGCTGACCTCCATGTTTGGAGTATTTAGACGCTAAATAGTCTGAATTCAACCTCTGCAAAAGTGAAGGAGTATAAGGTTCAATTCAAAGGTTAATTGATCGACATTTCCACCCTGGACCGGTTCGCCAACAGTCACGCACACTTCCTCTCACACCCACAGACAAATTAGAGAAGGTGCTGATTTGATTAAGCCTTTAAGAGGGAATATTAGTGCATCATTTAACATATAAAGTCAAAGTGCTGGATACTAATACTAAACCTGGGTGACGAGTCATACTGTGAGGTATAAGTTTGTTGTCGTAATCCCAGAATTAGACTGCAGACACAAAAGTTAAATGAGAGGGTCATGTGATTTGCCCAATTCGTGGCGTCACTTTAAAAAAGCCTGATACATAAAAAAATGACCAAACAGAGACTTCAAGAGTGCTGGGGACCTAAAGAGACAGTAGCTTTGATTAATTTGGGGTCAAATATACGGCCATATTTCAAAATTTGTGATTTTAAATAAAGGAACACAACTTAGCAGTGTGGTAACAGTGGATGAGGCTTCAGGAGTGCTGGGGGGCCTAAAGAACCTGTAGATTTGAAGATTTTTTTTCTTTCCTTAAACTCTCCGGGTCTCGTTAGGGGTCAGAATATATTGCCATATTTCATAATTTGTCATTATACATAGAGGAACACTTTTTTTGTAGTGTGGCAACAGCAGACAAGTCTTCAAGAGTGCTTAGAGGCCTGAAGAGACAGCAGCTTACATCAGTCTTTCCCTTCCTTAAATTTTTAGTCAGATTTGGGGTCAAATATTCGGCCATATATTTCACAATTAGTCATTTTAGATAAAGGAACACAACTTCCCAGCATGGCAACAGTGGATGAGGCTTCAAGAGTGCTGGGGGTTAAAGAGACAGCATCTCTGATGAATATTTTTCTTTCCTTATAGTTTCAGGGTCACAATTGAGGTCAGAATATATGGTCATATATTTCACAATTTGACATTTTAAATGAAAGAAAACCTCTATGCAGCATGGCAACAGCAGATGAGGCTTCAAGAGTGCTGAGGGGCCTAAAGAGGCAGTTTGAAGGAAGAGTTTTTCAAGTTTTCCTGAGCTGTAAATCGACTAAAAAGCCGTCAGACATACTAAACGTTGTAAAGCTTGAAAATGAGCGTAACCTCCCCTCTTTACAGAGCCAGTGCTGATCTTTCTATTTGTATTTATTTCCTATGTTTTAAATAAGCGCAAAGCCAAGTCAGTTTTATGTGTTGGTTTCATCTGTTAGTTCCCCCAGTGATACAAAAAAAAACAAGTTATTGTGGGAGTTCACTGTGAGCGATCCTACCAGGAAACAATCACATTTTAAATCAACTATTGATAAGTGATTGTTTTCTTTAAGAAGAACATTATCAAAGTTTCATATCCAGTTAGTCGAGGACTGATACAACTTGTCCGCATGCGATGTATATTTCTAAAAATATTGATGTAACCATAACAACAGGATGAGACAACTCATCAATTTGTACAATGAAGCTTAATAGCAATGACTATTTTATTTCCTCTGCCTGATTGACTCAATGTGCTTTATAGTGAGGACAGTACAAGTATTGAGATTCACTTCCAAGATGCAGCAAAGCTTACACGCAAAACAACAAAACAGAAAATCAAATAAAAACAAAGATGTCAGTCCACATATATCACTAAAAGCACAGTAGCTGTTCATGGACTCGAGAACACTTCAGATGTAAAAAGCTTCTGCAAAAGAAAAGTTAAATTGCGGAGGTAACTCTTGAGTAAACTTGTGTTATGATGGTTGACAGCACTCGTGTAGAAAAATCGAATACACTCGAAGGAGCTCTCAAAGGCAGGATGAATTCATGTCTTTATTTGAAAACACAAAGATCTGAGTTTGTCTGCAGGGTTACTAATCCTGCACTCTTTCTCTTCCAATAATCAGCAACCACCCCTTGAAAATTTCTCCCGTACTTTTAATATAATTTCACATTCCTGGCAATCCTTTAATATCACATATCAGCGGAATTCACTCGGAGGTCAGACCAGTCCAAACACTGCTTAAAACATCTGGCTGTGAAACCAATAAAAGGCATCTTCTCAACAGGGCACAGTCTTAGCTGGGTGAGTCTGACCCAAGGTCCAGCCAAGCTCTGAGCTCAGAACAGGAAAGCAGAACCAACTGGAATAAACTGGTTTTAATGTCTTTCTGAGTACTGAGAGAAAAATGCTCAAGAGTTTACACGAGGTGATTCATGGAAACGAACAAATATGAGGCAGTACACGTGGACTTTATAATGAGATTATACTTGATATGATTATGTGCTGAACTCATTACTCACTGGATGAACCGTGACAACTATCTCACAGAATATGCAATATGAAACAGCAACAACAACAACCAGAGTGCAAGAACTTGATGTGCAGCTGTGCGATGTTTCTATGTTCTATTCTATTCTGTTGATTGTGTTTCTATTCCATGGTGTTGTATTCTTATCTGTTTGTCTGTATCTTATCATGCTGTATTCTATTCGATTTTATTTTGTTTCTACTCCATTTTACTTTATCAACTTTCCTTTTATTCTATTCTCTTTAAGTCTATTCTTTTCTATTTTGTTATGTTTTAGTCTAGTCTGTTTCTCTGTGTTGTATTCTATCTTTTCTTTTATATTCAATTCTATTCCATCAAGTTCTAGTCTATTCCCTTTAATTCTATACTATTTTCTTCATAGCAACAGTCTGCTATTGGAAAATGACAGACTGTTGCTATGAGGAACAGACTGATACTAAGGGTGTAATCACAGATTCTAAAAGACAAACTCATCAGGTTACAGGTCGTCTTAGAATCTGTGATTGCACCCTTAGTAACAGTCTGTTCTTCATAGCAACAGTCTGCTATTGGGAAATAACAGACTGTTGCTATAAGTAACAGTTAGTAAGAGTGCAATCACAGATTCTAAAAGATGACCTGTAACCCGATGAGACTTTTTGTCATCAAGGTTACAGGTCAACTTTTCGAATCTGATTTAAACTGCACCCTTAGTAACAGTCTGTTCTTCATAGCAACAGTCTGCTACTGGGAAATAACAGACTGTTGCTATGAGGAACAGACTGATACTAAGGGTGCAATCACAGGTTCTAAAAGACAAACTCATCAGCTTACAGGTCGTCTTAGAATCTGTGATTGCACCCTTAGTAACAGTCTGTTCTTCATAGCAACAGTCTGCTATTGGGAAATAACAGACTGTTGCTATAAGTAACAGTTAGTAAGAGTGCAATCACAGATTCTAAAAGATGACCTGTAACCCGATGAGACTTTTTGTCATCAAGGTTACAGGTCAACTTTTCGAATCTGTGATTTAAACTGCACCCTTAGTAACAGTCTGTTCTTCATAGCAACAGTCTGCTACTGGGAAATAACAGACTGTTGCTATGAGGAACAGACTGTTACTAAGGGTGCAAAAACAGGTTCTAAAAGTTGACCTGTAACCTGATGAGAAAAGACTTTTTGTCATCAAGGTTACAGGTCACCTTTTTGAATCTAATAGCAACAGTTTGCAATTGGGAAATAACAGACTGTTGCTTTGAGCTGTTGCTAGGTAATGACCAATGAGAAACAAGTACTGAACACAATCATGGAATAAACAGTTAAAATAGTCAGGTGTTTTCTCGCTCTTCCAGATCTTCCACTACACGGGTGGAGCAGCCTATGTTGACAACAAGGGCCCGTTTAGGGACAGGTTGGAGTTCGTAGGGAACCCGGGCCGCCGTGATGGCTCCATCCTGCTTAAGAACCTGGAGTTCGCCGACAACGGCACCTTCACCTGTGACGCCAAGAACCCCCCTGACATAGTGGGCCGGCCCTCCAGCGTGCGCCTGCTGGTCTTTGAGAAGGGTGAGACAGAAGGAGTACTGTGAGTCCCGTCGGGGATCGTCAGGAAAATCGAATTCAGAGTCTAATGCCTGTGTTGTCTTACATCTGTGACTGCTCGTTAGCTTTCCGTTGAGCCCATATGGCATATTCTAGTGAATTTTAGTCATCAAAAGCCAACTGTTTTCAATTGTTGTTATAATCATCCCAAACTCTGAAATTAATCTCAATTTGCTCTGCACATCAGACTTCGGCGAGTCCTGCGTTCAGACTGCGTCGCACTGCCTCGTTTAGAATTCCCAGCACCTCCTGTTAAATGAAATCAATTACAATTTTATCTCTCCCTCTATTTGAGATTGCTATCACTGCCTCCCTTTGGTTTTTTTCTCCCCCTCTCCTTGCCTTCTCATCCCATTTCTCCCCTCTCTCCTGTCTCCCTCCATGACTCTGTCCCTGCTCTTACCTTTCTTATCTTTTTCTCTCCTTCTCTGCCTGTACTGCACTTGTGCTCTCAATCTTTCATTCAACCTTTATTTTACCTTTGCTCTCTTTCCTACTTTCATCTCTCATTCCTTTATCTTCTCTCTTTGTTATTGCTTACCTTTACCTCCCATTTCCTTCTCTCTATTAAAACATCTCCCTCTTTTCGATTCATGTTTACCTCCTTCTTCTCATCCACCCACAGTGCCCATCCAAGCCGGTGTGATCACAGGGGCCATCATCGGGGTGGTGCTGGGCCTGCTGGTGCTCATTGTGGTCATCTACTACCTGATGAGGTTCCTGGTGGCGCGCCGCGTCTTCAGCCTCAGTGTCAGGTCAGTGACCGGCCTGTGGCCTGCGGCGCTCTGCCAGTCCGGTCTGTGCCAGGGACTGGAGCTGAAGCCAGAGCCCATCCCTGGCACTGACACCTGCGTGGCCAAGCTGGCATAGCTGCAGTGTCACGATTTGATTTTGGTCAGGTGTAGGAGGTTTAGATTTGAAGTAATTCAGCTGGAAAGAGACGGATAATAATCTCCAAGTTAAATTTAATCTAAAAACAGAATATTCGATTCAAGTGCTGCAGAGAGAGCACAGATGGACAACACATAGATCTCCTGAAATGAAGCTAAAACTTATGGACCGAGAAAATCCACAATGTGTGGTTTCTGTGCAGCTGCGTAGCTCTTTCTTGCCTCATCCGAAAAAGGCCTGCACACTTAACCTTCTTTAGGTGAAACATTTCTCCTAAACTGACAAAGGTTTTCAAACAAACCATGACGTTATCAAACACTTTTCTGTTGTTTCTAAAGGAACGAAAGTAGGAACAGCTGAGCTTAAACACTTAAAAATGGTTTCAGATGAGTGAATGGCATTAATTAGTAAAAGGCTAACCCCCAATTTCCACCACATCAGTAACGGCTTCACGACAGAACAGCGACAATTTTCTAAAGTTAAAATGTGATTAAAAAAAAGCTAAAACGCAGGCCTACCATGATAAAAAGAAACCTTGCATATGTTTACATTTTCCCTTCCCCAATGTAGGCTGCTCCACCCGTGTAGTGGAAGATCTGTAAGAGACAGAAAAAACTTTATAATTTTTACTGTTTATTTCATGACTGTGGTCAGTACTTGTTTCTCATTGGTCATTACCTAGCAACAGCTCATAGCAACAGTCTGTTATTTCCCAATAGCAGACTGTTGCTATGAAGATTCTAAAAGACGAATGTAAATCCTGTTATTTTAAGATAAGAACTTTATGTATCCCCGAAGGGAAATTCAGTATATTTTATACAGTTAAAACATCATAAAAATAGCTAAAACACAGGCCTACCACGATAAAAAACAAACAAACTTGCAAATGTTGAATTTTTCCCTCCCCCAATGAAGAGATCAGGTTTAACTAATTGCTGAAAAATATCAGTTATCACCTTCCCTTGATTTAAATGTTGTTTAGTGCAGCAGACATAGATGAAGCTGTCTGTGCATGGAGGTGATTTGGCTTCACTTTTGCACAGACAGAAGTGTGTTGTCCATCTCTATAGACCTTTAAAGTTTGATCATCCTCTCGATCATGCAGATAAAACATCCATCATCTCGCTCATTCCCATCCACTCTTATGGGATCATCACCCATCCTGCACCTGGGGGCTGTGTTTGAAGACAGGGCCACTAGATTAGCTTGATGTTCCCTCCACGATGGCTGCCAGGCAGTGCTGCCCCGTGACCACTGGAGGGAGAGATAGATTCGACATCCTGACATTGTCTTTCTTTTGTCCCCTCCAGCAAACATGGCAAGAAAAAGAAAGAGGGATCACAGCAGAGACAGGCAAGTTACCTCCTCCTCTCACTCTCCTCCTCCTCTTCTTCACACCTCCTGTTTTCACCCCCACCCCTTCCTCTTCCTCTCTTCCTCACACCCCTCCATGGCATATACACCTCCAGTCAATAAACACCAAATGCAACAGCTTCTCCTCCTGTCACGTACAGGAGCTAAAAAGCGAAATGACGTCTTTTTTTGATGGGGTTACAATAGCGTTGTGTGTTGGGATATTTGTAAGGCTCAGGAAACGTGTTGTCAGAGGGAATATTCATCTTTTCTGAAGCAGTACAGCCGCACAATAGCACACATCAGACATGACAGTGCAGAACGGCACAGTTTCATAATCGCATTCCCCCCAATGCCAGTCCAGGCAGCTCAAATATGTCCACACACACTCACACGCGGCTCCTCCTTGAAGCGACGTATCAACAACAAAATAACATGTCATTCAAACTCTGCCCGCCGAACACTAATAACAGTGTTCAAGCTGTTAAGATTCTCAGCATTCGAGGTGCTTTAGAGGCTCTCACTGCTCTTCCTCTCTCTCTCTCTCTCCCTCTCTCGTGGCCCTCACTCCTCCTTCAGCACCCTCAGGGGGGCCAAACAGCACGGTGCGAGTAAACAGCCACAGGGCAAAAATCAAACCAGCGGCTGTGAAATGACCGAGGCCATGTCACGGCCCTAATGCCATTGCGGTATTGAATGGAGGCTGTGATTTGCTCGCAGTGGGGAGATGGACGAGAGCTGCTGATTCCTCTCACTGGGAGTCAAATGAAAATCACTGGGCCTATTATGATCTGGGCTGTTATCAGTGGTTTTACACTGCTGCACGCCCAGGATCTGGGGTATTTTCTTTCTCTCTCTCTCTCTATTCCTCTTGGGAGCGCGATCGCCTAAAGTGGTGGATTAATCAGACATTTTGGTGGCTTGTATTCTTTAGTGAATACATGGCACCGGGGCAAGTTCTGTTTGATTACTCTGTGGTAAAGCGGGGGCTGGATGGTTGCGGGGGGGCGCGTTGTAATCGACTGTACGCCCCGCATGCTGATAATGGGGAGAAAAAGGGGGGAGTCGGGGGACTTAAGTTCAAGGCGTTTTTCTAAATCAAAAAATCAGCTTTGAGAAGAGAGAGGCTCTGAAGTTATCAGAGGAGGGAGATCAAAGATGCCATTGTGACAGGGAGTCATTTAGCTGCAGGTGGAAGCTAATGTTAAGACGAGGCGGCGGCGGTGGTGGCGGTGGTGGCGGCGGCGGTGGCTGCAGGCTTCTGCTAGCAGTAAGGAGTGCGCCATCTACTCCCTGTGGACTAAAGTGCTGCAGAGAACTCTGGGTCTTTAAAAAAAGGAGTCTGATAATGTGATTCAGCTCCCACACACAGATTTAATAATAATACACCCAGACTTAGCCATGTTTGAACTCTATCACCGGTTTGTTTCCTCTTAATAGTTGATGAAAATGTCCGACACGCTCTCTAATTAGCTGAATATGTAACTGATTAATCTTTTCTTTTGTCATTTACACAGCGAGTCTGTTTAAAAAGTAAGGTAACACTTTACAATAACCGTAATTTATAAATAGTAAATAGATCATTTATATATGGTAAACAGATAGTTTATTGATGTTTAATCTATAGATAGCATATAGAGCATAAATAAATTGTGAATTTTACAATTTTAAAAACCGAACCCTAAAGGTCCTTTCACACCAGGAGCGTTTTTTTCGTGCGATTATTTCGGACGTCAATATTTTTTTTTCGAACCCGTATCCTGTCAATACAAGCGTTGACATCAGTGACGTTTTCGCATTCTGTGATATTGCGGCATTTATTTTTTTCGTATCACATTTCAAATTCTCTGAAGTTTCGCATACTGTGTGTCCACTTCTGACCAATCAGATTGCGTGTTGTTGCGATGTCAGATTCACCGGTATGTCCAACATGGCCGACCGTCTGATTGTTTACATGTCAGAGAACAGAGTGATTCTTGATAAAAAACACAAATATTACAAAGATAACGACCTGAAGGAAAACTTGTGGAGAGTCATAGTATCAGATTTCTCATATGACGATGGTTTGTGTGCTTTAACAGTTTGATAAACGTCTTTGTTTTAACTTTCATCTGTGCTAAGTAACTTTAGCTCGTAAGCTAACCTGTTCAGATACAACATACCGTATGTATTTTCTCATTTGTTACCTTACGTTTATGGATTATGGTTTAATGTTCTTATCTGGTACTGGCCCCGACTCAGTACATGCTATCATGACAGACAGACATCTCAACACTAGAGTCTAATCAGAACTGAAAACAGTCAGTCTGCTGTTGTGTCAGTCTTCTCGCTTCCATCCGGGACGCGTCTTTTTCCCCCCGGAAAGTCGCAAAATCGCATCGCGCTTGATGTGTATAGTCAGGTGCGTCAAAATATCGCCTCTGAGTATTTCGCAATTTCGCGTCGTATATTTGCGTCGCTCCCGGTGAGTAAGGACCTTAACCCTAACTTTACAATAAGCATCTAAGTAATGTTTGTAGGTGATTTATAAACCACTTGTTAATCATTTACAAAGTATTACAAACATCAGTTGCAACTTTGCAGGAACCATCTAAATAATATTTATAGATGGTTAAAAACCAAATATGAACCATTTACAAAGTGCTGCTGACACACATTTTAATCTAGATGTTTTACAACCAATATTTAAACCCTATATGAACCTTTAATAAATAGTCCATTAATGATTAATGAAAATTAATAATCATAATTTCATTGCTTGTTAATGGTAAAGTAACTCTTAACTTTCATTAATAAACTATGTATTTGCCATTTATTATTGGTCTTTTTCCTTTTTTTAAATGATTAAGAAACATTAATAAACTATCTATTTACCGTTTATAAATGATGGTTATTGTGAAGTGTCACCAAAAGTAGCTAAAGCTCCAGGATGATTATTTAGTGAAATCAAAATAATGCTGCGATACAATAAGTGCGCTCATCCTCGTCTCCCCGGAGCCCCCCTCTTCTTCCTCCCTCTTCCTCCCTTCTGTCTTCTTCTTCCTCCCTTCTTCTACCGCCGTCTGATTGTCAGGTTACTCTTGAGCAGCAGTCAGTTGCTCTCAAGTGCCTGCGGCGGGTGACAGTGCATATATGAATAAATAACTCGCCTCCAAAAGGACAGTGAAATATTTGACAATGTTGTCATTTACAGTTACTCTCCAGCAGAACGATGGGAGTGAGAAAAAACAGCCACTCCATTTCCGAGGCTGGAAATCTCATATTTTTTTATTTGTATTTATTTCCTCCCTCCCTTCGCCGAGCTGATCCCTTTCTTGCAGCTACGCCGCACACAGAGGACTCTGGGGATTTTTGCAGTGTGCTCATAAGTGGTTGTTTGATCAAATAGCCCTTATTAGGAGGCTCTGCTGACACGACACAATTTAGTATCAGCCCTCGCCATCTTCGTTACTTTCCGTTTGCTGGCCTTGCACTACAAATCTTTGAAAAAAAGGAGGAAGCTGCGGGTGAGGCAGGGAGCTGAGAGTGAGGGAGACAAGGAGACAAAAGAAACCCTGTGGTGTGTGCTAGTCCCCATTAGGTGGAGTTGTGGGAGAGGAGTTTACCCTGCAGCCACACGAGCTCTCGCAGCAGTGAACACACATACTGTACTGGAATGATAATTGAGTGCACTTGGTATCGATCTTCGCCTCACACACACACACACACACAAGCACGCACGCACACACACCCATTCTTCTCTCCTCCCTCCAATTGCCTCCCCTCCTTCCCTCTCCTCTTCCCTTCACATCACTTACTCCCTCCCTCCCTCCTTCCCTCACTCATCCACATTCCTTTTATCCGGTCCCCTGTCTCTCCCCCTCTCTCTCTCTTTGACTTCCTTGCTGACCATCAGAAGCATCTATCTGTCCGTAATCCCCCCTCTCCTCTCCTCCTCCTCTCCTCCCTTAACCTCCTCTCTCTCTCTCTCTCCAGTATCTCTCCTTCCCTCCTCAGGTCTTCAGGGTTCTGATCAGCCTCGGTTCTGGACAGAAAATCACTACCTCTCACTCTTCATCCACCTCTCAGTCTCCCTCCTCACCTGTCACCGTCTCTTTTTAGCATGCAGCAGGAGGCGCAGCCACTTAACTACCTATCTACCTCCCCGCCGGTCCCTCCTGTTTGGCCACTGTACCCACATCTCCTCTAAAGTGTGTGCAGCCCCCCGTAACAAGGAGAAAGGGGGGGTCTGCATTCAGCCTCAGCAGGCGCTGCCGCTGTGTTTACGAGGCAGATCTGTCATTAGCGTGGGAGCCTTGCGATACATTGAAGGAAAAACAGAGCAGTACCGTGGGATACATAACGGTAAACAATACGATGATGTATGAGGGAGTGGAAGTATGATCGAAGGTAATGACACCGGATGGGACGTGCAGCTGCCCCATCGAGCTCGATGGTAGCGGCCTCGATTGCCGTCTTATCAGAGAGCGTGCTGCTTTTGCACAGCCCATAATTAAAGATGATAAATTTTCTAATGCAATCAGCGGGGTATTATTAGACGGAGCTTCAGCAGCCTCCAGTGTGCTTCCCACCGTCTACTAACCTGATGTGCTGGAGAGTGAAAAGCATGAAGACTGAAATACTTGTTCTCTTCCAAACAGTGAAACAGGCCTTCAGGTCAGCGAGTGGAGGAGTACAAAAAGTACACAGTTACTGTAAGAAGAAGCATTACCTCCCCGTATGAGGAGAGTTTCATTAAGCTCCATCAGAGCATTATCCCGCACTTGTGCCACTTTTCAAGGGGTGAACTCACGGGTTAATGCACAGGCGCACGGCTTTGTTGAGTAAAGTGTTACCTTGACCTTATCTCCTCTCTGTCCACTTCCTCTTCATAGACTTGTTGTGCTCAAGTGAAGCCTCTCTTTACTTCCTCTTTTCCTTCCTCCCTCCTCCTCCTCTTCCTTTTATAGATTTTATCTCAGAGATGTTATTTTGGACACTGCACAGACAATATGCAGAATGAGTGGGAGTGAATGGGTGAATTATATAAGTTTTCTACTTGAATAGTTAAAGCTGATGTCCCACAGAGAGTTGAGCAGCTTACCTCTCAGCTACAGCAAAGTCCATATTGATTTATTCATGTTTTTAATCACTATTTCAAAGCGTCGTTATGTAATTTAGTAACACACATTAAAGCTTTTCGACATCTATGAAATAAACTGAAATTTATATTGATGAATTCTAATTTTAAGATTTATCAGGGCTTTACTTCACCTTTGTTTGGCACTACTTTCAGAGACCACATATACGTACGTGCACTTCGACATGATCAGCTGATCAGGTCTGTGATATATGAGTTACTTGATGTACTGTGTATTTGTGTATTCTTGCGTCTCAGTTTGACAAAAATTGAAGCTACAACTTCTGAAAATTATCCGGCAGTATTAGGGTGAATCCCTTAGAAGAGGACAGGACTAAGCAGGGGCAGAGTCACAGAGTCCCACAAAGTTTAATTTTAAGAGTTTTTCAGGTCCGATCGAGCGTTTTTACATGCTGACTCAGTATGTCCATGTGACACAAATTTGAAACTTCCGTACAAAACCTCAGAGATTTGTAGGATTTTATAAATTCCCCCAGACTAGGAAGAGGACATGTCCGGGTAAAAGAGGACGTATGGTCACCCTACACAGTGTTATCAGCTCCCGGCCTTGACCGAGTTTTCCTGCAATAATCTCATGTGGCGACATGCCATTTGCGTACCAAAACATTCAAGAAAATACACGAGGGAGCGGCTTTTATAATATTTTTGAATGATAGCGCAGTTCTGTCTTTTTACATCCTTTCTTCCTTTATTGACGTTTTGTTAACTACTGCTAAAAAAACCTGACGCATAAACGCTGTTCCCGATGTGCAAACTCATGAGCATTAGGCTCGTTTCAGTCTGATAGAAACGTTGATCTCCAGCTGCTCTATGTAGGTATCCGACAGTGTGATATCACTCAGACTCGCCTGTTTAGTCCAATAAAAGGAGTTTTTGTATTCTGATAACGTTAATGTCTCCTGCAGCTGATGGATTGTGTCATTTTACAGGGTCCTAAAAGCCCCACTCTGATTACTACTTACAGTGTTCTCAGTGGTCTTTAAATTGTGATTATGAAGTTTTAGCCAAAATCACGTTACCTGTGTCCTTTTTAAGGTCTTTTCTTCTGCAGAGCTCCAGTAGCTCATTAGCAATTCGTCTCTGAGTCGCAGGCGGAGGCGGAGACAGCGTTACTCTTCACACTCCTCTTCACGTTAGCTTGTAGCCTAACATTGTCAGTGTAGTAGAAGTGGAAGGTAACATCGGAGCTATTCAGCTCTCGGACACTAATGTCTTTAGGGACACGATGAAAGCTAATATCATAGTTGGCTTTGCAATCTGCAAACTATCTGCTTCATAGCGAGGCTCTGGGGGCGGAGCTTGGATTTGTGACATAGGAAATCTCACTGTGTCTGAACCTGCCGTTTGGGTCTGCCAGAGATTCACAGCGATTTGAATGTGGAAATACTCAGAAATGCAGTTTTGCACTTACTTTTCACACTACGTGTCCTGTAGCGTCAGAAAAATGCCGTATGAAAGTGAAGACAACAAGACAAACAGGATTTTCATTTTCATTTTCAGGATTCATTTCATTTCAGTGGGTCTTTAGGTGCTTTTGTTACCAAGTCTCAAGCATTTTTCTTGAACTTCGGCTCATAGTGGGATCTCTCCTGCTCTCCTGTGTCTTCTTGAGTCCACAGTCAACGACATCACCCTTATTTTTAAGTTTGGTTGTACTTTTATCCGTTTGAAACCCGCAGACCTGAACAGCTGATCAGTGTGCTGCAGGCCGGGGAATATACGAGCCTCCTGAAGGTGAAATAAAGCTCTGAAAACTTTCCGAACTGAGTGCACATTTACTTCCACAAAGAATAGCGCGTGTTAAAATTAGCTGAATCACATGCTCCGGCTGACCCAGTCTGCAGTGGCTGATAGTCGAGCTTTTGTTCCGGTCCTCCAGCTGGTTTCTCAACAAAAGGGCCGAGCTGACCGGCATCCCCCGTGGCTAACACACTTACTATTGACAGGTACATTATATACCTCCACTTAAAAGAAAAAAACGGGACTATCCTTTGAAAGCGCAGACAGCCTTTAAACAATCAAATTCACAACTTCTGATCTAGTTTTTACTGCAGAGTTAAAATGAATACATGGACAGTTTGATTTGCAGCCAGACCGCCATGGGAGTTTGGTCTGGTCTGGACTAAATACGGTCCAACAGTTAAGTTTCTTTTCTGATCCCTCAGGACGCCTCGTCTTTGTTTTCCACAGCATTCTGTCTTGACATCGCGTCTTCTCAATTTATGCATAAAAGAACAATTTGTGAAAGAAAAGGAAAAAGGAGCAGAATTTAAATAACAGAGTCATTAAAAGAACACAAACCTTCGGTTAAAGAGAGAGACAAACTTTATTTTCAGTATGGAAAGGTTAGATTTGAATAATTTAGATGAGGTTTGGCGTTTTTTTCACTGTCTGTAATGATGTGTGTTTCTTCGACTACACACTGAGATAAAGTCGCAAAAGCTGAAATAGAGTTTGGATGTCCTTTTTAAAAAAAAAACGTATTCTTATATTTTTTATCTACAAACTGCTTATTAAACAGCGACTGAAGAGAGAGTGACATCGGACAAAAACTCAGACTTTTAAAGTTGAATATCAGCGAGAAGAATCTAAAAGACTAAATTATAAAGAAGCTAAAAGTGTGTGTGAGTGTGTGAGTGTGTGTGAGTGTGTAAGTGTGTGTGTTGTTGTTTATTTGTCACAGGTGTATGGAGCCTACCTGCCACTGTGTCCCATCCTAACGCATGGTTACCTGTTTTGTCACCCCCTTACAGCTCTGGACTCCGCCTCCTCTCACTTGCTACCCCCTCCCCTAAAAGGACTGTCTCTCTACCTCCTCACCCCTGTCTCTCTGTGTGTCTCTCTCTCTCTCGCCTCCCCCTCCTCCTAAAGGTGTTTTTCTCTCCTCTTCACACGGATCCACTCGTCCCGCTAACCTCTCATCCTCTCATGTCTAACTCTCCGATTTCACCCTTCCTCCTCCTCCTCCTCCTCCTCCTCTCTGACTCTATCTCCCTTACGCTCCTTTCCTCCTGAAGTGACTCTCCTCCCCTGTTCTCCCCCCAAACCCCCTCTCCCTCCTCCCCCACAGGGCCCCGCGCCTCCCGCCGACCCCTCCAAGGTGAAGGCGGCCGCCTCGGAAAAGAAGAAGCAGGAGTCACGCAAGGATAAGAAATAGGATACGGGGAAGGGCTGGGGCGGGCTCGCCGGCCGGCTGCTCCAGCCCGTGCGCCAGGCGGTGGCGAAGGCCCAGCCCGAGCGGAAGCAGCGAACCGTAGTCAGAAAGACAGAGAAGGTGGGGGGAGGAGGGGAGGAAGGCCCGGGCAGGGTGCTGATGACCATCGAGCTGGAGCTGACCCGCAAAAACGGGGAGGAGGGGCCCGCCGGTGAGGGAGGGATAGCGAGGTCAAAGTCTCTCGGCCTCCTCTCCCGCCTCGCCAACCAACTTACCTTCAAGTAATACACCCAAAGAGAGGCGGGGGGAGGGAACGGTCAGGGATAAGGGAGTGGGAAGTCCACAGGGGAGACGGCAGGAGAGTTCAATCACAAACCCACCTGACACCCACCAGAACAGCAGCAGCAGCAGCAGCAGCAACCCGAGTCCCCGAATAAATGAGTCCAATCATATCAGCTCCTGTCACAGGCCGAGGACTGTAGACGCCGCTGTACGAGCCCAGATCTAAGATGCCGTGATAATCTCTTACAGCGCCCCGACTACTTTTGTCAGGTCATAAGATATGCCATTTGAAGCGAGACCTTAAGACGGCGAGGGTTTGATAACAAAATCTAAAAAGCCGCTCGCTCCCTGGGTTTTTGCCTCTCTGGTCCCTTTCATTGTGATCCTATCCACCGAGAAAGCTCTCGCCGAGTGCGTCCGATACGCATCACCAATCCCGAGCAGCGGGGACAAGCCAATTTGCCTTTTATTTATTTTATTTTTTTCTTTCTTCTTCACGAAAAAGGCGCCGTGTCAGACTCTAACTTTCTCCCCTCTCGCTGATCTCCTTTCTTTTCCTCTCCTGTCCCGTTTTCTTCCTCTTTCACTGTGATTTTTCCTGCTTTTCTTGTTAATTCAAATTACACGAGTGATTTATATGCTAACTGCTCTATCCTGTCTCTCTTCCTCTCTCGACTCCCTTCCCTCTTTCTTTCTCTTCTCTTTCTTTTCTCTCTCTCTCTCCTGTAGATAAAGGTCTGACTTCTCCATGACTGCTTCCACTCCTCTAGTCTGCTCCCTCCTTTTCTGCCCAGCCTGATGCAACCCCCGTTATTTCCTATTATCTCTACTCTTTCAAGACAGCACTGGCTGTAAGAATAGTTCCTACTATATCAGTGGCGTTGGCGTCAAATAATTTTTACGGCGTCTCATCTGAGACCCTATATGCACTCATTGGGCAGCCTGTAAAACTGTTTTAAGGCCTTAACTATGCACATAACATCCCTAAGAGGAACCTGAAGGACCATCCCTCTGTGTTTAGAGTCCCCTGAATCTCCCGCTTTAATGTTTACGACTCAATCACACACTGAGCAAAGCGGAGCTGCGAGCGCACTCTGGACTTCAGCTAGAGAAAAAGAGAAGAGAGGAGAGGGGAGAGTGATAGTGGGAGAGAAATATGATTCCTGCTCTCGGCCCCGCGTAGATAGAGGTTCAAGCCCTGGAGCTCGGGGTGATTCAATCCTCTCACATTTGAGCTAATGGAGGTTGTCGCCATGTCCCTGCCCTAGCTAAAGGGGGCTATTTCTGGCGCTATAAGAGCGTACGGGCTTACTGTAACAGCTGCACATTTTTCAGCCATCAGGAGAGGGAGGGGAAGACAGAGTGAGAGAGAGAGAGTGAGAGGGGTGCGAGTTTTCCTGCTGTGAGGCTTTCTGCTGTTGACTCCACGGCCGGCCGGCGACTGACAACCTGGAATGACGTCACGGCCCCCAGAGGGCGGGCGGGCGGGCGGACACGCTCAGGAGTCTGACAAAAGGGCTTACCAGGAAGAGGTGCAGCTTCTGTGCTCTGAGAGTTATTTTAGGTCCGGTTAATCCGCCCGCACGTTTCTCCTCGCCAACCCTGGGCTAATTATTTGAGCACGTGCTCGTAATGGGATATCTCTCCACATCTTCCTCTCTCTCTCTCTCTCTCTCTGCTCTCCTCTTTCATTCACTCTCTCATCTCTGGATTCATCTCCTCCCTCCAACCCTCTTGTTTCATCCTCTCTGTCCTTACGTCTTTGCCTCCTTTTATCTCTTCCTCTTCCTGTCTTCTGGTGACTCCGCAGCGCATTATTCCCCCCCCACAGTAAAAAAAAAAGGCCTCTACACAATCCACTCCACTCTTTAAGCCTCTCCTTATCTGACTGCCAGGCCTTCAGCTCAATGCTCCGCTCCTCTCTCCAGTCCTTCCTCGTCCTTCCTCTTCTTCTATTTTTCAAACTCGGTGATGGACATCTGCCTCCCCTCCCTCCATATTGCCCAACGATCGACGAACGCCCTCTCACTCGCCCTTCAAACTTCCACCTCCCCCCTAGAAGGAACATCCCCCCCGTCAGCCCGTCTGTCCCTCCTTCCTTCCATCCTCCGATCCTTTTACTGTTTTGTTTTTCTTTTCTGCTGGTTCAAATGCCGAAAAACGCTCTCCTCCGCCCCCTACTGGTGAAGGAAAGCGGAAAAACACGGGCAGGAATTCGCCCAATGGAAACTCATAATCCAGCTCGACGTGTGTTTTCTGTATATGTGTGTTAAAATTTGATGTCAAGCAAAAACAATGTCACCCTAAGTAAAGCAAATAATGTTGTAGTGAGGCGTTTTACACACAAGGAAAGATGTGTAACCACGGTCTTTGTATTTTCTGACCTTGTGCGTTATGGAAGGTACTGTGTGGCGAAGGTAAATCGAGGTCGTGGCGCGGCGAATAGAGGTCGGGGTTAGCTTCAGATTCAGCGCAGTGTGGCTGGGGAGTCAAAAAAGTGAAAAAAGAAAAAAAAAAAAAAGGGAGGAAGGCGCTCGCTCGCTCGCTCGCTCACTCGCTGAGGGGGGAAAGCTTTGGTGGAGGAGATCTATCTGACGTGTTAAGCCAAGCCAAAAATCCATATGTATCACGACAGATAGAGCCGGCTCTTCCCCCTGAGCTTTCTCTTCGAGGTGCTCCTTCTCCAACCCTGAGCCAAAGATGGATTGTGATCTGCGTGCTTGATATGCAGGGTGGAAAGTGTAGACTTGAATGTTCCTTTAAAATTCATAACAGGAATGGAGGTGCTAAAAAAAAATCCACGTTTATAACTGGAGATCTTCTTCACTAGTCGCTGTTTAACTATCCAGTCGGATGGATTAGTTTGAATGTTTTTCTGCAAAAGCCACACAGACACCTGACATAAGAAAAACAGCACTAAAACCTCCTTAAAAAAAAGTGTTTTATATGTATAATGAACTGTATTAGTCATAGACGCTCAATAACCTTCGTTTATTTCAGATGACTGGAGCTTCTTACCGTTTTCTTTCTTTTATATATATATTTCTTTTAATGCTTGTGATCAATTCAGAGCACTAACCTCTTTTGATGACTCTGTATAATATGTTGTAAAGAGATCATGAATAAAAAAAAAAAGCCCCGAGCGCAGCTGTTGTCAACAGAAGACAGTAAAGTAAACCCAGCTGAAAATGTCTGCAGTCTGTCTTTCTTTGGCGTCCAAGTCCCGACCGCCATTGTGCAAATCTGTCACGATTTCCTCTGCCAAGATATACTTTCATGAACTTTTCAAAAGAAGAGAGTCTGTCTGAAATGAGATGCCCACCATTTGAAGTGTTTGAATAGTCTGATGGCTGGTATGAAGGCTTAACTGCTTATTAGTTATCTAAAGGCATTTGCATACATAATAAGAACATTTCGGAGGTTTTTAGATCCGAACGACCACCAGGTGATTTTTAGTTTGGGAATTCAACTTTAAACTTTAGCTCCGTGTCAGCAAGGCGAGGACTGAAATGGTTTTGGTTCCCGTGGCGACTCAATAGTAAAGACAATGAACTTAAAATCAACACTCAGGACCACCGATGACCTTTTCACATTTTACAGACGGGCAGAATGAGGTGTAATTTTCAGAGGGGCTTAATTTTTTCAGTTCGGTGAGCACACGTAACCTTTTCAGAGGTTCATATTCAGACAGTTACACACACACACACACACATAGACAATTTCAGTCTTTAACTGGTGCAAACTGACCTGCTCGTACTGGTCAATGATGTAAACTGCAGTCTGGTTTGTCGCCACCATTCACCGTCAGTCCACGTAGATTTATGAAATATATGATTCTTTTAGGAAGATTATTTAGGAAATCTGTACTTCTTAAGTGTGCTAGATTAGAGCATACCCACTGAACATTTTTTGGTCTAAAGAGGTCTAATAAACGTCAAAGTGTAGCCTTGACGACTGGTCTAAAATCAGGCTACCACAGGTTTTAAAAATGAAAGTCTATATTTAGGCCAAGTTTAGACAAGCCAGCTAACTGTATACTGCTCTACGGCTATCATAACTACTTTGGTTAGGTACTTGGAGATCAGTAATGCAACTCACAGTTGCTTTTTGAAATCAATAGTTATCGCATAATGGGTTAAAGTGCAACATCTAAATTCTGTCTAAAAAATATACAGAATCTAGACGGTTGAAATTGGGTCTAAAAATAAACTAGACGTCTAATAGCCGTCTATTCCTCTGTGGATAGACTGTGTATAGAATCAATGCCGTCTGCCTCCTCGCTGGGTGAAGACACCCCGAGAACAGCACCCTCTGGTGACGGGCTGCAGTATAGGTCATAAATCCCGCCTCCTCCAGCAATCCCTATGGAGCTGTGGACAAACTTTAGAAATTAATTACACAGAATATAAAATGTTCTCCCCCCTGGTTGTTATATTGACGTGTAGTTATTGTCAGACTGGTTTGTGCTCAAGTCCTAATTTTTCTGTGAAGTTCCGTTTTTTAAAAGTTATTAGGGGTTCATGTTTACTATGATTGATACTTGATACAGCCTATGGGCGTATGAAGATTACGTAGCTCACCTGGGGGATACGCTGTTTGAGTCGAGCATCATCACAGCAACTCCCCTGCCGAATGCGTACAACCAGTGGTGGACTGGACCATCAGGATCACCCGGCCGATTCCAGTAAAAGGGTTTAATTAATTTATGTCCGTAGATGGTGCGCCCGGAAGTAGAACTGTGAGGTGATCGGCCGCAGATGCGCTGATCGGGCATCGTTGTCCGCTCCTGAGCTGATCGTGTTTCTTTCTCCTCCTCCCCCTGAGGCAACATCTGTAAGTGTTTTTCACGCTGTCACTCAAAGATGTGATTATTCTGAGTTTAATAAGGTCGCCGACCGAATGTACATAACCATGACGAATATCCTTCTCTAAAATGTCAAATCACCTGTCAATAAAGCACCTGTCAAATTACAGTCATGTAGCCAATGTTGAATTCTTAACATTAGCATTATATTCACTAAATCTGGCTTCAAATTTCCAAAACTTTTCGCTGGTGCCGACATTTCCGCGTCAATGTGTATTGGCCTGGACTGGATGGAGTCAAACTCTTGGCCTGGATTATGGTCCGGGTCTGCCCCTGCGTACAACTCTACTGCGTAAGTGGTGGTTCCAGGAAGTGGAAAAAATCCCGGATACCTGGAACAATTCGGATTCAAATTCGTAGATTCTTAGGAGTGTCTGTTTCCGGGTGAAATTAATAAAAATATATATTTTAATCTTTTCTTTCAATCTTTCACTCTCCTGGTGAAGCAGGTCAACTCTGCTCAGACCATTCGCTGACTCCTGAATGACCTCTTTGGTAACGTACAAAAATAAAGCGCAGTTTTAATATTAAGGAACTTTAATATGAAATTGTATTCATTGAGTTTACTTTCCTTCTATCCGCTGATACTCTGTGCGTTAAACTTTGGTGATAAGGACTGCAAACAAACAAGCAGGCATGCCCTTGAAAACCCATTTAGAGGGGCTGAAATTGAAAGAAACCTTGACGGTGAGCACTTAACATACAGCAAAGTCTGGAGCCTTCGCAGGGCCGCGAGCTCTACGGTGGTGAGAGTCCAATTTGGCAACGAGTGAGAAAACATTTGTTGGTATATGACACAAGATCATGGGCTGCATCTGCTGTGTGGGAGCTGCGGCGATGACCCACCGTATGGTGTGAATATGCTGGACTTAAAGCGTACTGCAGCACCGTGGAGGCAGTCTCTTTGGACTTAAAAAAAAGTGCTAAAATAACACTTCTTCTTTTAGGATCAATTATCAAATGATTAAACCGTTTATCACAGGATTAATTTGCAGAACAGAGCTGAGGATTGGATCTGTGCTCTGAATGTAAACAGCTGAATACTCCTCGTCGTCGTCCTCCTCCTCACCAGAAATCCTGAGGACCAATATCAGACCCTCATTATCACATTTGTTATAAATACAACACGCAATGTAGAGCGGGAGGTTTCATTTGTGGTGCCGACAGCTGTGATTGATGGCCTGTTGTTCTGCACGGAGCTATGCATGTGAGTGTTGTGAAAGGGGGGTGGGGGGAGGTTTTAAGCAGGTGCAGGTACACACACAGAAACCCCCTCTGTATATGTGTGTGTGTTGGAGAAGGGGGGAATGTATGGCTCAGGTTACCATGCCAGGAAGAGGGCAAGAAGAGGGGGAACTGGATGTTTGGTGTGGGGGGTGCAAGGCCCAAAAACAGCTACCAGTGTCTCCCACACGTGGGGGCGGGAGGTCTCAGCTGTGGCGAGGCCCGGAGTCCTGTCCTTCACATTATAACCTGCCGACGCCTGGACGTCCAACATGGGGAAAGGGGTGAGTCCTCCTCTAATTTAAACAACTTAAAGAGACAGACACTTTGACTTATCCTTCTGTTATTTAATTAAGCTGTTCTCTGTTTTAAATCAGCTGATAGACTTGTGTATGTACAGTAAGAGCATATGGTGTGGACACGCATCGTGGAAAAACACTGCATGCATGCAGGGTTGGATTTCTCACAGCATCACAGTGCTGCTTCTTTTTTTTTCTTTTTTTACTCCAAAGACAGAAACATCTCTGGATGATAGCTTTTCCCCTCAATAAGTTTTGTTCCTAGCTTGCTGTTTACTTGCGTAATTACGTAATTTAGTTTTTATTCTCTCCATCAGGCCCATTCCATTTAGCTTTATGGGAGGACAGGCTGGTAATCTTCCTCACACACAGTGGGAAAGAAATTGCTATGCCAGACACATTTCAGGCCCTCCACCGGCTCCGTGCTCCCTCTTTGGCTTTTTTTGATTACTTTTTTTTTTTTTTCCACTGTGTCACTCGCTCGCGCTCTCCCCTCGTTCTCCCGACGTATCCCTCACTCACTGACATGCACACGTGCTGCTAAGAGGAGACTGACAGCAGCAGATGATTTCCATGATGCACCATTCTTCCAACTGTTCCTGACACACACACACACAAACAACTCACACACACTCTTTCTCTATCTCGCTCGCACAAAACGAGGAACCCACGCCATGAGGGGGAAATATTTTCTCCTCCGTATTCAGTGAAAGGTTTGCCAATAGTGCCAGGAGATTGAAATGAACCAGCGTACACAAAGTCCATTGTGCGCACACTGATGTTGTAGTACATGGCTATGAATGTAAATGTGCGGGCACAATGTGGCGACAAACGTGACTTCTTGCCTCCTGCTTTCTGTGGAGGGTTTACGGCGGTAGCATCTGGGCCTGATGGAGTGAAAACACACATACTAGTCCTTAAATCACAAGTGCAGACACCGGTAGGAGCTGAAGCGCTGATTTAACTTCCTAGCTTGAATAAAAGTTTAAAAAAGGCAGACTCTTCTGAAGGACATCACCACCAGCTGTCTTTGTGCGATGCTAACTAAACTCTTTCTCGTTTTTTTGAGGCCTCTTAAACCAAAACTGTTGCACCTGAAGCTGGTAGATGTCTACGTTTTGTTGTTTTACACAGAAGAGAAAATGGATGACTGTTTATTCTGACAAACAAACAGTAAAACATGTAAAAGGGACTTCCAGCTGTAGCTCCTCTCTGACAGTAAAAACAGGGGGACTTTCGCTTGTTATTCACCATTAAGTAGAAAATTAGCAATATGGTAGATCTGCCTTTTGAACGGATTGGAACAACAAATAAAAACAACATATTTACCAAACTAATTATACATAGAAGTGTATGAGTCTGAGGTGTCGATTGCACACATTCAGAAATTCATGACAAGTAGCACCTTTGAAAAAAACAGGCGTAGTTAGACATGTCAGAAAAAAGTTTTAAAAAATTCTTCTTATGCAGGATAACATCAGCGAAACTTAAACCCTTTGTGCACAGGGGGCGCCAAATCCACACAAACCAAAATTTCCTTACAGGAACTGTAATGGGGCGCTCACACCAAACGCGAGTAAAATCATCTACTTTCTTAATTCGTGCTAATCTGGACACCTGAATGAATTGTATTTAACTTATATTCAACGGTGATTTCAGTGGTAATCTCTGCCAACTCAACCGTGGGATCAGGTGATAGACAAAGGTTTTTTACAATTTACCAGGTAATCCGACCTCCTCACTCTCTGTCCTTCATGCGAGCTCCTTTTTATTTCGGTTTCGATTATTGGAAGAAGAAGGTATCATATAATTCGGGGCACCCACACACAGACATAATCAGTTTGTCCTCCATTTTAGATACCAGTGAACAACTGTCCGTTTTTATATGTCACTCGGCAACCTTTGTGCTGATTAATTATCGCGACGCAAATATACCCTCAAGTTGAGACATGTTAACGGTGCGTTTGAGTTACCTCGGAAGTCAGAAGTCGGAGCTGAAAATGACCTCACACCCAAGTTATCAGCGTTTTAGTTACCAAGTCGGACAAAAAGTGAAATCGGAGGCAGAGACAAGATGGCTACATCTACAAAAGTTATTTTAGCGCTTGTCTTGTCAGAATATAAGGCAAGTGCTAAAATAACTTTCGTAGATGAGGCCATCTTGTTTCAGGCCTCCGATTTTGCTTTTTTCCAACTTGGAAACTGAAACGCTGGTAACTCGGATGTGATGTCATTTTCAGCTCGGACTTCTGACTTCCGAGGTAACTTGAACACAGCATTAGCTTCCGCCCAATTTCCATCATTCAGTGTAGTAGGAGCTTCTAATCGTGTCTTTACATTAACTTAGCATGTAATCCATTTGCGCGAGTAAAATCATGCGCTTGGTGTGTGAAGACATTTTTTGGAGGTTATGTTATTTATATGTTCTACCGCTGGATGTCACCCTCGGGTCTCAATAGGTGGGCTTATTTAGGTAGGAACCTTTGTGCAGGTGACAGGTGTTTTTTGACCGCGACACCAGCTCTGTAAGATCGTTGGTTGCCGGATTATTTATGGAATACTGTGAACACATTGTTGGACATTGACACTGTGGTGAGCAATAAATGATCCTTAAAGGAAGAAGAATTCAGACATTTTTATTTTCATCCAGAGTAAACACAGCTTTCAATCACTAAATTAATCATTTCTATATGCTGTACCCTTAAAGTATTTACATGTTACATGTTGGTGCAGATTTGGAGATTAATAAAACTCCTTAGAACAGAGTTTGATAAATTAGAGGATCGACTGTGTCAACAAAGTCAGGATAAGTGAGGAGCCATACAAAAGAGGAGAGTTGGAGTAAAATTAACCAAACAAAAAAACACCAACAGAGAAGAAATTCAGGACTTTAATGACTGTAACTAAAATCAGCACTGGTGCACATGGAACTTTGGAGATCCTTAAATCCTCTAATGTGAAATTAAAGCAAGAAAGCAAAAGATGAATACACCTTTGACTGTCGTTTATCACTTTGAGAAACTTTGGAGAAAAGCACTAAAACAAAGACAGAAAAGTTATCAAAGCTCTTTTTTAGCTGGATTTGAAATAGATTGAATTGATATTAGTCATCTTAATGAGCTCTTACATCAAATTGATGAGAAATTAGTCTTATTTTTTGTTATTTTGGATCCCTGAACCTGCTGCTGTTTGGTACTACACACTGTCAAAACACTTTGTTTACATTTTTACTGTTAAAGACAGCAGGATGATGATTCTTCACTTGAAAATACAGCTTTCACAAGTGTAAAACAATATAAGTGAAGAGGCACTAGTTTGCCTACAGGTGGCGCCAAAATCAACACAAAGTAAGAGTCGCCTATGGTAGCTTTAACTTTAACTTTGATCTGAGTTGCAGATCTGTGAGACTGGATCCTTCATGAAGCTTCTGATTGAGTTTAAACTACTGACTTAGACTTCCAGGAGTGCGCAGTAAAAATAATCAACGTTACCCCTCACATGCATGAAGCTTAAAGCCTGTTTTTTTAAATATAAGGTCTCAAAGTTCAGGTGTGAAGACGGAGCATTAAGTTGTCAGAGAAATAAACACTTTAAAGTCGACTTAAAGCTATTTTGAGTGGGTTTTTTTTGCAGCCTGTGCGCTCAAAGTTATTCCTGGAGAAAAATCTCACCTTGCAGCTTTTATCTGTCTAATGTACCTCTCAGTGTGAAAGAGTGCAGAGAGCGAAAACAAACAAAGACTCTTACAGTCTTCTAGCTCTAAATCACTTCATCAGAGTCTGACCCAAGGGCAGAGGTGACAGGCATTAAAACAAAGATTGAAAACACTCGCGATAAAGTGGCGTCAGTCTTTGTTATTTAACCACATAAGGACTCTTTAAACTTCAAGCACAGTTACTGAGAATTGGTACTTTCTGCTTTTAATGCTAACCTGTCTCTCTCTCTCTCTCTCTCTCTCCCCACCTCTGCAGTGTGGTGCCGAAAATGGAGGCAAGAGGAAGAAGAAGGACAGGGATTTGGATGAGCTGAAGAAGGAAGTGGCCTTGGTAAGAAAAACAAGCTGTCAGAGCTCCAGCCCACACTCACTCTGCTCCGTGATTGATTCCATCGCCGCTGCTCCCAAACCATCCCCAAATAGCGCCACGCTGAAGACACCAGGTTATTTAACAAGGCTATAAATGAAAACCCTGGCCTGTAAACAAAAATGGCAGTCCAACCTGCTTAGTGTAGTCGCTTGTAGATGAGCAGTAAGAGAGCCTGTCCTCTCCTATCTCCTCCTCCTCCTCCCTCTGGCTGCTCCTCTTTGTGCACAGAGAGATACTGAATAATTTGTGGGCCACCAGCAGTGTACTGCAGAGTTTTTGTCTCGAGCAGAGCTGTAGCTCTTTGAGGTGCTGTCAAGACGCAGCCAAGCGATGCCCAAGAAAACTGGGGTAAGTTTGGCTGCACACAGCATCTCTGATAAAGCCGCGCTTGTCACTTATCAAGTTGGCCTGTGACTGATTAAAGGGACGAATTCCCTTGATGCTGTCAGCAGTACAGGACTAGTTTTGTGATTAAGTGTTTGTATTTAAGTCTCACCATCTGGAAGTGATATCCTACATTTCTGACCCAGAAAGCCTTCGAGCAACCGAAGCGAGCCCGCTTTAAAACTCAACTTGTCAAACGCGGCTTCTTGATCTGCGCCGAAATATGTCAAAATACGAAGCAACTAATGTAACCGCCGCCGCTCTCTAACTTTTGGTGTATAGCGTGGGGTTTTCAGCCATTAATCAATATGAAAATCAGTGTTTTAGCGTAATACTAAAACCGCCCTTAAAGCAGTGTAACTCCTAAGTTTTAATGCCCTCCTCATAAAAGTCACATTAAAAAAAGCAGAATGACTATAATCCAGGAGAGGTCGGTATCTTAATGAAACACAGAATGAGGCCTATAAGTTACATGCACTTCACACATGTTTACAAAGTTTGCACCAAGAGATCTCAGGGTTTCAACTCTGAGGTTCAGTTTTGGGTTGTAGGGTAGGTAAAACTACCCTAAAACTGACCCTCATCAGAGACCAGAGGGTTTGACCCCCTGTTGTTTAGTGTCTACTAATAACTTTATTTATAAAGAACTTTTAAAAACAAGAGTTTACAAAGACGTGGGGAAACAACGATGAAAGATAAAAACAACAAGAGAAGACTAGACAAGTCTAAAACCCAGACGACATGTCCTAATGAGACACTATTGGGAATAAAAAAATAAAATAAAATAAAATACAATGAAAATATGTGGAATCACCTGAGCTGAGACCTCATTAAAAAAGACATCACAAGAACCCGCAATACCGGGCCAACGCAGGAACCCTACTACAAAAAACTCAGACCAAGGGGACTGAACTTTAGAAAGGCATGAAAAAAAGACGGAATAAAAACTAAAAACATTGAAGGTGTGGTAGTCAGGATCTGAGGAAGTGCCAGTTTTTAGGAGAAATCTTGAATGTACTGTCATATATTGTAGCACGCTAACTTTGTTTGGGCTCCTGGCTGACACGGGGGAGGAGCGTCCGCCTCACAGCCAATCAGGTCGAGGGAGGCGGAGAATAGCTTTATTTATAGTCAGAAAGAGCGGAGCGCTCTGACATTTTAAAATGTTGACTACATAGACATAACAAAACACAGCGATATCGTGAAATTAGATAGATAGATAGACAGACAGACCTTTATTGTCCCTGGGGGGAAATTCATTTTCACAGACACTGGCATGGACACATAGACTTAAGGACAACAAGGCATGTCACAAAATAAGAGACAGGGGGCACACAGGACAACACTATACTAACAATAAGGACAGGACAACACACATGCAGATTAGGCAGGGGATTATCTCTGCAAACTATTCAGGGCAGCGATTGCAGAAGAGACAAAGCTCTTGCTGATTACCAAATGTCGTAAATGACTAATATCTATTGACTGATATTAAAAGCTTTTTTGTATATACACCACAAAAAAGATGCTTCCTTAACGGATTCCTGCCTAAAACTAAATGTAAAGGATTAAGTCAGAGGAAGAGAAAGTGATATAAGTCGACATTAGATTAAAACAAGTCCATAAAAGTGCGTTTTAAGAAGTGATTTAAAAGCAGTGACTGATTCTGCACGCCTTATCTTCTTGCGGAGGTTGTTCCAAAGTCGAGGGGCCCTTTAGTGCCTTAAAAGTATTGAGTAAAATCTTCAAATCAATTCTAAAATGAGCTGAAAGCCGATGCTGAAGTAAGGGTGATGTGATATCATCTGTTAAGAAAACCTTGTTTATTGAACATCATGTACGCTAGTTGCCACATTCATGTTACTTTACAATAACATGTGTGACAGTACTCATAAATCCCCGACCCTGAGGCCCTCTGAGCATAAACGGCCCTACATGGTAAACTAAAGACTGCTGCATTTCCGAGAATGGTGAAAAGTTTAATATTTGTCTGCGAGCTTCACTGGAAATGAGCAGAAATGACAGAATGTAACTTATTTAAAAACACTAAAGACTGATCTCACGGTGACACTCTGATCGTTATTTTCTTGAAGCTTCGGGCCGCAGAACCAAAACTGCACAATTTAATGAGTCGGACATGTTGCCTGCAGACGACGCCTGATCCGGTTTGGTTGTAGAGTAAAAAAAACAAACTGTTGCATCATCACAGGAGCTGGCTGTTGATCGTGTCCAAATCACTTCCTCCACATTTTATTGAATAATTTGAAGCTGCAGGGAAGGAGACAGGCGGGTGTTTTTACTGTATTATGAGGACATAACTCCTCAGTCTGTGGAGCCGACACCCTGCCGACAGATGAAATTTTTGTTGCTCCAGACAAGAACCAAACTCCTTCGTCGCCGCGGGGGGAGACGCCTCAATATGGTCACCTACAAGGAATAATTAATTTAGATTTTATTTGACATTTAAAGGAGAGAATATGAATAAATAAGCGCAGTAAAATCTGGAACTTAATCACACTCTTTAACGGTGTCAGATGTGGTCTGTTTTTGGAGTCTCTCAGGTTTAATTGGTCTTCTTTTATGACTGTTTTGATTACGTTTCGCAAAACTCACCAAGATAAGCGCCTGTGCAGAGCAGTGGTAATTTGTGATGCTGCTAAATGGAGTTTATACTCCACAAGTATGGCAGGTGAACTCAATATACAATATGTAGATTACTGTGAGGAACAGACTCACCATCCTCTATTGCTGACTAATCGTCATCTGTTGAGTAGTCTGATAAATAAAACTTGATACTACATGTTAGGGTTTGGTGATATGGCCTCAAATCAATATCACGATATACTGAGCAGTTCAACTCAATGATAAATGGACGATAACTACTCCACAAGCTGCTCACCCCCTCCCACATTAACTTGGTCTACTACAACTTTTGAACCGTCCTCCATCTCCTCACCTGTCTTTCCCTATTTGTTACAGACTGGATGGGGTGGAGTCACGTCTCTGACGTAGGACAGCGTCTTAAAGGGACATGAGACCATAGCCTACCTACACACATCCAAAACCAACTTTTATTTATCATTTTTTTGACACACGATATACGGATATGGGCGAAATGACGTTGGTTATTGTCGTAAATTTCAGTATCGGTAAATTTTCGGTTTATCACCAGGCCCTTCTACGTGTTCACGACTGTTTTACTGGACTAATTTGCAGCTGTTTTAACTAAGTCTTCAGTCAAAGGTGTGAAAGCACTCAGAAAACACTCAGAAATGATCGCAGCATCTGGAGGTAAACTGTGTCAAACTGGTCTGCAGAGTGGGACTAACAATAGCAGAGCTTGCACCACCAAAAAACTATGGAAAATGAAAAATAAAGTTTGGAAAACTATTTATGCTTCCAGACTGTTACCATCGTTCTAAAATACTGTTTTTCAAAATAGAAAAGTAGGCATTTCCAAAAATAATTCTAAAAAGTAGAGTATGGAAAAGAATGGAAATTCCAGCTGTGTAGGAACCCTGCATTTTGCGGCTATGACAATCAGAGTATCAAAATTAGTTTAGCCGATAATGTTTCAACATGCAAATCCCTGTTTACATCTCTGTTTAAATCTTTAAATGCATATTTATGATCTAATATGGGAGGACATGCAGCCTAATCATTGCTATGTCTCTTAAAGCGGTTGCTTGTGATCTGGCGCCATCTTCAGGGCAAAATAATATTACACAATAAAACTTCTATCAATGCATCTAATACTTGTTTATTGGTCGCAACTGTTAATGGACCAAATTTTGCAGAAAATAACATCTCATATAAAGTTATCTACTCTTTTTCAGACACTGTCAAGTTTATAAAACCCAAAAAATAAAGAAGCTTACCCAGAAAACAGTTTTTAATTATAAGAGTCCACAAGGATAGACGTCAGCGTATGCTAAATTCAAAGCTCATACTTACAGTGAAATTTAATTTTATAAAACTAACCCACCAAAAAATCCTTGGAGAGAAGAAAATTAGGCAAAAGTTACTTCAGTCTTACCTGCTCCTGTTTCACAGCTGCTTTGAATCTGCTCGTTTTATAAATTCAGCTCCTTCTTTGGATAACTAGCTCGACAAGCTGATGACTAACAATCTGAGTTCCCCGCTCTATACAAACACGCCACCAAACATCAAAACTAACCCTGAAACATCACAAACTTCACCGGCTCCCTCCTCCTTCTGTCTGTCTGTGTGCGGCCAGACTGAATCTGGTAATAGCTCACACTTTGACTGCTGGAGACAGTTTCTTCACCTCCGGTTCAGCTCTGCTTGGAGGTGCCAGGCCAAATGGGCATCACTCTTTGATATGTTTTATCTCTCACAAAGAATGAGTTGGTGAAAAGAAAGCCCGTGGATCCATGTCAGACCCAGAGAAATAGAGGAAAAGTCTTTTTTTTTTTCCTTTTTCTGCACCACAGTCAGACGCTCGAGCTCTTTTACAATCACTGTGGTCAGTTATTAAACCCGCTTTACAGCTGCAGCCCGACTGCTTTAATGTGACACGAGTTTCTAATTCATGATGTCTCAAAGACTCTTTTCAAATGATCTGATTGGCCAATTAAACTGCTCTGATTTTTCTTTTTATTAAATCCCTGCAGGACGACCACAAAATCAACCTGGATGATCTGGGGAAACGCTACGGAGTCGACCTCGCGCGGGTAATGACACATAAACTCTCCATCGCACAAACATACAACAACAACAAAACAGCAGCTGTTATTTCTAAAATTAAAGTGTAATCTCTGGAAACTCAGAACGGGGATAGCTTTGGTGGAGTTAGATCCACCGCAGACTCACCTTGAGCTGCATTCGTCTTAAATCCCTCACTCGCTCACACACTTAGACTGTAATACAACTACTTTAAACAGGCAGATACAAACACCCTACACAAGTCTTTAAGCCGCGGCCACACTCGCTGCTTACCTGAGGTTTGACATTGCAGCTGTCGGGAAACTGATTTTGATCTTTTTTTAAAGGTTGGAGATTTAAGAAATACGAGATCGGACGCTTCAAACTATCAGGGACTGTAAAAGTGTCAGGAGAGGTTTGAAGTCCTCTTAATTTGTGCGCTCACTCACTAAAAGTCATATCACAACATTTCAGGCACTTTTAAGTGTTTTCTAGACCTTGAAACTATCAGGCGTAAACTGTCCGGATAAAATGTTCGATATTTTCAAACCTGACAGTTTTACCACATGAACTCTTAAACGAGGACAGTCAGTGAAAGTTTATCAAACAACTCCAACTCCAGAAAAGTTCAGACACCTGAATCTGACTGGAAAGAGTGTAAAGGCAACATATGCAGATTTTTGTTGTTTTAACTTCAAGAGTAGATGTTTGTTTTATAATCTGTGCTTAGAAAAGTCAAACAGAGATTAAAAAGAGAGAGTTGAGCTTCTCAGATAAGATCTTTGACATGACTCTGTAGTGGAAATCTCTGCATGGGCCACTATTAAAGGGATATTCTGGTGTAAAATTAATTTAGGGTCAAACACACCGTAACACTGAGTTAGACACCCCCTCGAGAGATGAATGTTGCCGACCGCTTGCTTCTCTAGTTATACCAACTTCCCCAATGACCGCACGATAGCAATACACAGCGGTCTGAGGAGCCATAAACAAATCTCAAACAAAACGCCACTCTATAGCCACAAACAACAACTCGCAACAAGCGGCTGCTGGAAGAGAGTAGGTGAGCTGTGTTCAGTCTCTTTGCTGAAGAAATTAGGCAAAGTTAGGTGTCTAGTACTATGGCTAGGACCCTATATGTCCTGTTGATGAAGTTAGGTGCTGTTCTGAGCATTATTAGTGGTTATAGAGTGGCGTTTTGGTTGAGGTTTGTTTATGGCTCCTCAGACCGCTGTGTATTGCTATTGTGCGGTCGTTACTAAAGTTGGTATAACTAGAGAAGCAAGCGGTCGGCAACATTCATCTCTGGAGGGGGTGTCTAACTTGGTGTTACGGTGTGTTTGACCCTAAATTAATTTTACACCAAAATATCCCTTTAAAGCCATGTTTGTGATCACAGCTCATCCCTTCATTCACAAATGCAGATGAAAACTGAAACATGTAAAGAAGAAACCAAATTTTAGAATGATCCAGAAATAACAGCCTCATACCTGGCTCTGTAGTAGAAGGGTCCACACCCTCAGGTGGCTCACTGAAAGCATTAGGTTTATTTTGATATGTAAGGAGACATCGTGGTCCAGAAAGGGGACTCCCTAGTTCAGGTTTTTGTTAAAAGAGGAGCGTATTCTGTTATACTTGAAAATATACTTTTTATTCCTGTTAAAATTGGATTTAAATGTTTTATAAACTAAGAGATCTTGTTTTTATCTGCATTTTACACAATATACCAACTCCTCAGGAGGCAGCGGTACTTAATGTTCTGCAGCTGCGGCAGTAAAATCTGCTGTTTTTGTTGAAAATAGAGAAAATTTCCACAAAAGACACTTTCTTACCCCAGAATGTCTCTCCCTCAGGGACTGACCAACGTCAAAGCCGCACAGATTCTGGCCAGGGACGGTCCAAACGCCCTCACGCCTCCCCCCACAACCCCCGAGTGGGTCAAGTTCTGCCGTCAGCTGTTCGGCGGCTTCTCCATTTTGCTCTGGATCGGCGCCATCCTCTGCTTCCTGGCCTACAGCATCCAGGTGGCCACAGAGGACGAAGCTCCCAATGACAATGTGAGAAACTGCTTGTAAAACATGCACGAGTGTGTGAGTGTGAGTGTGTGTGAGTGTGTGGTTGTGTGTACAAGCACACACCACACATATTAATCACCCACAGGGCCAGATGCAGGTATACACAGGCTGCTACAGTCAAAACACAGGTACGAAACACACAACAAGAATGAATGCACAAGCTCACAGACATGCAAAGACATCTAATCCACCTGCATACATCTGCTCAGCTCTGAGAGGGAAGAAGACGGTTTAAACTGTGTCTCTGCTTCAGTTTCAGACATTTGTTCAGCAATGTTTAGTTTCCATGCTGATGTGAAGCTCTTCCCGGTACAGCAGCTCCCTCTGCTGGTCACTTTTTTGCAACATTCAGTCGCACTCCCTCATGTTGTTTTCTGTCTGTCTAGATTCATTCAGGTTTTGTCATAATTTAAAAACCACTCAGATGAAAACCATGTTTTCCTCGTTGTCTACATGTTCATATGACATTTTTCTGATGCTACACGACATATCACGAGAACAGTAATTGCATTTCAGCGTATTTCTGCAGACCCAAACAGCAGGTTCAGATACAGTGAGATTTCCTACGTAGCAAATCCAAGCTCCGCCCAAGAGCCCCGCTATGCAGTCTACACTCAGAAAAGTAGACAGGACGATTGTGGAATAAGCATGTGCGTTAGCGGATTGCAATGCTCGTAAGAAAGCTAATTATGATATCAACGGCACAGGTAACGTGATTTTGGCGAAAATCATAATCACAATTTAGAGACCACTGAGAACACTTAAAGTAGTAAAAAAATAAAATGATAGGAGTGGGATTTTAAGGACCCTTCTGAGTCAGAGGAAACCTGCGGCTCACATGCAGCTCTCACTCTGCAGAGCGCACCAATAAGAGGATAATGACACAATCCATCAACTGCATGAGACATTAACCTTATCGAAATATAAAAACTCTTTTTATTGGACTAAACAGGCTAGTCTGAGTGAGAGTGGAAAAACTCGAACCTCTCTCCAATGCATTCGCTCCAAATATACGTCCTTGTTCACAATCTTCTGCTTGATTTTTGGATCCCAGTTAATACACTTGCCTTTAAAACGGGTGACTAATGCGTCCTAAGCAGTGTTGAAATAAGCTTGTATACAGATGAATCAAACCAAATCTTTAATGACTCATTTATTTTGTGACTCATTTTCCATAATGCAGAAAAAGGAGACATTTGAAATGCACAAACGAAAGCGTGCACACATGATCAGCCCACATACTGTATACTATCTCTAGATTAAAACCAAATCCTGAATCTGACCCCCTTCCCCCTGATCAAAAATCTATTTTTACCCCTGTTTATGACCTCTATGTGACCATCAAAGCCTTTTGACATCTAAATCTCCTTTTCGAGGAGGCATGGCCAAAATGGCAGCACAGGCAGATCACGTGCGCCATCAGCGAGCCAACAATTAGTGAAGGGAAAAAAAGCAGGAAAGCCAGAGGGAGGGAGGGAAGGGATTTGAGGACAAGAGAGGGAGATGAAGAGGGACTTACACTACAGAAGACACACACAAGAACACATCCGATTTTTAGTGTAAAATAAGGCGTTCACACTGACACACAGCTCCCCCCCCTCTGCTGGTGTGACGTCAAGTCAACCTGCTGACTCTGCTGGCACAGATCCTGGCACTAACACGGGTTGATACTCAGACCAAGCCGCCATCCATACTGCGCTTTATGGCTGTGAGTCGTTATGCAATCATCATTCAGCGCTCACCAAAACCCCAGACGGCTTTAAAGCCTCGCACAATATGCAGCTACATACAGAAGATAGACACACGCACATGCACGTGCACATGCACATGCACACACGTGATAACTTTAATCTCCCCTCTATTTAATCTCTGCATTCACTGTTGAGTATGTACAGCTGGATGCTCCGATGAGCTGCTTCAAAGCCGCGACTGCCTGCAGCTTCTCGACTTTGTGTTTGTGAATAATGTACACGGAGTTGTTTAAGATGAAAATCCACCTTAACACAACTTAACACAACGCCGTCGCCTTAAAAACTGCATTTTTATTGTTTCAATGGAGTCATTGAGCCGGAAGATCACACTGTTATCTCCAGCGTCACCGCCACACTTCTAAAGTCATATTTTGCACTAAAAAAATGGAGCATTTCTTTTAGCTTGCGGATTGAAATGCGTCCTCTCCCTGCAGAAATGTTGCTCATATAATTCTGCACAGCAAGAGAGCGAGAACAAATGTCTCACAAAGCCGGAGGAGCCAAAAGTGCTTAGCTTAAATCCACATAAAAACATGTATAGACAAAAACCAGGGGCTGCAAACTGTCTCCAACACTGACAAGTGACTTTTCTGAGGATACAATGTGTTTCCTGGTTCAGAGGATTTCTGCAATGCTACCGTTGGAGAGGAGGAGGAAAAAAAAAAAGCATCTAAGCGGAAAAGAGCAAAACATTCTGTTGTTGCTGTCAAATGAAAGCGGCATCTTCCAAAAACTTTTCAGGCTTTAGGAATTTAGTATTCCAGGAGAACAGGACACACAGCACACCAGCTGGCAGATGCTTTCATCCAAAGTGCCGGGCTGTCTTGCTTGCATCAACATGTAACGGCTTTTTTTTTCACTTGTGAAAATATTCAAAAATAAAATACATCAGAATAAATGTTCCCGGCGTCTGCAGAGTCTGGCAGCGGTTCAGAGAGTGTGTCTTGGTGGCCCCACAGATCAGAGTGTCGATTCTTGGTTTGCTGGGTTCTGGAGACAGATGTTCACTTTGAGGGAAACTGTCTGAGATGGCAGGAATGGTGCACAAAATCTTTCAAATCTGAGAGCGTCTTGAGGTTCTCTCGCTCTTCACCCTCCTCTTAAAGGGATATTCTGGCGTAAAATTAAGTTAGGGTCAAACACACCGAGTTTGACACCCCGTCGAGTAGTGATGGGCACAGCGGTTCTTTTGGATGTACTGAACCAGTAGAATCAGTTCACTAAAACGATTCTTTCAAAAGATTCGTTCATTGAATCACCGAATCCTTCAGTGCTTGGCGGGAGGAGCCTGTGACTCCGACCTCCTGAACTGATTCACAGCTGAACAGTTCAGGATTCAGTTCAGTTCAGAGCTTCTGGGACCGGGAGACAACAGTGTTTTTCTGTGTTGCTTTGACAAACAGGTTTGTAAAAATGAACTTGTTTATAAGTCATGATGTTTTAAGTGTACTGTCCTATGGTATACTATTTACCAGGTCTGCTCGGTAAATTGAGGTCAGTAAGTGATTCGTTCACTGAGAGTTTAGAAGAATTCACACTGAACATGCACCGTTCCCTTACAAACCGCTGCAATGACAGGATGCTGCGGACTTAATGCACTATTTGAGACAAAGAGACTAAACACAACTCACCTAATCTCCTCCAGCAGCCGCTTGTTTGTACAGATACCTCTGGCGAGTCCATCGACTGCTGCGGGGTGAGGCAGCTCAAGGAAGAACATTTATGATCATTACTTTATCATCATTTTGCACTGAAGACGCGGTAGCTCTTCTGCCTTAGCATCACGGTCTAATTGCCTTTCCATTAAGAAATTATCATAAATGTTCTTCCTTGAGCTGCGTCACCCCGCTGTAGTCGATGGACTCGGCCAGAGGTCTCTACAAACAAGGTTAAAAAGATGTTTGGTGGCTAGTGCTATGGCCAGAACCCTATGTCCTGTTGATGAAGTTAGGTGCTATTCTGAGTATTATTTGTGGTGTTTTGGTTGAGCATGTGGCTCTCTGTATTTCTATCATGCGGTCGTTACTAAAGTTGGTTTAACTAGAGAAGCAAGCGGTCGGCAACATTCACATCTCGAGGGGGTGTCTAACTCGGTCTTACAGTGTGTTTGACCCTAACTTAATTTTACGCCGGAGTATCCCTTTAAACACACCTTACATAAACTAGGTCTGCCTATAATGACTCTGAGTCCCCCCTCCTCTGTTTCAGTTGTATCTGGGCGTGGTTTTGGCAGCCGTGGTCATCATCACCGGCTGTTTCTCCTACTTCCAAGAGGCCAAAAGCTCCCGAATCATGGACTCCTTCAAGAAAATGGTGCCACAGGTAAGTTGATGCATTCTGTGTTTGGTGAAGTCTCAGAGCTTTAGGAATCAATAAGCCGTCCCTCAAGTAGGGCTTACACTCCCACTTGAGTGGAAACCTAATAAGCTTGCACAAAGAAAGAATAAATGTTTGAGCCAACTTTGGATTGTGTGTGTTTGCATAAAAACTCCTCTTGCGTTATCCACCCCTAGCACTTCGATTGCCTAATTCTTTAATCTATTTAGGCTGTTTTCACTCCCTCCTTGTCTCCTTTATCCATACCTGTCTTTCCACGCTCTCATTCCCTTTTTTTCTCCCTCTCTCTCTATCTATCTCTTCCTTTCCCATACTTCTACACCCGCTGGCTCCCACTTTTTTTTTTTTTTTATCTCTTCCTCTGACTAAATCCTCTCTCTGTTCCCCAAACTCTCTTTCTCCCTCTTCTCCTCACGCTCCCCTCTCCCCGCTTGTCCTCCATCCCTTTTTTCTCCATGCCAGCAAGCGATGGTGATCCGGGAGGGGGAGAAGATGCATATCAATGCTGAGCTTGTGGTGCAGGGAGATCTGGTGGAGATCAAAGGGGGAGACCGCATCCCAGCTGACCTTCGAGTGATCTCCTCCAGCGGATGCAAGGTAGGGGAGCGGAGAGGGCTGGCCCTGGGGAGTCTACAGTGGCTCGACTTGCTTTTGACTTCTTTGTTATGCAGCACTTTTTAAACCCATTATTTAATCATGTTTACTATAATAGTTTAAAGAAGAAGCGTAGTGGAATATTCACTCCTACGTATTTGACAGCTGAGACATTAAACTGATTTATTTTATGGCCTTAATCCAAAGTATGGGTTGGAGAGACGTCTTTTTATTCTTTTTGAAAATCACTGAAATGTTTATGACAAATTTTATGGCAACATTTACCAACAAGCTGACTCCAAGAGGCTCTACAACAGTGGTCCTCAACCTTTTTTGTACCAGGGACCAGAAACTTTTTCCAAGGACCGGGTAGGGGGGAGGTTCCAATAACAAAAACCTTAATCAGTACATAGTATGTAGTTTGGATACAACAATTACAGTTTATATTAGGCACTTTTCATTACACTTTAACATCAACTCAACATAATGCAGAATCAACCCTTCCTCTCTCCAGTGAACTCTGTTTCTGGCTCATTTTGTGAGGGTTAGCTTGTGTTGCAGATGCAGGAAGATGACGTGCCGAAGAGTCAAGCACGAAAGTGAGGCGACGGTGGAAGTGGTGATCTTTCAAAATAAGATACTGGGAGGACAGATGAAAAGAAAAAATATTTAATCTTTTTTTTTTTAATGGCCCGGTACTGGTGGTTGGGGACCTGGTGGTTGGGGACCTCTGCTCTACAATATAAATCACTTGTTGAACCTACTCGACCAAAATACCCCAAGATACTTCTTCTGATTGGTTAGAAGTTTGACCTAGTATTACGTTCTGTGGTATTTTGGGGAGTCTTTAAGTTTGAATGTCAAGCTTTGTGTAGACATTATAAATGGCAGTTTCAAAATTCTTGGAAGCTGCATATTGTATAATGTTGATGCAGAATTTGATGGTTCTCAAAACATTAAGTAGTTGAAAATCAGCACAACAAGAAATGACAGTTTCTTTTGCTGGAAGTTGATTTGAAGCCTTTCAAAATAAAAGCAACTATACTAGGAGTATGTTTTTTTTTCTGTTGGAAGTTGATTCGATGCCTTTCAAATTAAAAACGATTAGACCGGGAAGTAGGTATATTTTGGTCTCATGTGAATACATTTTATTTCATGGGGCTTTATTTTTTGTATATAATGTTAATGTGATTTTTTTTGTGTGTGTGTGTATTCATGTGTTCAACAAAGACAAAATACAAAACGGGATGACCCTCAAACAAACTGGAGCGCGTGAGAAAGAAGGTCACCTCCGGTCCTCTCAGTGGAGGTCTGCAGCCAGACCCCTCTCAAAGATCTTGGCTGTCTTGAATAATTTTAATCAAATATTAGGTTTAAGTGATCACAAACTTTGTTTAATCAAAGCATCTATTTTAGAATTAGCAGACTTTGAAAATATAAGTTTGACAAAGTGTTTATCTTCTAAGTAGTTTGCTTCATTCTGTTCCTTCTCGAACTGTTTGTTTTTGACATACATATGTTAGTGTAAATTTATCTTTGACATGTACAGTTGTTTGGTGTACATATGTATTATTTTGCGCAGTGTCTTTGTTTCTAGTTGTGTTTGTTGTTGTTGTTGATAAATAAATAAATAAATAGAAAAAGAAAAAAAAGATAGGAACTGATAGGAACTTTGTGGACTCAGACCCTACATCCTCTGAGAACCATGACTAAAGCACAGATCTTTGCTTTGGGTTGAGGGAAACTTGCTGAAGTCGTTAAATCCTAGACCAGCAAATGTTAGACGAGTAAATGTCAGGGAGTCACTAAACTTGGTAGGCTTCATCCACACAGCATCACAATTATCTGTAAAAAAAATCCGATGTCTGTCCGCTCAGTGTTTGTGAAGATATTGCAGTCTGAAAGAGGGAGTTGAGATGTCAATATTTAGGTCTGATGTCAATCTGTTATTTCTCTCTGTAAACTTTCTGTTGCTGCAGGGTGAACATATCTCTAAAATGTCAGTCTTTTAGCTCAAACGGCATCTATTTTTCAGTCTGTTCAACTGGAGTTTGAGCCACTGCAATATGACTGGGGTACTCAGTGGTATAGATTTCTTCATCTGTAGAGAAACATTGAAAAGATAACTAAGACCTAAGACAGGTCTGACAGAACAAGAGTGTTACATCATTGCTCTTGTTGCTGATAAGCCTGTTTCTTTCATTTCCAACCTGTCAGTCTCTCCTGTGTCTCTTGGGTTAACATTATTTTCTTCTTTTTTCCCTCTGTCCCTGTAAAGGTGGACAACTCGTCTCTGACAGGAGAGTCTGAGCCTCAGACCCGCTCCCCGGAGTTCACGCACGACAATCCTCTCGAGACCCGGAACATCTGCTTCTTTTCCACCAACTGTGTCGAGGGTCGGTAGGCCACATCTGGACAAGATTGTCTCTTATCGCTTCTAAATGTCTTTTTGTATTGCCATCTGGAGATCAGCATAGTTTGACTTTACCACCCGGAGGATTTAGGTGCAGGATTTATCAGACAAGCATTTCCTCTATCCCTCAGTAAAGTGTGCACTTATTGAACTTTGGATGCACGGAGATTATTAACAAGTGCTTCCATTTGGAATTCAACCAGTGGGACTTTGAGTTATTATTTCAGTTGCTATGAGCTGCTGAATGGGGATGGAGAAAGCATTTCAATGGGATTTTCTTATGAGAATCTGCAACCTAATCAATAACTGTTAAAGAGGGTACAGAATAAAGATTACAACTGTCAGCGTAGTACAACAAATACATTCATTCTGGGGAAACAAGCCTCATTAAAGAGGTGGTATTGTCACTAGATGTGGTTTAATGGGAAACAATGAGGGTTTTCGTCAAAATGTTCCTAATATTATGGCACCTCAACATTACATTAGTAGAAGTGACTGTATGCTGAAGAGATTGTACAAAAAGCAGAGATGTGTTGTATCCCCCTTCAAAACACCATTATGATGTTAACTATTTTATAAATTAGCAACTCTGGATAGAATTTTTGCCACCATTTTGTTCTATTTAGAAGATTAATTTTGTGCGGCTTTGTTCTTGTGAAAAAATGACTTTAAAAAAATCACATCTTTAATGCTCACAAAACACGTCCACTTTTATTCCCTTCCAATTAATGCTTTTTGTGGGAGGGGGGAAAAGGGGTCCAGGTACAGCCCCTGAACTCCTAATGTCAAAGAAACGCCCCTGGACACATACTTAGCAGCAGTAACAGATGCATCTATCCAGGAAGATTGAATCAGCCATGACTACAAATCTATTTACTAAAGATAATTTAAAAACCAGGCTAAGATGGACGAAGTTTTTAACACGGGCTGTTAACGATAATGGCGGCAAAAAGCGGCTAACGTCAAATATTAAACCGACGTCGCTTTGCTAGCTTGTTGTTGTCCCTGTCGCCGACAAACACCTGGAAAAGTTTAGGAATGAAAATGAGACAGAAGTTTGGAGACTAATTAGAAGTAAGTAATAAATACTGTGCCCTTCGACTAACTCAACTTGTCGAAGAAATTAAAAACAAAACAAATATTCATCTCGTTGTTTGTATTGTTAATTATATAACTTTAGCCGGTCTCGTCTTCGTTTGGGTAAATCATTTTGCACGAGCGTTTACCGTCTTAACTTTCGTTAATAACACTGTCATTTTGACCTTTCTGAGAGATGAGAAAAAGATCATTTTTTCTGTTTTCAAATCATCCATTTTCTTAATCAGTAAACAGAGACAAAAAATTGTCGAAGTTAAAACTTCATTTTTTAATTGAAGCTCTTCTGAGGACTTTTTGTCTTTTTGACTTACAGGCTCAGATTCTGGTCCTAATTGCTCCATAAAACTCAAAATACAAAGACAAGTGCAAATCTTGTCAGAGTGAATAAACAAAGGACATGTATATTCAGTTTTCTGTCTTTTTCTGCTTGACTTCTGCCTCCTCTGTATTAAACACACTCAAGAAAAGGCAGACATCCTCAGTAAACAAAGATATTCAAGCCATGTAGGTTGTTTGGCCATTTAATGTCCCCAAGACTTCTTCTTCTTTTATCTAAATACAGTGGCGGTAAATTAAAATGTGTTTGCTGGACTCACACCGTTAGAGATTACATCTTAAATATTCAGCAGCAACATTTTCTCTTCAGACACAACGTCTGTTTTACTGAAGTTTCCTCTAAATAACCCACCGATCTTGATCTAACTCGCAGATATTAGGGTCTTCGGATGACACTTTTTGTAATCTGGCTGATTCAGATTCGTTTCTTCCTCCCTGAGTCTTCCACTCAGGCATCTGTTCAGTCCACCCAGCCATCAATCACTCCCCAACACCTGTAATTCACCTCCATCCATCACCACTCTTCGTCCGGCCGTCACCACCCCATCAACCCTCCCTCCTGTTTACTAAATACAACACTCAGCTCCTGCAGCGTCTAACACCCTGTTAACAGTCATTTGTCTCTTTATATATCCTTCAGACAAGCACATTTTCAAAAGCTGACATCCTCTTGACAAACCACTCTGAGAATCTCAGGATATAAACAGAGTAATTATGTAAGAGAGAAGAAAATTAACCCGTCTCCATTTCTCTTCCAGGTACAGCTCACGGCATCGTCATAAACACCGGTGATCGAACTGTGATGGGCCGCATCGCCACGCTTGCGTCAGAGCTGGAAGTCCGCCGCACGCCCATCAACATTGAGATTGAACATTTCATCCACATCATCACAGGTGTGGCTGTCTTCCTGGGCGTGAGCTTCTTCGTCTTGTCACTCATCCTTGGATACACCTGGTTGGAGGCCGTCATCTTCCTCATCGGCATCATCGTGGCGAATGTGCCAGAGGGACTGCTGGCTACTGTCACTGTGAGTGCTGCGCATAAATGCTTCTGATACAGATCTTATGAAGTATTTATTGTATTAAACCAACAAAAGATTTGCAAATAGACATTTTCATACGATTTTATTGCCGAGAACAACCTCTTCTTGTTTCTGCTGCAAGGAAACAAAAAATAATCCCCCCGTAGCAAGGACAGCTTATCTTCTGGGACAAAAAGATGTTTAGCCTCAAAAACAGTCCTAAACTATTGTTGTTATCACTACAGTCCTCTTTATTTTCAGCATATTTCTAAAGGAACTGAACTTAACTGTGGTAATAAGAAGTGCTGTGTAGGTGGAGATGCTTGTTTTGGCAGATGGCTTTTTTTTTGTGTTAAATTTAAACTGAATGATAAAAATATATAAAGACAAATCATCTTTCTGGGAGAGATCACACTAAACACGGTCACAACAACATTATGAATTCTTACCAGTTAATAGGTGCAACTATCTGTTTCTGCAACAAGGAGGCATGGTCACAAGCTGAGATATTTTCAGGTTTGCATTCATGATGAGACCTTTCTCCAGTCGTCCATCAAACAAACATGCTATATTTATGCTTCATTACCTTTTTCTGGCCTCAACTATTCATGAGCGAAAATATCTCTCACAGCTCTGAATTTGAAAAAGTAAGGACACTCTGTGAAGGTTTACTAAAAGCAGAATTTGATGATCTGTAAATCATTAAAACCCCCAAAATAGAGCAAAGATAACATATAAACAAATGCCTTAAAAAGTTGTGTCCCTTATCTTATTACTGTATTTTTCGCACTAGAAGGTGCACTTAAAATCCTATAATTTTCTCAAAAATCCTCAGTTCGCCTTATGTATGAATTCTGGTTGTGCTTACTGACCTCGAACCAATTTTATGTGGTACACAGCACTCAAAAATCTGTCAAAATGTTTTATTACGACTTCGGTAAGCTACAAAGCCGCACAGCCTGCTGGCTTGTCGGAGCACTGCAGCTACCACAGCCTCACAAAGTTATTGAACGAGTGAAATAAAGTTTGACTTATATGGCTGTTTTATTTGGCTTAATGTGCTTTATAATCCGGTGCGCCTTATGTATGAAAATAGACGCAAATAGACCCGTTCATTGATGGTGCGCCTTATAATCAGGTGTGCCTTATAGTGTGAAAAATACAGTATATGCAATAAAAACAGAAATAACTCTGTAGTGAAAATCACTGCTTGAGTATGTGTATGTGTCATGTAGCACAAGTTAATCTATAAAATTAGAATGTCATTGTGCTGAATAAACTCAGAAGATTCTAAACTCAAAAAAAGGAGAGAAGTAAACTGATATCAATATTCAAACTCAAGAGACTCAGATAAGGTTACTCAAAATATTCCATTAAAAAAATCAAAACACACAAATTAAGTAACTGCAACGATCAAAAATAACCAGGGGTCCTTTTCCCAATAATATGGTTTTAAGAAAAAATTATGATTCCTTAGAGTCCTTTTCCAGGCTCTGATCCTAAAGAAAATCCGAGGGGGAAAACCTGACCAGGGTGACAAGGCCAGAACAAGGTTTAGACTAACAGAACTTAAATATATGCACCATTTTAACAAAAAAACTTTACCTTTAAACACTTAAAACACATACCATGCCATCAATCAGCGATGATGATGAACAGGTGGGCAATATCAATCACCAATTCGCGCTCTTTACATCCTGAGGTTATCCGTGTTCGGGTTAGATCAGTCCTCCTAGTTTGGGTTGTTTAAACTGCAGTTTTGGCAGCTTTGTTCAGCTACCATTGGCTGGCAGCGCTCACGCAAGATTCAGAGGTGATTTGATAAAACTCCGCTATCATGACATGAATTATTTCAACACAACATATTTCAACATCTTTTTATCCCTTTTTTAACTTAAATTTTTTTTTTTTTAAGATATTAATCTGGTCATTTCTGTGACCTGGGTTCCACTTAACATCACTCTAAAAACCATCAGTTTGTTTATATGTCCACAAATGTTGTTCAAAGAGGCTCCCCACTGTAAGAGGAGAGTAACCTCTGAGCTTGTTACCAGTCCTCAGTTCAGACTCCTGCTGCGGTGACAGTGTGGGGGTGTATAAGTGTCTTTTTGATGGTCACATCTGGGAAGACATCATTAATGCTGAGCGAAATAAACTGTACAGCTTTGGAGCGACATACGCTGCCATCCAGACGATGGGTAGACCTCGCAGATTTCAGCAAGAAAATGCAAAACCGCATTTTGACACATTCTGACAGCGCACGGGCGTAAGGGTGCGAAACCTCGCTCAGCTGTCACGCATTGACAACATTTGGCATGTCATAAAATGAAAAACACAACATAGGGGATCCTGAACTGTTGAGCAGCTGAAATCTGATATCAGGAAAGAGAGAGAAAAACTGGACGAGAGAGTGTCGTTGAAAGAAGAGGAAACGCAACAGTTAACACACCGCTGCACCAACAATTTTCAAGCCTAAAAACATAAACAAACTTTTTCACTTTCAACTAGGGTGCAAAATTTCAGAAATTTTTCAAGTTGGAAACTTTCCACTGGAATTAATGGGGATTAGAGGAATAAATGGGAATAAATCTGAAATGTACAAAATTGAAGGTTGGCCCTCATCAAGGATATAGTATATATATAGTTGGGGAAAATCTATTGTAGCATAATCTTGGTGGATTTAATGCAAGTACACTCTTGAATCACATGTACACAGCACGCTGCTTTCTGCAGGGCTATTGAGGCCACACCCCCTACATGCACTGTGCATTCCTCCATCACATGTACAGATGATTTCTTGGATGCTACACTTAAGAGCCCAAAGCACAAGACATTTGAGCCCACGGATTATATAAAGTCAAGTTTTGATAATATCATGGGGTAAATATATTTGACCTATAATAGTATTAATATTTAACTTGCAAAAATTTTAAAAAGGTGCTAAATGTAAGATATTTTCATTTCATGGACCATTGAAGAGGCCACCTTAAATGTGATGCTATTTCTTCTGACTCCTGCAAGACAGTTTTCTGTAACCGTACAGTAATTTATACATAAATTGTCAAATATTTTGAAGACCATTCCAGTTGTTTAGCCAACTATATATCTGTTTATGCCATTGTTAATCGCCATTATTTGTATTATTTTGCATGGATGTCTTCTTATGACAAAACAAAAATATTTACATTTATATTTGGATATGATACAGTTTGTTTGAATTAACCCCAATTTCCAATTAATTCCCAATAATTTCCATATAAAGTTTCCAATTTGGAATATTTACAAAACGCCCCAGCTTAACTTCCCATGGAAAGTTTCTGGAAATTTACCAGACACCCCTTTGCAACCCTACTTTCAACAATTGCCAATGCTTTTAATGAAATGTAGGCTTTAAATAATCCCTCCACCACATGCTCCCAGGCTTTGTTTGTGTTAGCTGTGCAGGTGTAGAACTTTGTGTGTTTCTCATTAGTGGAAACAGCCTGAAAACCCAAAACCACAAACCTCAGAGGGGGCTTGAAATCTCTTAAAATCTTAAAGATGAAGGCAGACTTTGTCATTTGCTCTTGAAAGCTTTCTTTTTTGAGCAGCTGTTTCCTCATTATATGCAGTAATTTCATCCTTTGTTAACATTAAAAGTATCGATTAGTGCAGCTTTTAACAAGCCAGTTGTTGAGCCCCTGATAAAGTGCCTGCTGGCTCGCTGTCATGGCTTACTGGCACACCTAAATGGAACAGAGCCACCGTCAATGTTATTAGTTACACCTTTGCTTTTCCTAACTCTAATTTACCTTCGCTGACTGTTTTAGCTTTAGTGCTAATGATGATACGGAACACAGCTAAGCAGGTGATTTATTACCCGCTGCTGGAGTGGAAGTGAATCTAACTTTTTCTGCAACAATAAACAAAGTGTGAGTGGAGGAGGATGCCAGTTGGCATTTGAAATGCCATCAGTCGACATTTCACTGGTCCCTGAAAATAAATTGACTTCCACTGGCTGCTGCTTTCTGGAGCTGCCTCTGCTTTCAGCACACCGCGAGTGGAGTGTGGGAATGTTTGTTTGTGCTGCGGTTGGTATAATGTGAGAAATACGGTCAATGTGAAATAATGTGCGGTGATGAGTCTTCTTCAACATACGGGCTGTGTCTCTGCATCGTGTTTCTTCTGTGCCCGCGCACCTGCTGTTAACCAGCCAACCAAAATACACTCACACATGCACACAACAGCAACACACTCAAACGCTTAAGGCATCTGGACCACGCATGGTTACACATGCACAAGCACTTGAACGCACCAGTGCGTACACATGCTCTCTCCCCACGTCGACTAACAATCATCCCTGTCTCTCTCTCTCTTCCTTATCCTCTCCTCTTCCTCCTTCTCTCCTCCCTCTATCCCCCCCTCCACCTCCTGCCTCCCACCGTCCTCCCAGGTGTGTCTGACTCTCACTGCCAAGCGGATGGCCAAGAAGAACTGCCTGGTGAAGAACCTGGAGGCCGTAGAGACTCTCGGCTCCACCTCCACCATCTGCTCCGACAAGACGGGCACGCTGACCCAGAACCGCATGACCGTGGCCCACATGTGGTTCGACAACCAAATCCACGAGGCTGACACTACTGAAGACCAGACGGGTGAGACAGAGAGAGGTTGGAAGAGATGAAGAGAGAGGAAAAGAGAGGGAGAGATAGAGATAGGGAGAGTGTGGGAACGCAGAAGTGGGAGTGTGACCACCTGCTGAAATTCATCTGTCCAATGTTCACGCCGCCAACTGACATTGCTGTTCGCACTAGCGCTCGGATTAATTGAGCAGCGGCATGTGAGGGCGGAACAACCCTCGGCTACAAACACGTCTTTTCCCAGAGTTCCCCAGCTTGAGCGCGGCCGCAGAACCAATCAGATCCATGTGTCAATCCAAACGGCGCACAAACGGAGCCAAATTTCAAAGAAGCTGTTTGCAATATTAGAGAGGTTTGGAAGGCAACATAACAGGTGTCGCATGCATACCAATGAGTGTGAGTCAGACGATTGTGCAGTCGTACAATGAATAGCCAATAGTGCTGAAAAAGGCTGTGCAGCTGAAACAGAGCGAGCGCCCGAGGAAACACAGACTATTCATTTTTTAGCTGCACAGACTGTTTTTCTGCAGCTTTTTCAGCTTTTTGCACCTCGTTTTGTCGAGTTCAACAACTGCAGCCACAGTTTGCTGCTGTGTACTCGGTGTTGCTTGACGCTTCTGTATTCTGTTTTCACAATAACAGGGACAGTGACCGCTCCGGAGGGCCCGGGATAAATAATAGAAAAATGAATGCAGGCAGCTGTAAGAAGAAGACCGCGGGTCATTTTCAGTCGGATCAGGCGTAAGAAGGATGAAATTTTGATGCCAGAAATTTCGTTGGAGTTGCTTATTTTTCCAAACTTTTTCCTCCAAAAATGTTTTTTTTTTTAAAGGCAGGGGATGTGAAAAATCACTTGTCATGGAAAGAAGTGATTGCTTGTCTTGACCGACCCCTGTTGTTAAGCAACAATATTCAGTGCTTCACTGTGAACTGAGAGTCAAGTCAGCGGCATAAATACTGCATGAGCCCCACTTTAAAACAAAAACACTCTAACACAACTCCCTCTGCTATTCTCCCAGGTTCGGGTTTTGACAAGAGCTCTGCTACTTGGGCTGCTCTGTCTCGAGTGGCCGGACTGTGCAACAGAGCTGATTTCAAAGCTGGACAGGAGAACTTCCCCATCCTGATGGTAAGAGCCTCCACCACTCCTGCACAGACACACACACACACACACACACAGGAGCCGGCGTTTCAACAAGCGCAGGCGTTTCCGAACCGATGCACCGATGCTTCAGTCTCATGAATTATCTCCACTCTCCCAGGCAGCGGGGTATAACAGCTTTAGTTTAATCCAAGGACGTTAGGAGCAGGCCGTCTTACATTAGGATCAAATAATGCATGCACATTATTCATAAGACATGATTCCGCCTACTTGGTTTGCCAGTAGGGTGAAGTTAACAACATCAGGGCAGTGTCAGTCGAGCTGTCACTCAAGGAGGAAGCAGAGGTGGAAGAGGTAGTCGGTTGGTATTAATAAGTAAAGTCGCCTTATTTAATGTAATATTACTTATATCATTATGAAGAGGAAGCTAATACTTTACTGTAATGAAACAGCAGCACGTTATCCCACTAATTAGCATCGTCTTTGAAGTCACAGTCCAGTACAGCTAACTCCACTGTAACCCACTTCCAATTAAAACACAGAGGACTCCTACTGTACTCCTACACATGGGTGGCCATCTCTTTCAATGCAATAATCAGCGCAGAGGTGCCAGCTCAGCTCGGGGCTCAGCGCCTGTTGAAAATGTCATACTACGGCAAGTCCACTCAGACAAACTATATTGTGCTCCATTTAACGAATCAAATGTGCACGGCTAAAAGCCCTTCATGATTTTCTTTATTTCCATTTGTTGATTAAATTGACCTTGAAACTTTCTCTCTGTATCATACAGAGAATTACAATTTACTGTACTGTGATTTCTAGACGGCTTTTATTGTATATGTTAACTTTTCTAAAGGAAAAATAAAAATAAAGGATCTGTTTATTAAAAGATAGTTTTGCTTTTATTCCACATTTCCTTTTGGCGATCGAATAGAGGCGGTGGTACAGATGTCATTAGTCCCCTTTGATAAGTAGCGATAGATTGCTTCATAAAATTCGTCCATGTTTTCTCAGAAGCATTATAATCCCGTGAAACCTAATCTGTCGAAATCCGCTTCAGTAATGTCCGGACCAACCATAATCCTATAGTCTGACGTCATCAACAGGCGCCATGCCCCAAGCCGATCTGGCCATAGACATAATATACGTAGACGCCTCATAGTCTGACGCTACCTATTGGAGCTCACGTATCAGCGCGGCCGCCATCTTGGATGGGTCCCCCATGCGCCTCCAGTGTATTAAGGTAGGTAGGAATGCCCAACCAATTTTAATAATAACTCTCTGAATCTCTGCCCGATTTTCACACTGTTTGGTTTTTTATATCGGCAGGGATGTAGACGTATTACAGGACAATGTCACAGATTAAAAACAAACCAAACTATTTTTCGATCCTATTTGTAATATGTATTCTTACATGATCTGGTTTCAATACTGTGTCAGGTTTTTCAACCATAGAGTGCAAAAATACGGGCAAAGTTGTTCATTCTCCACTGCCCCCATTTGGCTCTTGAGCGAGCCTGGAGTGGAGAGACCCATCCAATATGGCGGCGACGCTGGATTACGCCCCGGCACGTAATGAGGCCTCTACGTATATAATGTCTATGGATCTGGCAGTTTGAATACATCTGGTACCTACACCAGCTTTAAATGGGCACATACTGTACTCACCGTGTTTTTAGTCATTTTCAATAAAACGACTAAATGAAGAAATTAATGTCTTCTCTATCCATCTGGGAGGTACCTGTACTGTTGATTCATACTTCTCAGAAATTAATGTCACTGTGGTTAATGTTGGAAACACTGACAAATTAAGCTAACAGTAATTACCCCATGCTGTTAAGAAGTGGTGGAGGACATAATTATAAACACTGTTAAAAAAAATAAATAGATAAAAAACAGGAGCGATTATATGTTTTAAAAAGGCCTGGGTGTTAAATCAAAACATAAACATATAATTTAAAAATGAACTTAAATTAAAAGGACTCTTAATTTGGGATAATAGCTGCGTTCAGTGTTACAGTATCATTTCATAGTGGCGCACAAAGAGAGAGAGAGTGTGACTCTTCATGTGTGGGACTATTTAGTTTGAAAGCATTTAGATAAGGGTTTATATGTGGGTGAGTGGGTGATTATTACCAACTGAAGACACAAACACTATATATTAATTTAAAGATAATATTGTTGATGTAGAAATAATTTGAACAACAATAATCCGACCAACATTACATTTCTCCATGTGACATTCATGTTAAAGACTGGTGAGCCTTTACCCACAAATCCCATGTGTCGTGCCCTCCAAATAAAATAAAAGTCGTGTTATATTCTCCATGTGATGCTTTCAACAGGAAGAGGTGAAATCATAAACTTCATAAATATGCTGCTCTCATTTCAGCCGATCTAATTGATATGACATGTGTGATCTTGCTCTTGCTTTTCAGAATTAATCACTATTGTTGAGGGTTTTGACCAATCAGGATTAAGTATTTAACACAATAGGGGGTAAAGAAGGCCAGTATTAATATACAATAATCACTTAATGACTACATCAAACCTTTACCTCATGGCCGACCAAATAGTATCCTCTACAGTGTGGTGTGTGATAACCCGGGGTTATCGATGCAATACAACACAAATAGGTCAAATAAATCAGCCAACAAGCATGTAAAATGGACGAGCATCCAATCAAAACCAGAGCACGCAGAACTCTACACAAGAGACCGGGTCTCATCAGCAGTGGTAACCCATCACATACAAATGAGCACAGTCATGTCTCAGTACAATTAAGACATGAAATGCAAGGGTCGTGCATCAGCAAACGGGCCTGTAACAGCATCCATCCGTGCGAAGTAAATACCAACACAAACAGGCGGGACTAGTCCCGAGGGATCCAACACATACATTACAGTTTGAGCCATAAATAAAACTGTGAGCAGGGAGGAGCCTGGACTCTAAAGGAGGAACAGAGGAAGGAACTGTTGAGCTTCATATACATGCTTAGAAAAAACACAGAGAAAAGTGTCACCAGTTTGGGGATTTCAAACGTTTGTTTTGTGTCTTTAATGAGTGAACCTTTGATTACTGTAACATACAAAACAATACAAGAATTTAATTGATCCCCAAAACAGAAACTTATCCTTCTGGAATATCATCTACTATTTGTAGAGGAATTATAAAGTCTGATGGCTGTGAGAACAAAATATCTTCTGAAGAGAGGAGCCATCCACCACCGCTGTTCTTTTCTTAAAACATGATGTCGAGTCTGTATCCTCATGATTGTTTCTTGGAGAACATCACATGGAACTTCAGCCGTTGCCTTGGATGGGATGTAAACAAGTATTGTTATGACATGATTGAACTCTCTTAGAACAGATGGTGCGTTCCATTTACCTCAGAAGTCAGAAGTTGGAGCTGGGAATGACGTCACACCTGAGTTATCAGTGTTTCCATTACAAAGTCGGAAAAAAGTAGCCAACAGCCAAAAATGGAAGCAGAAACAAGATGAGTTCATCTACAAAAGTTATTCTCGCCTAGTCAGAATGTAGACAACTCCTGGACAAACATGCGGTCCTTCTGCAACCTCCGAACATGGTGGATGAAGAAGAAACACAAAGTTGCAGAAGGTAGCCTATTTTTCTCATTACAGGAGCTTCTACTTACTGTTTACAACCGACGCCGCCATCTTTAAATGTCAACTGCGGGGTTGTGTGGATTGTGCGACTTTCCGAATTGGAAATCAAACCTCAGGGCTCTTTCCAGTTGAAAGTTCCGAACTGGAGCTCGGAAATCCCATATAGTATAACTGTAGTTCAACATCTGGACAAAACAACTTCTCCTTGACAGTTATTTGTGAAGGGTTACTCCATCTCTTGTTAACAAATAAAGCCAGACCTCCTCCTTTCTTCTTGCTACCAGCTTTAGCATCTCTGTCTGAACCTATGAGAGTGAAACCAGGTAGATCCACACTGGAGTCCGAGTTGCTTTGATTAGAGAGACTACACTTTCTCAGTCTTTACCAGTATCTCCAGCTCATCGCTTTTGTTGGGCAAAGAGTTGATGTTTCCCATGATGACTGATGGAAGAAAGGGTTTATATCGCCGTTTCCTAGCAGGACAACCACGAAAACACCTCCAGATGTCTGCTGGATTCGGATATTGTCACTCAGATTTGCTTTGTCTGGAGCTGCCTCTCTTGAATAAACTCATCAGCAGTTGACAAAATATGATAAAAATAAAAGAAATAAAGGAAAAGAGACCAGACTTTGCTGATCCTTGGTTGAGCTCAGGCTCTAGAAAGATACAAACAACCATATGGAGCCTCTATAGCGATTCTTTAGGCTAATGATCATACATCCAATTTGTTTGTCTGTGAAACACTCCAGCACTCTACTGTTGTTCTTTGGTGGCAGGAGATCGAGGACAAAGTAGTCAAAGTTTTGAATTATAACGTCAGACTTTCCCAGTGTCACTTTCAGTTTTAGTCTTTTTAAACTTCGTGACACAGCTGTATTTCTCAGCCACTTGACAGTTCAACGTCTCTGCCTCAGTGATCTCAAAGCTGACACCCAAACTCGGCCTCAGATGTTAAACAACTCGCTGCGTCTCTCCATCTTCAGTTGTGAGTGACAGTCGGCCTCAGCCAAGAGGGGACCACTCGTAAGAAGAGGTGCCGTTTATATCTTTCTGAAGACGAAAATATTGAAGAAACAATATCAACAGTCTGGAAAAGTGGAGTTAGAAGTATTAGTAATCATGTTTTCCTGTCAGCAAACTTACAGTAGCTTTCAAACACCTGCGGGGTAAACTAGAGTAAATCTGTCAGGACACAGATACAGTCAAGTTCAAGCACTTGTTGAGTAAATAAACTTGTTTTTGTTTCTGTGGCCCGCTGAGCCTCACCCACATGGCACCTACAGGGAAAAAAACAACCCACAAAAATAATTTGTCAATACCTCTTGACACTCATACTGGCTTACACGCTTAGCCTCCTTCTCACACATAAACACACACATGCTGAGGATAATCCAATGCACCCCTGGAAATAACTCCCCCACACTGCTCCACAAACACACACACTGCTGGGTCTGTAAGTCGATAATATCCCAGTGTTTCTGCAAACCGCCGGACTCCAACCTGAGCTACACTGACCTGAAGAAAATTCTCTGTGTGGCTCTCAGCGACCGGGATTACAACTCCTTGACTCTGGCGAGAACGGGCCCTGCCTCTCCGCCCCTCCGGCTGACCGGGGGCCTCCTCTCTGCTTCAAGTAACAACCATATCTTCTGACAGCACTCAAACACAGCAGTCAAGGCCTACGCTCCGCTACCGTTACACCAACAAGTCACCATCTGTACCCGGAAAAAAGCAGAGAAATGGAATTTCCTCGGTCTATTTACTCATTCATGAAAAAGGCACAAACAAGGACAAATCTTTCGGAGCGTGTGTCCTTGTTTTGCGGCTCTCCATGAATGAATAAACAGGAACAAAGAGAAATCTCTTGTCTTGGTTCGGCCTCCGTCGATATATTTGGCGCCGGGTCAATCAGTTCAGCATGGGTTTTAATAAATTGGCTCCAAGACTGAGATGAATCGCTGTGATCATTATGGGATTTTTATCAAGAGGAGATTATATAGGTTATCAGAGGGGGGTTCTCTTTTATTTTACCTCTCCTGGATGATTCAAACACTGAGAAATCAGATCCAACACGCCGGCTGAAGCAGATACAAACCACAAAAACAAAAAACAGGAATCCGAACATAAGATAATTCTCTCTGAGCCTTACATCGAAGCCTCCGCACCATCTGTGCTCGTGTAAATCAGTGAGAAGGTGTCTCAGTCAGCATATGCTCAAACTTTTGGAGTTTTATAAATGTTAGAACTTATAAATTACTTTTTTTTATAAACAATGAAAACACATTGTTTGTGTTTGGAGTGGTTTTAGTTTCATCATTTGTCTGTTGCATGTAAAGCCACTGTATTGGTCCCGCGCTCCCTGCAGCCTTACGTGAAACACTCTGTAACCAATTTCGTTGTCATAATGGATCATGATTTCAAATTAGATAAACAGATCAATTCTTGTTTTTACCATTTGACGCTTTTATCTAACATTAAATTGGTTTTATCTTTTAATGATTTACAGAGTGATACATGCTTTTGTTTCGACTAGACTCGACTACTGTAACGCTCTTTATGTAGGCGTGAACCTGGCCTCCCTGTTCCGCCTACAGCTAGTGCTGCTCGGCTTATAACTGGCTCCCTGTTCATTTCAGGATTCATTTTAAGACTTTATTGTTTGTTTTTTGCTTTTTTGTTGTAAACTCAGCAGCAGCAGGTGACTGTCTAACACGAGTCTGGTTCCACTCAAGGTTTCTGCCTGTTAAAGGGAAGTTTTTCCTCGCCACTGTCTCTCATGTTTGATGAGATGGGCGAAACGGTCACCCTGTCGAGCCCTGTGGAGTTGTGTGGTCTGTCTCTGACTGTTCTTTTATTGGATTTTTATTTGCTCTTACAGTGTTTTTATTTTATTTTTTATTTCTTCATTATTTATCTTTCAAAGTGTTTTAATTTTTTTTCCAAGTGTTGTATAATTTTTCAAATGTGGTTTTATTATGATTCTTTTATTTTATTCTATTTCGTTCTCCGACAGCGTTTTAACTTATTTTACTGTTGATTGTTTTTTTTTTTTTAATTGTGCTATATAAACAAAGAAGTGGATTAGAGTGGATTGTTTAAAAGTTTGAATTGGTTGAGAAATTGATACTGATGCCTCTTTTCTCTCATTACAAAGAGGGAAACCAGATGATTGGCAACAGCTTTTAATAGTGATTGATGTATTTCATTGTACTTAAGCAGGCGCACTTTGAAATTATAGTAATCCAGTATAAGATCGAATATTCAACGATTCACCCCATAATTAAATAGGAAATATTGCAGCTCTTGTTCATTAAATCACTTTTATTTTATTTAAGAGGGTTAGTTATTCACAAAAGAGAAAATAAGAGCCAAATTATTTGCCCAGAGGCTGTTTTGTAATTGAGTTTACCCGAGTTATTTGAGGAGTCATTTATACCCTTTTTATGTTTCTCCACCAAAGACTTCCAGCAGAACGTAAACACTTTAAAACCCACATTTACAATATAAAGAAAAGCAGTGAAATGAAGCTTGAAAACGGTCAAACTTCGAGTGTTTGAATCCAGGTGATTCCTAAAATACTGTTATTACGAAAACCATGATTGATGTAAAGGAAGTCCTCTCAGGTACAGCTTTGTACAGCAGCGTGATAAACACAGGAAGTGGGCAGAACAACACTCATTTCTAAATATGCATATGCGAGCGACTGTGCTAATGTATGTGTGTGTGTTTCCCCAGAGGGAGACGGCGGGGGATGCGTCAGAGTCGGCTCTGCTGAAATGCATTGAGCTGTGCTGTGGGGGTGTTCGTGACATGAGAGGCCGGAACCCCAAAGTGGCGGAGATCCCCTTCAACTCCACCAACAAGTACCAGGTACCGCAGGAGACTCAAGATCTGGTTTTTGGCTTTTTGCTTCAGTAGCTGAGGATGTACATCTGAGTTTGTGTGTGTGTGTGTGTGACTGTGTCAGAGGGCCCATCACAGAGAAAGTGCGCATGATGGAGAGCTTGTTTGGAGTTTTGGACTGAGCATGTGGGACTTTAGCAGTGACCTTGTCTTGTGGTGTTCACTTATCAGTCCTCTACCAGAAGCAGGTTATTTCTTAACTCTCAGTCCTGTTAAAGAACTAAATCAGTGTGTGTGGATGCTGCTGTGTGTCTCTGTTAGGGCTGGGTGATAAAATCAATCACCTCGATATCGCCTCGATAACCATAAATGGACGATAACTACTCCACAAGCTGCTCACCCCCTCCCACATTAACTTTGTCTATTTCAGGCACTACAACTTTTGAACCGTCCTCCATCTCCTCACCTGTCTTTCATAACACCGATATAACAAACTAACATAACAAATTTCGATATCAGTAAAATATCGGGTTATCACCCAGCCATAGTCTCCATATTAGCAAATTAGCTCTTACACTTTTTTATCATAAGATTTAATTTCATCAAATGATTTTTTTCTTATTTCATTAGTTTTGCAGTGATACACAGAATGACAAGGATTTATTATTTTCAGTTTGTAAACATATCATTCAAAATTAGCCCCTCCCTCCATCTCATCCGGTGTCAGTCAGTCAAGAAAAGCAGGAGGATAATAGTGACAGAGCGGTTTTACTCAGAACAAAGCTGTGTTTTTCATGCTTTCAGCCGTTTGCAGGTTTTTTGTTTTGCACGACAGTTGTGTTTTATAACCCAAATTAACACACCCACAGCTTTGCATGGTCATGTGGGCGCTTACTTTTTTGTGTAAAATCAGCATTGCTTCGTTTTGCCTACTGCAGTCTCTCTGAGGAACGAAATCCAGATATAACGTTGAAGCCCACGTGAAATGCTCTTGGTTTGGAGCCAGTGATTTAAAGTTCAGAACAAAAGACATTCACACATACATTTACAGTTAATGTTATAATGCTGGTAACTGGAGGTATAATATGTATGTAGATTGGACCACCAACCTTCTGTCTGAATTACAATCAACTCCACTACCACCCACAGTCGTAAGCTGACCAGTGGGGTCCACAAATATAGCAGCTGAGCAAAGTGATTGCAACAACCAGGCTGTTAAGTTGAGCACAGTGGGGCAGAGAGACTTTTTTTTTTGTCATCTACTTGTATTTTGAAAGAGATCCTAGTTTAGCGGTTTTATGGAGAGCCTGAACATCCCGATAGAATATTCCTTAAAACGCCCAAATCTTGAGTTATTTCCCTGAGTAATGCATCAGAGCCGCAGAGTTAGAAGTAGGGTCAAAGGAAATGATAGTTTACTTGTTTTATTGGCCCCGCGACTCTGGAGCTGTTTGCTCGTTCAGGATGATTAGGTCCTACATTTTTGGGTCCATGTTCCTCTGCAGCAGCTTTCTTTGGAGTGAAGGAGACATCTTTGTCCGGGGCTGCAGCCGCTGTTTCCCTCACAGATACACACAAGTTTTTCTGAGGCCTGCCTTACACACTGATTTTACTGCACAAAGTTTAGCCCAAGAAATGTTTGAAAAAAACAGCCACTACCACATATTTCTGTTGGATCATAAGTGGAGTTTGAGAGACATTGTTTTTCTTAGGGCTGGGCAATAAACTGAAAATTTACAGATACCGAAATTTACGACAATAGCCGACGTCATTTTGCCCAAATCGGTTTATTCTGTGTCAAAAAAATGAATAAATAAAAGTTGGTTCTGGATGTGTGTAGGTAGGCTTTGGTCTCATGTCCCTTTTAAGACGCCGTCCTACATCGGAGACTTGACTCCACCCCATCCAGTCTGTAACAAAGAGGGAAAGACAGGTGAGGAGATGGAGGACAGTTCAAAAGTTGTAGCGGCTGAAGCGGCGGCTAAAGTAGACGAAGTTAATGTGTGAGGGGAGGAGCAGCTTGTGGAGTAGTTTTCGTCCATTTATTGTTATCGAGGTGAACTGCTCAATATATTGTGATATTGATTTGAGGCCATATCACCCAGCCCTATGACCACATATGTTTGTTTGCTGCTTGGTTCTTATTCAGCACATGATTGGTTCAGCGCCGCACGACCCGGAGAAACTCCCCTTTTCATTGGCTAATCGTAGAGTCTCCCAAAACATGTCAGAATGCCAGTTATCGAAAAAGCATATTGACCATGTTTCATATCGATATCGAGGGATATTCATTTTTATCATATATCATTATCGTTTTATCGCCCAGCCCTACTTACATGCGTATTCATTCTTAACCTTTTCATCCTGGCATCCTGAGCATGCACGCCCTTTGACGTCGCCGCTCTGCTTTACATTCCTGCCACAAAACACAACATTGTTTAGAAGCAGTCGCAGCATTACAATGTGTTTTATTTCTCACACTGGGCGACAAACCAGTACATTATGGCTGCTTGAAGGACGCCCTTTGTTGGAGAGAGGTTAACAGCCAAGTGGAGGCATATTTGGGAAATCGGTTCTGGAGAAATGATAAAATTCATTTAAGAAAGATACAAACCAGGAATTGTGCAGCCCTACGACTCTGTAGTGGAAGCCTCATTCGAGAAAAAGCATCTGTAAACAGCAAAGACAGCGACAAAATATGTGTAATTTCCCGAGCATTATCACAGCTTACACGGCAGCTCACAACAGGCTCTTCTGAGGGTCTTAAGTTAAGCTCTGTTACATCCTTTGAGAGTCAACAGCCACACAGCAAAAACGAGAAGTTAATACGAAACCACGCGGAGAAGAAGAAGAAGCACCTTAGTCAAGGGCGAAGTGGCAATTAATGCAGGGAGGAGTGATTCTGATTTCCACACCCAGTCAATCCCACCCTGTCTGGAGAATTGAACCAGCGAATGAATAACCCAAGAGTGATGTAGGAGCAAACAAAAGAGCGTCTGCATGTGTTTTGTTGGACCTGTTCCCTGACTTAAAATAGGAATGTCTGTGTGTAGAAGGAGAGGAGAGAAAAAAAAGCAATTTTGTTCTGGTTTTCTGAGATTAGATATGCTGTGACTCAGATACAAATTACTCGAGGCGGCGTGTGTGTGCTCTTCTGTGCGTGTGTGTTTGTGTGGGGCGAGGAGGAGGAGGAGAAATGCTGAGGTGTAACGCCACAGGAATACATGTGAGCGTGGATGAATGCGCCTTCAACACGGGGAATACATACGACTTACCCTGTGCTCTCAGTCATGTTGGTGTCGAGGTTTTCTTTTTTTTTCTCATTCGCTTGTAAAAATACGACAAAAAATGATCACCGGCTCTGACATGAAATCCATCCTGAGCAGCACCTGGTCCTGGAGCCTTTACCTCGCTAATATAGATACTTTTATGGAGAACCAGAACCAGGAACTGTTGTTTAAAAATCAATTCATCCATGTTTAACCCTTACCGTATGTTTTTTTCTTTTCTTTTTTTTTTCAAAGCTCTCTATCCATGAAGTGGAGGACAATCCCTCTGGTCATATTCTGGTCATGAAGGGAGCACCAGAGAGAATCTTGGACAGGTTGGTGAATCAATAATGGATCGATCATGAGTCTCACAAGGAAGGCTGCACAACATGTTTTCTTGTTCTTGTTCGTCATTTAACTATTCATTTTCTTTCAAGGATGGATGGAGGGGGAAAAAAACAGACTACACCTCCTTTGAGAATGATGATATTACATCCGTTTGTTGATTTTTTATTGTTGTAAAATCCTCTAAAAGACTCAAACCAGCGTTAATGGATCCTGGTCCCAGCTGGTGTCTGTGTGTTTGAAACCTGATGGAGCTTTAAAGGACTATTTCAGACACGCGGCTGCAATGTTGACGCACTGTTTACGCACCCTTTCATCACTGTGACACATTTGCACGCCGTAGTTTATTTTGAGTCCGTCCCATAGTCGCCCTCCTGCTGCCTTCATTACTCACCGGAGCACCGAATGTGTTTAATTAATCCGCCAGTGGAAACAGTCCCCGACAAATTCACAACTACAAGGTCAGAGCTGTTTGGGAAAATCTCCAGCTCCGTCTTAAAAACAATTAGAGTTTGTAAAAGTGTTTCAGGAGGAGCTAATGAGCTCTGGGTTTGAGAGCAACAAGCAGGGGAGGGGATCGTTTCACCGTCAGGGTGAAAGACGGCTGATAGACCTGAAGAATTAACTGATTAAATGGATTCTGATTATTTTAACTGGCAGAAACCTCGAGAAGGACCAGACTCATATTGAACAACCATCTGCTGAGATTGAGAACAACAGCACTGGTTTTACAAACTCTGCTGAAGTCTAAACTTTGCTGAATTTGAAGATAACTTTTGATCTAGTCTGGAGTTTAGATGCCGTCACTCAGTGGTGTTTACATGCACAGCTTAACCCTCCTCCTGTGTTCGGGTCTGCACCGACCAGTTTTTGTTTTTAAATGCTTAAAAGAACCACTTAAATTAGTTTATTTGCATCAAGACTTTTTGACTTTGTCAGGAACCAAACAAAATGAAAATAAAAAAATTAAATTGACTAAATTATAAAATGCTCTGATCAAAATTATGGCACTTAGGGTCGCTGTTGACACGGTTAGATGAATATCTCATAATTAAAGCAATAACTGAAATCATAAGTGCACTGTCAGGCACCACACTGACAGTCAGATCCTCTTCCAATCATGTGAGATTTAATAAAATTCTCATTTTGCATGTTTTTCTCAGCACAAAAACAACGTCGGGCATGTCTAGACATGTGAGTTCAGTATAGATGTCTGTATGAGGGGTATACTGACAAAGAAAAGCCCAGAGGACCACAACAAAAAATATTCTAAGCAATATTTTCATGGATAATGAAGCCAAACATGGTAGCCTAGAGATGAGAAACAAATTGGATGATAGAGAATTGTTTTTAGTGTAATTTACAGCTGATTTAAGACACGAGTCGAAACTGACCATAAACATGGTGGGTGTGTAGTAAAAGCTAACACAGGAGGAAGGTTAATCGGACTAAGCTCATCATTCGTTTTCTTTTCGCCAAATTGGACTTCTCTGCTTGTCCACGTGTCCATGCAGCTGAGAAAATCGAATTGCTGACGTGAACACGTCCTCCTTCCCAAAACAAGGGGGCAATATGGGTCTTTTCAGTGTTGCTGTTTCCTGACCTTTTTTAAAGATGTCTCCGTTTCTCATTTTGTGACTCTCTGTATACTTTACAATGTCAATTTCTGTCAGGACGGAAAGCATAACGCCACTCTCCTCATCGTTCCAAAAGTGGACATTCTTTCGTGCTTCAGCCATGTTGCAGTTGTTTCTGAGTCAAAAGTTCTTTAATTGTAGCGCCACTTCTTCTCTGGTGTTTTTGTTCCGGGGTTACGGAGGCGTGGCGCACTCACACATGCATTGTCCAATCATACTCCAACTACGCTGGTTACATGGTAGAGACAATTGAATTCCAATCACATTATCTGGGTGTCTTAATCCGAGTTCTCACACTCTGATTGGAGTCGGACTAAGGTGTTTACATGCACTTTGGTTGTCCGGTCTTAATCGGAGTAAGGCAATAATTTGGTTTTCTCAAGTGTCATGAAAATGTACTGAGTGTTCAGATTGTCTCAACAAAGGCAGAAGTCTGAACATGCTGTCCTGCTATACTGCATGAATAAATTAAAGTTGGTGCAACACTTGCTGTTGTATCATAGTTGATTAATTATCACCTCATCGTCAAGCTTTATCATATTCTTCTTTCCTTTCTGCTGCAGTGGGAGGTAACAGCTGCTTGTTTCATCCTGTCTGTTTAGAGGCTGTCGTGCATTAGTTAGCGCTCACACTAACACTCCATAAGGAGAAAAGGTTCTCTCTGATTGGCTACTGGAAGGGTAGATGTCATAGATGCAACAATATTTTGGTTAGTTTGAACATTATGGGCTCTGTTTTCGTGCCCGACGGTGGTGCACCCCACGTAGTTCGTCTGGCAGAGCCCGGTGCACAGCCAGTTTGGTATGTTGGTAGACTGAGGCGTACTGAGGTCCGCCAAGGTGGGCATGGTGGCGCAGTAGGGGGAGGTGTCAACCGAATCAGCTGGCACAGTGACATTTTTGTGCCCGCCAGGGAAAAGGCACGCCAAAAAGGCACAAAAGGCATGACAATAGAGCCCTATGTGTCTACGAGCAAAAATAAGACAAGCCTCACGGCCTTATGGCACAACCAAAGATACAGCTTTCACATATCTAGTGCACCAAACCTCAGGAGGACTCATAGTCTCAGTTTTAGCAGCTGGAGTCCAGCAGATCTAAAATAGGAGCTACAGCAACCGAACTGTAGACAAAGCTGAACCTCAGATTTGATACCCATCTTCACGAAATCAGATTTTTCACCTTTGGGATCTGTCTTGACAGATTTGCACTTGGTAGTTTGGTTCTGGATTTACCTTCAAGATAAGAGTCAATTTTTAAAAAGAGTTGTGGTCTAACAGATTTGTACCTCTCGTAGACTTGGAAATCACTGGATAACCTTAGAGCTGATAAACTTCCTGTGCGAGATTTGAGGTAATTGGGCGTGACAATTGAGTCTCATTGGAATTGAAAAAAGTAAGAAAAACACTAGACTGGTTCCTTTAATGTCCTCTTAATGAAGTTTTAATAGCGTGAGTATTTGTTTTAGTTGTTGTAGATTTAATTCTTTAATATTCTGGCTTTAAAGCTTCTGTAGAGTTAGGGTTAGGGGGTTGTTTAAGACCAATAAAAGCAAACAAGACCACCACAGACAGCACTAAGAGTGTCTTTGTCACACAGAAGAATGAGGAAGCCAGAGAGGCCAGCATTAAAAGGACTGTAACTGAGATGTGTCTGCGCCTAAATGAAATACCCTCAAGCTTTTTTATCTGGCAGTACACTTACAGAGCGAGTGCTGCACCAATATGAAACCAATCTGGCCCGGTTTCCTCAAAGTCCTAACACTCTATTAGTGAGTTTGCATCCAAAACAAACATTTGATTCAAGCGTTTTGTTTGGAAAAATACTTTTGGCAAGCACAAAGGCTCATCAAGTGAAGCCTCTGTGCCAGAAAAATCAGCTCACTGCTGAGTGTGGCGCGTTCTGGATGTGAAATCTAGTCTTGAAGATAAAAACCGAGGAGATAATATCTTATTCGAGCAGGTGTCAGAGTTCACCCGTGTTGTGTTTTACCTCTGCTCAAGCCAGTTGCACTGATTGACTTTCTTTTAAATCTAATAAACGCTCTGCAGGTGCAGCACCATCATGCTCCAGGGCCAGGAGCAACCACTTGATGAAAACTGGAGGGATGCTTTCCAGAATGCCTACATGGAGCTGGGAGGACTGGGAGAGAGAGTGCTGGGTATGTTTGACACCAGCAGCTTAAAATCAGCGTGTTTGGAATAAAAGGAAAACACAGAGGAGCAGTTCGGCTCAGCTCGCACCCTTTATAATCTCCTTAGTAAACAGGCGAGCGGAGCCAAATGTCCTCATAAAACTGCTCTTATTGCAGGTTCAGGCGCTGCGGTCTGGTTGGGTTCAGAGCTGAAATTAAAATTTTAACATAAACCGTTTCAGTATGGGTTTCCTACTGTTAGAAATTCAGCTTGTAAATAAATAGTAACATAATTCAGGTCAGACTCTGCTCTAAATTTTGGGATTATTTGTGCGGGAAGGAAGATTTTTCCTTGTTAAATGCCAAAGAGGGATTTTTAGGTGAAAAGAAAATCATTAGCTGAAGTTCAACTTTCAATATCTCTTAAGTGTTCAGCATTCAGACTCTGTAAATGTCATCATTTTGACAACCAAGGGAAAAAAGTTACCTGGCATCTTTTAGAAAGTGCCATAGGTAATAATTATGTGCTATCATCATTTTGTGAGAGTGGGTGTCACTTTTTTTCAAGCGGTAAAATGTGGAATAGTGCCATTTTTTTTTTATCTGCAGCAGAGCTCCGGAAATCATGTAAATTATTAAACCTCACTTATGCCTTGGGTGATGAGGATGATGTGTCGGGGGTTTCGTGACAAAGAGAGGTTTCTCTGCTTTTAGGCTGAGCCCGGCGTTTCCTCAGAAGCATTTTGTTTTGCTTTGCTCCTCATGGGGATCGGAGACTTACATATTTCAAAGGCTGTGGATCATACATTAATAAAAGTGGTGGATTGAACTTGTATTTCAGACCCGGGATGACAACATTTACATCTAATATTAAAAATGATTTGTGTGCACACTGGAAGGTAAAGTTTATTGAAGTCAGGAGACAGAGAGAGCAGCCTGTAAAGTTGTCTGAAAAGTTGAGGTTCCCAGATGCCTCTCAGACCGTGGACCGACATTTACCTGGATGGGTATTTTTGCTTCAGTGCAGCAGTGATACTAACTTAATTTGATAATATTAACAGTAAAAGTGACAGGAATGACAACAGCAGACACGACAACTGTGATTGCTTTGACAAATATTATAGGGTGACACTTAATATGAAGGTCCTTATTATAAGAATTAATTAAAGCTTAGAACATTTATTGGTGTCAGCAAGTGTTGATTAAAGTATAATTAACACATTAATTATTGCTTTAAAGACTCCTAGGTTTACATCTCTATTATAAACAATTATTATTCACATTAATTAGACTTATAAGACAGACATATTCGTTACGACTTTTAACACCCTTTATTATTCTTGACAAGGCTTTAATCTTAACTATTACAGTCATATTTTTAGTCACACTTTTTAGTGTTAATTAGTAGTCTTTAAATTGTAAAGATCATGATGAATACTTATAGGAGTCTCATTAGCAATAAAAACAGTTAAAGTTGTAATACAAGTTCATATAGTTATGTTATTGTTATTAAACATCTAACTTGAATTTCAGATGCAGTATATACTGTAATTAGTTTGTTACAAGCTAATAACAGATATGTGGATTAATCTGTAATTAACCCTTATAAATACCTTATTAATGTTTATAAGGGTTAATTAACCTGTAATAAACCCTTATAAAGTCTAATTAACCCTTATTAGCGTTTATAAGGGTTAATTAACCTGTAATAAACCCTTATAAAGTCTAATTAACCCTTATTAACGTTTATAAGGGTTAATTAACCTGTAATAACATCTTATTGATGTTTATAAGGGTTAATTAGACTTTGGACTTACCCTGATAAAGACTAGTTAACACTAATAAACATTTAACTAATGTTTATAAGGGTAAATTAACCTGTTATTAAGCCTAAGTAGTTCTTATTAAGGCTTATAAACATCTTATTAATGTTTATAGGGGTTCATTAACCTGTAATAAGCCCTTAAAAGTCTAATCAACCCTTAATATTTATAATTAACCGTAGTAAGCCTTATTAATGCTTATAAATATCTTATTAATGTTTATGACATGTTTATAAACTTTTAACATGTTTCTAATTAGAGCCTTAAAGAGTCTTATAAGCAATAATAGATGTATAATAATGAATTGTTCTCTTTAGAAATGTTCATTAACACCTTATAAGGTCTTATAAACAATGAATTAATCATGACTATGATATAAAGTGTTCCTGAGAGGATAGTCAGGTTAGGTTCACAGAAGAATGGAAAATATTCCAGTTCTCCATAGGGGGCGCCACAGATCCTTTATTACCTTATGCGATATTGGACTTGAGATGGCGTAGACCTCCCTCTTTAAAGTTTCAGCATTATTTTAATATCACGCTCACTCCAGACTGACAATCATTAGTTTTTCACTGGTGTACATACATGTTTGGGTAGATTCATATAACTGGTCTACCTTTGAGTAGATATCAAACATCAGAAACGTTACTGTTCTCTGAGACTTTATATCTCTGTCCTAATAAACAGTCACCCTCCTGATCCCTCTCCTCCCTCAGGCTTCTGCCACGTGAATCTGTCTTCATCGCAGTTCCCCAGAGGATTCACCTTCGACAGTGACGACCCAAACTTCCCCACAGAGCAGCTCTGCTTCCTGGGCCTCATCTCCATGATTGATCCGCCGCGTGCCGCTGTGCCTGATGCAGTGGGTAAATGCCGCTCTGCTGGTATCAAGGTAATTGGTTCCACAGATTCAACCTTCATTGTGGTTCATGAAAAGCTTTTTTTTCCGAGGGCTTCGTGTGTCGGGCTTTTTCCAGGAGGGATTTGCATGTCAAATGTCTTTTCAAAGCCCAAATGACAAATGATTTAACGTCCCTGATAGGTGATAATTGGATAGATGAATAATAGATACATTAAGAGCTATTGCTTAAAGAGGTGTGCTAATTATATGCTGTATGTTAACACTCTGGAAAAAGATCCTCACGGCCAAAGATGCATCATGAACAATTTTATGTTTATGCCTGTTTTTCTGTTTTTAGAAATAGATGTTCAGAATAGCAGCATTAAAGAAAGCTCATGACAATAAAGTTCAAGTTAACTTGTTTAATGCAGATTCGGTACATTAAATACAAATTTCCATCATGTATTAACAAACTGCAAACAGGCATGAAGCAGATGTTTTGGGAGTGAAGTAATAAGCCGGGGCTGCAGGAAGGTTAAACAACTTCCAGCAGAGATTTAAATGGAAAAGAGGTGGAATGAATCGCTCTCGTTCGGGGAGGGGGAAGTGTTTCTAATGTGGAAATGAGATTTTGCACATTTAGTCTCAGGTACAGTAGTTATCACGCTCCCTTTGATATTGAATTTTTGATAGACAGACTGTAATTGGCTTAAGAACAAAAAAGAGCGAGGAGTTGAAATGTTATTGCGGCGTAAGTGAATAAAATGGTTAAGGGAGTTTGTGCTGAAAAGGCTGCAGAACTGATAAAACGGCTGATAGAGTGTCTGAGAGGAAGTTAGCAGCAGTAGATCAGCTTCATTTTGACAACAGAGTTTGGTTTAAACTCAGGGTTGGGCCTCATCCTTCTCGACAAATGACAGACCTAATCTTCATCGTATTAGCAAAGATGTGACATGAAGACGGGATAAGACTGAGTCCGGTTTAGAAGATAAGAAAAATCAAAATGAAGTATAAACTTTTATCTGAATCTAGCAGCCACTCATACTGGCAAAAACAAATAAACGAGGCTTTAAACTGTCTGTGTTCATCATCTAATTAGCCGAGTCGTGCCAAAGCTAGTGGTGCTTTCAGTAAAGTTGCGTAAAGTTACATCTAAATTGACTCAATTGACGACACACTACAGCTAGAGCTACGTTCCATGTACTTGAGGGCCGGCGAATTTTCGTTTTCAAATGAAAAAACAAAAATCGGGAGACGAAAAACTGAAACAAACCATTTTCCGTTTTGATCATAAAACCGGAGAATGAAAAAACAACTCAATATTTCACTTTCTGTGACGCAGCTTTAGATGAAAATCGAAAATCAAGTTTCGTTCACTTTTTCACTGTGACCCAGAAGTTGTGACTTGGAGCAAGATTTTGGCTCTTGTTAGCACAGATATATACATGTATAGATTGTTTTTGTTATGTTTATTTTCTGTTTGTCATCTCCCGATTCCTTACTGGTGGTCAGGAGACAGCTCATCTCCCGATTTTCGTTTTCTCATTTGAAAACGAAAATCCGTTGGCTGCCAAGTACACAAACCCAGTAGCTGTGGCGTGTCGTCAACAAAGCCAGTGTCGATGTAACTTTACGCAACGTTACCGAAAATGCCGCTAGCTTCGGCATGACTCAGCTAATTTGATGATGAACACACAGTTTGAAGCTTCGTTTATTTGTTTAGTACACGGAATCTACTGCCCCACTTCCTTGAATCCTTTTTGGCGTCAGGCGAGTTTATGAGTGGACACACAGTATGCGAAACTTTAGAAAATTCGATCGTGATACGAAAAAATACATGCTGTAATATCGCAGGACGGGAAAACATCGCTGAGGTGAACGCTTGTATTGACAGGATACGCGTTTAAAAAAAATATTGACGTCCGAAATAATCGCACGCAAAAACGCTCCCATTGTGAAAGGACCTTTAGGCAATATGATAATACCTGATAAGGTATCAAAACTAAAGAAATGATTCTCGAGCTGCTGTAACAGCAGAGGTTTCTGCACGTGTGCAGTCTGCCTGAACAGAGGAAACACAATTTTGTCCTCACACACAAACACACACTGGCACAAATCATTTATATTTTCTCCTGGCTGAGCCCAGGATGAAACTAGAGCACATGGTCTGCTGCTTTAATTACTTTTTAATGGATGTAGCTCGGATGTTTCTGTGCAATGTACAACCTTCGTCCAGAGGCTTTAGTGCCATGTACACTGCGCTTTATTTACCCGGCCTGTGGTCTGCTGTAGATACTGATGCTGTCAGGGATTTCAAGAATGCATCCCTCGTGTCTTATCAGCGCTAAGCTCTTCACGCCATGTTTAAATGCAAAAAAAAGAGGGTTTCAGGGGATGCGGTTCTGCTTTAAGTCACATGACTATGAGTCCTGCACATGTATCTCAATGATAGAGCGGGTAATCCACTTACTGACTGGTTGGCGGTTTGAGTCCTCTGTCAAAGTGTCCTCTGAAGTTCATGACCTGGACTCTGTGTGATCAGAGTGTGAATGAATGAGTGAATGAATAAACTAACAAGATGCTCTTTTAGTTTGACGTTGTTTTTCTTCACTTTAAGGCACAAAAAAAACCTTTCACATTTGTATCCTGCTAATGAACAGATTTTGTCAGATTTCGGAGAAGCAGAAAAAAGGAATTGTACTCTGTCCTCGGTGTGTAATAAAAATGAGGAGATTTTCAGTCAAATCTTCTTTTTTAATTTGGATGTTTCCAAGAAATTACAACCTGAAAGTCACTCTGACAGGGCGCTTGGCAAAAAAAGTACAACTGTGAAGGCAAAGTGAGAATCGACTGCTTTTCTGAAAGGACCCGAACGACATTGTCAACCTGTGGCAGACTTTCAGGAGGTGAAAAGATTGGCAGCAAGTATTTTAGGATCTTATACTATCCAGCTAATGCAGATTTCTTCTGTTAACCTTTATTTTACGTAAGCGCAAAAATGACGAAACACACCAATTCTTCTGTGGAAGTTTTGACAGTGAATTCTTCCTGTCCTGCAAAAACACGACAAGAAAAGAGAGAAATGGAAGAAACAGTCGAACGGGTTTCTGTTCCAGACACCGGCTGACTCTCGTATTTGTTCCTGTTTCAAACAAAAGACTAAATGCCTCCAAATTAAAGGTCAGAGCCGCGCTTTGAAGATGCGCCGTGTCGTAATTAGCAGCATTCAGCACTAGAACAGACTTGGTAGAGTGTAATATTCACAGGTATGTTTGAATGAGTGTTAAATCACCTGAATGGAAAAATCGTTTTGTTTCTGTTCACCCAGACTGACACTTATATCCACATACACAATACAATACAACACAATACAAGAACTTTAATGATCCTCAAAGTAAGATTCGTTAGTCTGAAGTCTCATCTACTATTTATAGAAGAATTCTGAAATCAGATCTCTTCTTCCTTCTGTCAAGGTGTTATGCAGTGGATAATCCATACGGGTGTTCCAACAAGGGTACCTCACGATTCCATTTGATTTTGACTATTGGTTCCATGATTCTTCGATTATTGCCATTTTTAATGTACATTTCTATACAAGATTAATTTTGTCTTCATCTGTGGTTAAATTTGTAAATAAATAGCCTATCAATTAACTCAGTTCCTCTAAAACTACACTCAATAAGTAAATAAGGTTTTTTAACATAGACACAAAACATTTTATTTTATGACTGTTATGGAAACATTTGCAGTTTGATCTACTTCGTCGTGATGAAAGTAGCTATCACTTTTGTAATGCTCCTCACCTTCTCCAAGTTCTTGGGAAGTTTGGAGACAGTTTTCAGGGTGGTCCTCTGCGTGGCGGGCACGACCGGAGGAGCCTTCTCTGTTTCAGGATGAAAGCGTACAAGATGCTAGCTCGTGTTTGTGGTGTAGCTGAGGTACTTTATTTTCATAGGTCTTGTCAGTCGTCTCGTTTGCTCTGTCATAAAATCCAAAGTACTTCCACGCATTTGCTGTCAACCTTGGTGGCGAGAGAATCGGCTGCTGTCGCCATTTTGCAAAGAAACTAACGTGCTCTGTTTGTTGTGGTCCCACTCACTAAACAGTCCGGGCGGAGCACATTAAGGTTCAGGTTATGTGTTTTTATTTGTTCCGGCCTTGCAGCGACATTATTATTTATTCATTTATTTATTTTAAGCATTGACAAAATTAATCGATGCCGAATCGTCACGTGAAGCATTGTGATGCATCGGCACATCAATAAATTGCACCCACCTCTAATGATCTTTTTTTTTTTTTTTTTTAGAATAACCGTCATCTTCCTGACAAAATATGATAAAAATATGAAAAAAAGGGTAAAATTTGAAGAAAATTCAGACAGACCAGACTTTGCTGCTACTCGGTTAAGTGCAGGCTCTAAAATTGAACCTACATACATAAGAGCTGCCATGTTTCTATTGTAGATCAGAGCGGACAGCTGGCTGCCAACAGATGCTTGAAATTTAAAGGGACAGTATGTAAAATTTAGCTGCATTTTCCTAAAGAAATAGAAAGTGTTATGTACGAGTATGTTGAAATTCTTCTTATTGAATGGAAAATAATAATTTCTGGACACAGAGAGAGTAAACTGAAGTTTGGAGAGGAAAGGAAGTCTGCCAAGAAGTAGCATTATTGCAAACAGGAGAGAGCAGACTGATGAAAGCCCGGGGTTAGAGCAGCTTCTATCAGCTCTTTTTTTCCAAACTAGAGCAGGTTTAGACTCGTGGAACACAGTTATAATACAGTAAGGTTAAATGGTCTCTGTGACTCTGACTCATCAGGTGATCATGGTGACCGGGGACCACCCAATCACAGCCAAGGCCATCGCTAAAGGCGTGGGCATCATCTCCGAAGGTAACGAGACGGTGGAGGACATCGCTGAGAGACTGAACATCCCTCTGAGTCAGGTCGACCCCAGGTGTGTTAAAGAGACGATTTCACATTATTGAGAACTTATGAGAATCTCAAGCTGTGATCCAAGTCTCAGGAGACCCAGGCGTCTTCTGCGAGAGTTTATCTTATATCCGGTGAGAGTAAAATGAAGAGGAGGAGGAGAACAAGCAGAGCAGGAAATGACAGCGACGTACCAACACACAGAGAGAGAAACTTGAGAGGCTGCAGATTTAAGCAGATGTTTAATTACTTCACTATAATTTTATGCTTTATGAAGTCACGCCAAGTCACACTAGATGTCCTCATGTCACACAAGCGTGAAAGAAGTAGGTTGTCGATGTGAGGAAAGTGTGTTAAAGCTCATTGTTATGTATCTGTAACCTTGAAACCCCCTGGAGACGAGGCCGGTTCAGCATTATCAGGTCAGCTGTGGAGTCTAAACAACAATCCAGGAGAAAACAGAGAAGTGACCTTCTCAGGTCTGCAGCTGGCCTGAATACACCGAGTTCCGTCACACTTTTACTCTACTTTTCAGTTTTTTTAGTTATAAGACTGAGGACGCAGCCTTGGCTTCACCTGGAGGACTTGAAAGCTGAGAGTCTGCGTGAGAAAACTGTCAGTCAGTGTAAAACTAAATAAATTGAGAATTTCATCAACAAGGGAACAGAAAACTACAGTGGCCCTGAGGTGCAAACACAATGGCAAAATAAAAAACGGAACACACAAGAAAAAGAAAAACGATAATGGTTAATGTCGTCCTGTTTCCTCTTATTGTGGTTGTGTTTTCTCCTTTGTCATTGTGTTTTCTCTTTTGTTGTCATGTTCTCTTGCATTTGTTGTTGTGTTTTCTCTTTTGTCATTTTGTTTTCTCTTTTGTTGTTTTCTCTTTTTGTCATTGTGGGTTTTTTTTTGCTTTTTTGTTTTTTTCTTTTTGCCGTTGTGTTTTCTCTTTTATTGTTGTGTTTTCTTTTTTGTCATGTTTTGTTTTCTTTTGTTGTCATGATTTCTCTCATTGTAGTTGTGTTTTTTATTTTATCATTTTTTTCTTTTTTGTTGTTTTCTCCTTTGTCATTGTGTTTTCTCTTTTTTTCATCTTTTCTCTTTTGTTGTCATGTTTTCCTTTTTGTCATCACGTTTTCTCTTTTGTCGTTGTGTTATCTCTTCTTTTGTTGTGTTCTCCGATTTGCCGTTGTGTTTTGCACCTTAGGGCCACTGTAGCAAACCGTTTAAAAGATTTGAGAAAACTAACACAGGATAGCCTCGATCTTTAGACTCTTATGCGACTCTGCATTAAAAAAAGAACACAACTCTGTAGTGGAAGTCACCGCATGGGCTCAAGGGGCTAAAACCTGCAGAAGACTGAAAAAAACCTGCAGAAGTCCAGTGTTAGTTATCGACTGAACAATATGAACGTATATTTTTGTTATTTTGGAATTACGTCACACATACTATCTCTGTGATCCACCCCTTTATACTTCCTCCAAATACTCTCATCTTTATCTTAGAGGGGCAATAATAAAGAGGGTCTTATCTAATCTTCAGCCTCTGCAGATTAAATCTTAAAACAGCACATTAAACACTGAGCTTTAAAAGCTCTGGATTTTGACAAAGCCCGACAAGCTGTTTCCCCCTTTTTTCTAATCTTTATGCTAAGCTAAACTAACCGTCAGCGGGCACCCGCTTCGTTTTGAACAGACGGCCCTGAGAGCGTATTGATCTTCTCTGCGCAAGAAGTGAATAAGCATATTTTTCCAAATGTCAAACATCTCCTATAAGACAGAGCGCATGAGGGAGTGAGCGTTTCCTGCCAGTGAGGAGGAGTGCGCGCTTGTTTGGGAGGAAACAGAGACAAACTTGAGGAGAAAGAAAGAAAATGTCAACACTCCCCCTTTTGCATAATTGCCCCTGGTATTACTGACTCCTCACTGTGTTTGCACCTGTGTGTGTGTGTGTGTGTGTGTGTGTGTGTTCCCCAGAGATGCCAAAGCTTGCGTGGTGCACGGCTCGGACCTAAAGGACATGAGCGCCGAGTACCTGGACGACCTGCTGAGGAACCACACTGAGATAGTGTTCGCTCGTACCTCCCCTCAGCAGAAGCTCATCATAGTGGAGGGCTGCCAGAGACAGGTCAATGGCCGCCGCTCTGTGTGTGTCTGTGTGTGTGAAGGGGGCTTTTTGAGAAGAGAATACAACTGAATACCAATGTGTGTGTGTGTGTGTGTATACGGTTGAAGGTGTGTGTTTGTGATGAAGTCTGGATGAATGCCTGAATGGGTCTGTTTATGTCCAAGAGTGGAGGTACGTGCGCGCATGCATGTGTGTGTAGGACAGATGAATGCGGGGTTTGTGTACGCGCGTGCACGTGCACCGGGGGTCCAAATGCGGGTATTTGCTCGGATGCGAAAGTGTGTATACATCCGAGCACATATATTAAACTCTGTATTTTGATGCTCTAAAGTATGTGCTCAGCTTTTTTGTGTGAAAACGTTGAGAATAAATGTGTGCACTCACTCGCACACATCCCCATATATTGAGGTCATGCTACAATTCACCCCGACTCACTCACTCTCCCTCCGTGTGACTGAATGATTGCAACTCAATTCCATTTTTCATTTAATCTCCCCAGAGCTGCTTTGAAAAGACATTATTAAGACAGAAGGGGGAGGAGGGGAGGGGAGGCAGACGAGGGGGAGAGAAGCTTAAATCATGGTACTTATCTTTCTTTTTCTTGACACTTTTTGTTCGCCCGCTTCCTCGCGGGGTGCAGGGGGCCATCGTGGCTGTGACGGGCGACGGCGTCAACGACTCTCCGGCCCTGAAGAAAGCCGACATCGGCGTTGCCATGGGGATCGCAGGCTCTGATGTGTCCAAGCAGGCGGCTGACATGATCCTGCTGGATGACAACTTTGCCTCCATCGTCACCGGGGTAGAGGAGGGTGAGTGTGAGGGAGGGTGGAGGAATAACGGAGGTAAAGTGAAGACACGGCAGGGGGAGGTCACAGAGAGATAAACGCTAAAAGGAAAAAAGCAAATCAGATGAATAAAAAGGACAAGCGGTAAGAAAATATTCAGATTCAAAAACACTCCGCTGGTAAGCTTATTTGTCATGCACCAGCAGAGACACAAGATTTCCTCTAAATAAGTTAAATCTAAAAGTCTGATGTGAGTATCATTGTGGTTTATTTCACGCTGGAACAAACAGAGCTTTACTCGACTTTTGAGACTTGGATCAGGGTCAAAATCCAGTCCCTCCAAAAATGAGGACATCCCTGCATTAGTAGAGGAGGTCGCTTCCTTTACAAGAGAAATAAATGCCTGAATTTCGCAAATACTGCTCTCTTCCTGCAGATCTCCTTTTTCTGCAAGACCGTTCGCCACATGAGCACGCAAACGAGTTCCTACGCACTTATTACTCATACAGCTGTCACGTCAGATCCTGCGAAATGACCTACTATTTATCCTGAGCATGGTTTCACAGACTCTACAACCCTTATAGAGGCTCTAACTTTACACTGTGTTAGCTGCAAGTGACTCACATGTAAGTAGAAGATTTTATATTTTATCAAAAACACAATCGAATATCTACTTAGCTGTAAAAGTCACAAATATTTGAATTTTATTGTCCAATTTACAGTTTTTCTCAGTTGCTTTGGTACATTTCTCAGATCAGAATTGAAATTCTCAAAACTACGTGTTCAATCTTCACATCACTGTGCCACTTGTGCACATCAGAAAAGCAGTTTCTCATTTCTTTGAACAACTTGCAAATGCTTTGGTACAGCCATGCAAATGATTATGTACAATTTTCTGCTGTTTTCTACATTATCAATTGCTTATGTCATGTTGATCAAAATGTACTATAATGGGTCTCTGTTGAATAGTCTCACCCCCCACAACATTTAGGCATTAGTTCATCGCACAAGTCTTTACATGCAAAATGGTTGAACACGCTGTCATAATATGTCAAGCATATTTCTATACATTTCCATTAGACGTTTCTGAATCTGTCCTGAATTGGTAAATTGCTCCCAGGTGAATCTTGACTTTCTCTAACGGTGGGAAATGTGTGAAGCATTAGATCAACCAATGATCAACCACTTTTCTGAAACAGCTCAAAGGTGCATCTCATGAACCATCAACTGGCAAGTATATATTGCCAGGGCACAACACAATGTTACAATGTCTGACAATGGAAGGACAAGGAAATGGACGGGGTCAACAGCCAGAGAGAAGAAGAGGAAGAGGAGTGAGGCTGCGTGGCGGAGGAGTTGGGAGGCAAAACAGAGGAAGAGGCAGAAGAGGCAGAGGACAAATGCACGTTCCTGATGAGATAAGAGCTACACTTGTAGACCACGTTCTCAATCATGGGCTTACAATGGCTGAGGCTGGCCGAAGGGTGCAGCCAAATGTTGGGAGAACAACTGTGTCCTCAATCATTCAGACTTTTCGTTGACAGAACAGGTTTGTAATCTAACAATAGGCACTGTACTGTAATACTGTATACTTTCTGTAATGCTTCATACAATATTGCAGTATTTGACTTTCATTTTACAATATACAGTAAGTATAGTATATACAGTGACATTTTGGATGAGTGACATTTTGTGGATAAGAATTTGTTGCCCAACAGACAGGAACATCAGGAGGTGTAGGAAGACTGTACTGTAATTCCTACAGCACTGCATTTCCAGTTTTCCCTAAGGAAATTGTCCTATGTTCACATTTCTACTTTTGTTTTTTTGTTTTTTTTATTGTGCTCTGCAATGCTGTCTTTTTCTTTTCTGTATCGCAATGACATGGTCTGTCATCAAATTACAGTCTCTTGCAATCAATGCAATCAATCTCCCACATACACTGAGGTGTAACTTACAATTTACAATGATTGTCATCAAAACTTTAGCCATAGTTTACATCAGAACATCCCTCCAGAGTACACTGTTATATTGACAACATGACTAAGCAATTTGACTGTCTTATCCGTACACAATGACACAAGGACTTGTCATTCTGATGGCACTGACATGTTCATTGACACAGATATTTACTTTTGAGAGATGTACTAAGGATTTTGAGCAAGAGACTGGCTTTTGCAGGTAATCCATGGTGTTTTGCTATTTGTACAAATTGTTTTGAGAAAAGAACTAACTGTTTTGCAAATGTCGAGGATGATTCGAGAAATGTACCAAAGCGACTGAGAAAAACTGTAATATCCTGGCTCGCTCATCCATCTTGGTTTGGCACCAAGGTGACGCTCATTTGTATTTGTTGGTAGTTTTTATGAGTTTTTTCCCCCACAGAAAGGCTTTTACCATGTTTACCCAAATATGTGACCACTCTGATTATAAGAAATAAGAACATTTACCAGGACAGTGTTTAAAATATTTAAAAAAGGACATATTGAATTTAAAGTGTGTGAGTTACATGACTTTTCTAGGATTTTAAAGGTAGAGTGACCTTATGTCCTCTTTCACCCGGACATGTCCCCTTTTTTGGGGGCTGTCCGTCCTTGTCCGGGGGAGTTTTGTATGGAAGTTTTGAGTTTGTGTTGTGTAGACATCCTGCATTAAAAGTGCATAAAAAACACTCGACCCGACCCTAAAACTCATAAATAACTACGCTTGCCTCTGCTCCCGAGTAGTGCTGTCCCCTTTTTGGGGATTCAGAAAATGGTCACCCTTTTAAAATCAAAGAAAAAAGTTCTCAAATTTGAAATAAACTCATTAGAGTTTTTCTGAAGTCCACAGAAGCTCCTCTGATCTTGGTCGTTTGTTGTTCGTTAACTTGTCTGACTTTTGTGACACATTGCTCCGATTACCATGTCTCTCCATCTTCATGAATAAGTGATGCCGTATTGTTTTCTACCATCAAACACCAAACTCAAGACTCTTTTTAGAAGTATTTAAAGGGGAAAAAACATCTTATTTTGGGTCAGTTGGTCATTTTACCAACCTGAGGGACTCTTAAAAGTCAGTGAAGAGTTTTGAAGTGATTAACCATTTGGTTGAAGTTGATTTTTTGCACAGTGGTGCCTAAAGACTACCTGAGACTGGACTTCTTTTCTCTGTGCCTGTTCAGAACAGCAGAGTTTGGTGGATAGAGCATAAAACAGGAAAGAGGACTAAGGCTGGAGGCCAAGTGTGAGCTTTAACCTCCGCATGTAGGGTGCACACCTTAATTGCTTGGCTAAAGGCTCCCTACATTCATACCCCCTATAAGAAATGAAGTTTAAAGAATAATATTTGAAGACTTTATTTCGTAAAGGTAAGACAAGGTCAGGAAGTGCTGGGAGCATGGCTACGAAAGCTAGTATCGAAGTAGTTTGATCAATTTCCAGGTCTTAAAAAGTATGGTAAATGAAAAATAAAGTATGGAAAAATATTTATGTTTCCAGACTATTACCACAGTAAAAAATATATATTTATATATATTGTTTTCTAAAATAGAGAAGTCGGTATTTCCAAAAATAATTCTGAAAAGAATAGTGTGTAGAAGTATGGAAATTCCAACTGTGTAGGAACCCTGAAATAAGCACATTTTGCATGTTTCTCCGTGAAGGAGCTGAGCTGACTGGCGTCTATCGTGGATAATACACTTAACTTCCTTGTGACATGTATCTCATACACCCTCACTTCAAAAATACTGAAATATCCCTTTTAAGCGTGGACTTGAAAAACAGCGTCTGACAGATCCAGACTCGCTCTATTTTCATTAAAAGAAAAAAGAAAAAACAACACATTCACTTCAATCGACGCGATGCTTTATCTGCAGTTTTCTCCCTCTGCCTCGTGGGTTGACACGGTTTCACACAGAATGGTGACTGCTTTAACAAACCCGAGAAAAGACTCGAGTTTTCCCACCAGAGTCGGGAATTTAATCTAAAGCAGAGCCGCTAATATAGTCTGGGAAAAGCCATTAGTTAGGTGGATATGCTGACAGAGCAGTCAGAGTCATCATTTTTTTATTTCAGCCAGTCTGGAAAACTCACTCCAACATAATAAAGGCTTTAACATCAGAAAGAAAACCGTTTCTAAGCTTCGCCTCGCTGTAATGTAAGCAGTATCTCATTCATAATGGAATGAAATATCCTCACACTAATAATATATCAAAGTAGACATACATTTTATTGAATCTCTGCAAAGACCCGTCTCTCTCTCTTTTGTGTCTCTCTAGGCCGTCTCATCTTTGACAACCTGAAGAAGTCCATCGCTTACACGCTGACCAGCAACATCCCCGAGATCTCGCCCTTCCTCCTCTTCATCATCGCCAGCGTTCCTCTGCCCTTGGGAACCGTCACCATCCTCTGCATCGACTTGGGCACTGACATGGTGAGCGAAAAAAAACGAGAAAGAAAACGAGTCACTTCGCTCGATTAGCCGGGTCCCCCTGTCCTTTTGACGGACATGCTAACAATGGTTTTCCTTCATTATCTCAATCAATACTTTGAGTCCATCTCTGAGAAATGACAGCTTAATAGATGTATTGACTGCTGGAGTGTGTTTTAAGTGTGTGATGTATTAATCATTGAACACATCACTCCTTCTTTCTCTCTGGACTTTCAGGCGCTCGTGTTTGAAAAATGAAACTTTCACAGACATCCGTCAGCCTCTCACCCCCACATGTTCATTTCGCAGGAGTTTCACAGCAGGTAGCGTCAACAAAACTAAGTTTGAGATTCATCAGCTTTTACTCCAAAGCTCTGTCAGCGCTCGCAGATAATTGTTGGCAAATTTCTCCTCAATAAAGTGGATGCTAATTGTTGCGTAGCTACAGGCGAGCCAAAGGTGACAATAAGGAAACTCGCTTTAATGCCGGTGTCAGATATGAAAGCCTGGAGGTAAAACGAAACAAAACGTTTGGTTTAATTTGTTCTTTCTGTCAGTGGGAGAAATTCACTTTTGGCTGACTGCCGACGACCATTTGTTCAAGCAGAACAAAGACCGGGGTGACGCTCACACACAGATTTACATTTCACAGCTCTGCCATTTCCAGATGCCAGTCTCACCATTGTATTTCCAGCAGCAACAAAAAGAGTTGCTGGCACGCGGCTCGCCTGAGGGGCGTAATCCATCATTGCGAAAGAAAGGAGGCACGAGATGAATATATTCAAAAGGACTTGTGCTCATTATTTGAACTTTAATTTTTTTCCTGCTCTGTGCCACCAGCGTGCAGCTGGATCTGGCTCTCACGCATGCAAACGAGCCAAAAGCGAAAATCTTACAATTAATGAGATGCGTGGCCTCATATACCACCGCCGGGAAGCCTTGAAATTCTGCATGGGTGGAAAATATATGACAGGGATGAATAAAGCTCATAGACCTTTCAGGTGGAGGCGTGACAAAGTGTGATTTTGAGTCTGGTATGAGGACGAACCAACAAACCCTGATCAGAGGACCTCAGAGTCCAGCTGGAATTATACAGCTCTTTAATAAAAGCAGGTGATTTGCCGTGCAGAGCTCTTTACACGGTCACAGGAGTCTTAAACTGCATCCTGACTTTAATGGGAAGCCCGTGCAAAGACCTGAGTTAAGGTGTGACAAAAGACCTTTTTGGAGGATCTTGTCAGACCGCCTGGAGGCAGTTTGAAGAAGTGACGCTGAGACAGAAGCAAGAACCGTAGTTTTTCGCTAAATGCTCGAACTAGGAGGGAACTAAACCATTACCACCCTGATCCAGACTCAAAGCCTGGACCGTTTAGATACTGAGATTTTGGCAGGTTTTAAAGAAGAAGATAAGAAACAAAGATTTCTGACCACGAGAGAATAATAATAATAATAATAATAATAATAATAATAATAATAATAATGCATCAGATTTTATGTAGCACTTTATCAGAGACCCTCAAAGCGCTTTACATCGGATACATCATTCATTTGCACAGTCACACCCCGGTGTTGGTAAACTACCTTAGTAGTCACAGCTGCCCTGGGGCAGACTAATGGAAACGTGGCTGTGGCAGTGGAGGACACACACTGGGAGCAAGGTGGGTCTAGTGTCTTGCCCAAGGACACAATGGACAGACTCTGTTTACGGGGGAAACGAACCGCCAACCTTCAAGTTATTGGACGACCGCTCTACCTCCTGAGATAAGAACGTCAATCTGCCAGTGAAGCTTTATTAAAGTTCACATGGTCAAATGTGATTCAAAGGAAAGACACGTAGAGCTCAGTGTCATCTGCATAGAGTGTCTGTGTACAATACTCCAATAAAAGCAGGTACGGTGAAACCCACAGAGGACTGAGGACAGAACCCTGAGGGACACCCACAGACTGTGTAAAAATGGACAGCATTGGTGATGTTTGGGAAGCCTATCGTTGACAGCTGATGACTCAACCTAACTTTTTGTCGACCAATCAGAGGCGGGCCTCAACCTCCGTGCAAATAGCTACAGTGTGCCCACCTGTCAGTCAAGTCATCCGGTCCTCTGATTCGCCAGTACCATGGGAGTCCAGAGCTACTCAGACTAGAACTGTTTTTTGACCCAGGCTTTGAAGTGGTTCAGTGTGATCGTGGTTCCCTGTGCTTCTGCAGCCAGCCTCAAGCCAACACACTTTTAGCACTTCTGCATCGGCGTCATCTCTCAAAACTGGATGTTGCCGCTTGGGAACACCACAAGACTGATCCTCTATCAGTAAAAACGCTCTGCAGTAAAATGTCCAGCAAGACAGATATGAGGAGAATGACTCCAATGCCGCTGCAGAGACACCGACCCCAGTGTCTGAGCGTCTGAATGAATGCACTGTGCTCCACGGTATCAAACCCAGATCCTGCAGAACCAAGGATGAAACAAGATGACCCATGATATGCATGCAAAATGATATGCAAAACACAGTCCGTGATAACACACTGGACAGAACACTCAATGGTATTCGCCTTTCTGCAGTCACCTGCCAAATATGTTCAAAAGTTCAGAGGAGAGTTGGAAACATGGAGGTGAACACTCTGAGAGGCCAAAAGGAAGCCCTGGACTGGGGGAGGACCGGACTACCTCTAGCCTCCTGCTTTTCTGTCCTTTTATTTTTGCCTCAGTAGTTAGAGGAAAAAGAAAACTCACTGCCCGAGCCGGCACCATGAATCAATCCACCTTAAATGCCACGATGATAACTGATCATTTATCTCTCTTGCATCCCCTAAACCCTGGTGACAATCAGATCTTGAACAGTCTCTCAATTTCAACCAGATTATGCAAACGGAGCTGTTCCGGTCTGCCCCCGGTGGCACTGCTCGTATAAACAGGACCAGTAAAGCAGAGCAGAGTGCTAGCACCGTTAATAAAGTCTTTTATTCTCCTGAAGCGACATCAAACAGTGAACTTTTTCGGTTTTCCAGCAGCGGGACAGATTTGTTCCTGTTGACAAATATTTCCTTAGCTGTGTGAGATCAGAGGGAAAGTGCACTTCTTATTGACTGGCTTCCTCTTTTAAGTCGAGGTGATTGAAGTTTAAAAAGCCTCTAATTTTTGCACCTGCTCTGCATAAAAAAAAAAAAAAAAAAACCCTCTCCCTTCAGAAGTGACATGTCTGCGTGAATTCAATCACCGCTGGAGGAGCGAACAGCTGGATACCTGCTTTTAAAAGGTGGCACCTAAAAATGAAAAAATTAAAACATTCAATAAAGTACCTGAAAGTGTTTATAGTACACTACACGAGTAAAAAACCACAAAATTCCCTGTGTCGTGCTGGGAAGGTTGTTAACAGCTTGTTAACAGCTTAGTTCAACTTGAGGCAACAGGCTCCGGGGCTCTGCTGAGACTTAGCCGTGACAAGCAGCACTTGGAGTCTGCTAAGATTATTTTTAGCCGCGCGGTGCCATGTGGAAAAAGGGATGGCTGCAGAATATGTTTATCAAAGCGAGATGTGGCATACTTAAGAGAGAGCTTCAAGTCTGGAAAGTTGGATATTGTGAACAATCTCACTTTGAGAAGTGCGAGAAATCGATTCCAGGCAAAGCTACATCCTCACCCTCTCTTTCTCTCTCTCTCTCTCTCTCTCTCTCTCTCTGTCTGTCTGTCTCCCCTGCTGAGGGTCAGAGGAAAATAACACCACAAACATGCAGGATTTGTACACGTTGGGTCTCACACAGAGCAGAGTCCCCATCTTAAATCCCACCTAAGTCGTAAGGATATCCTGCTCTAAGTCTCACATATTGCTCTGTTGCTTACCTGGTAAAACCAGCCAATATGAGATCTTTATTACAGGGACCTCTCCCCCCTCCTGTTTTACGAGTGTCTTAGATTCAGTCTCTCTCTCTGTCGCTGTCACTGCTCTTTCTCTGCCTTTTCTCCCTCTAAGCGGTGATTGAATGCTGAATGACATTAATAGCGATATGTCTGCAGTACCCGGTGTCTGGCACTGTCATCACGTCTTTGTTCCATCGCCACTAAGACAAATTCCTGCACATTTATTATTTCGAAGCGTGCACAAAGAGAGCTGATCCTGTGCTTTCCTCCTCTCCGCCCGCAGGTTCCTGCCATCTCATTGGCTTACGAGACCGCTGAGAGCGACATTATGAAGCGCCAGCCGAGGAACCCGAAAACAGACAAGCTGGTCAATGAACGCCTCATCAGCATGGCCTATGGGCAGATAGGTTTGTCCTCCTGTGGCTCGTAATCACTTTTACTAGTGCTCTCTCTGTGAAAGGCCTCTAGTCGTAAAGCCGGGCCTTTAATAAATAACACCGGCATGAAAACATTAAATATTGACATTTATCAGCAGATCTGGCATTTCTTGCTGCCTTTGGAAATGTTTGGGTACGCTCCGCTAAGAAAAATAGATCCAGAGGTGAGAAGAGAGTCAGACCGAGTCCCAGAATTTCCTTCTAATTGTCATGACATTTACAGCAAATTGAGAGCAGAGAGTGCAACTCTTCCCTACTTAATCTTGGTCATGTTCACTTGTTGGAACCTCACTTGAATGCCTGCTTTTTATCTCTGGTTTTTTATGGTTGGGGAATAGTGAAAATCAAAGGCTGGCCCAATTTCATAAGCTGTTAAATGGGTCAGAATATGACAGGGCTTCATTGGATGACACAGTGTAAAGCTGAACACGCCGAAAACAGCCGGCGACTCCATGATTCTGCCAAGATGAGCAACACCAGGTCAGAACTTTTACAGGTCACGTCGAGTCACATTTACAGAGCGCTGTTCTGGCACATTACCCACAATCCCGAGGCAACAACGGTGAAGATTTAGAGCCACAAGAGAGTGAAGTTTCCAACAGCAGCGGACAGAAAACAGATGTAAACAGTCTTCCTATAATTTAAAGGATGTTATTACTTCACTTAACCCTCTTTTAAACTGAGTTTACATTAAAGGTCCTATTGTAGATTTGGCTGCATGCCGGCGCTTAAGCATGCTGCGCAAATGTCATCTTTGTTCTCCACCAGCACTCATGCTGTGTAAATAGTGAATGGACGTCAGTAGTTCTGAAAGTGTTGGTCTTAAAATGTGCACCCTGCTATCTTGAGAACTAAGAAGCGTCGACCCCGTAGGCCAACAGAAGTCTCAAGTCTATAGTCTTCATATTTCAAGGACACGTCAGAGAGATAACAGGACGGGCAAAACATCCATGTCCTGTCAGCATCCATGTCCAACAGTTTAACCAGAGCCGACCCAAGCCTCAATGGGTCCCTAAGCAAAATCTTATTTTGGGGCCCTCTATTTCTGCCGATAATATTGATTGTTGATCATTCACACACCTTCACAAATCTCTTTGATCAACGTTCCATGACATGCAAACATACTTTTATCTTGGCGTTTTTTTCTCCTTCCTATTTCTTTTCTCTGCTCCTGAAGGATATGCACATTGCACAGCAGGAGGCACATAACGGTAGCAAAGCTTTTACATATCGGCAGTAAGAATCATAGACCTACATCAGCAACAGCACTAAATTTTTTTTACTTTATTTTATTTTAACAATAATATATACTTGATCATACAGAAAGCAGCACTCATACATGCAAAGAATAAAAAAAAATTAAAATATTTTTTTGTTGTTCTTGGGAAAAACTTCACACATATGGCAGCTTTTTGTCCTCAAAGGCCACCATATCTTCTCTAACAGAAAGGGTGAGCAAGGTAGCTCAATATTTCCTTCTGTTCCCAACTACTGAACATTTAGCTAAGGTCCTAAATCTTTGGCAGCTACAGGCTTTGTGATTTTCCCAGCAGAAAACATCTATCTGTTAAATCTCTAGATTATGCACGACACTATTACCTCCCTTACCTGTCGCAAACAAGGTAAAATGTACTAATCCCTCTGAACCTCCTGCGGCTGATCTTTTCAGAGTCTGTCTAGAATAAAAAAACCTTGAAAATAAAACGAACAAAGTCTGTTCAGGTTGTGCAGAATATGAGATTATCAAACATTGAAAGATGCTGCAGAAATATCAGTACAAGCTCAGTGTTTCTATCGCAGATCAAACTGTTAAAATGCAACCTTTTGCGCTTGAAAATAAGCTTTTATTTTGAAAGGGTCTTGACTTTAGACATTCAACTTTTAGACATTCAGTGACATGCTTTAAGGTAGACGAGTCCTCAGAATATAAAGGGTTAACATCCATTAGTGGTTCAGGTTCTTCTTCATTTGCTGCGGATTAATAAAAGTCGTCTCAGTCCTGGTTCAGCACTTGTGGAGGTTCGCCAAACGCAAAGACTAAAGCTCCAGAATAAGACGTCCATCACTCTGAAACGTTCCGCCCACTCTGACAAAACAAATTTCCCAACATGGAATTAAAACTCACTAGGGGCTGTTATTGCCGTCCTCAGCTGTCTGGAAGCATTTACTTAGAGAACAGCAGGAACATTGAAGAGAAGAGAGCGAGGGGAGAAGATCTAATCACCTGTGCTGTTTCCTTTTTAATTAAGTGACAAAATACAGTCAGTTTATTTGTCTCCTTTTGATTTAATTCCTGAAAAGAAGTGATAGAAAAATATTGTACCATCAGTATTATAACTGCCACTGCTTGTCAGAAGAGCTCTTGTGCAAAGACACCCATTATCTATAATTTCTGTTATTTTGCTTCTTGTTCTGTCAAAACATTGCTCCAGTGAAATCTAACGCAGTGATACACACACTTTACACAATGGATTTGTAAACATCCGTCTGTTACAGAGGCTTTATATCCTCAATAATTTATACTCGGGTCCATGAGATGATTGGTTTAAACTGTTCGAGTGTCTTTAAAGAAAACAAAACAGGAGGTCACGGTAAAATCCTGTAAAATCTGCAGTTTAACTCAGACAAGTATTCAGTTTAACAGATGAATAAACAGTAAATGAGTACACAGATGTTAGGCCTCTCAAATTGCTTTTAGCCACACATTAAATTCATGTTTATACAGCGATGGTAGAAGATGATATGATGCACTCACACACCAGTGGCTGCACCCTTCAGGAGCATTTCAGGGCTCAGTAGCTGCATTAACATGGACACAAATAATCCAAATAACAATGCGTCATGTAAACATGTTGACCGGAAGATTCTGATCCAATTCAGCTCAATCGGAAAGAAATTGGGTTCCACTTGAGAGGGGTGGTTTATGCCGATCGTTATTCTGAAACATCGTCCGTGTAAACACTAAATCCGATCATGACTCTTTAACCTGACTCTGCAACCTTTGACAGAACGGTATAATATGTAAATGAGGGCGCCCTCTAGTGACAACATTTAACAGGGGGAAAACTCCTGAAGTGGATGGAGTGAGCCACTACTGCGTTTGTTGACAGCACAGGTGGAAATACAACTCTTCATCTGCGGTTGTTTTAGTGAAATTAGACAACTCAGCGCATGTCCGAATGCTTCTAATCTGAATAAAGCTTGGTGCACGTAAACCAACGTCATGATTGGATTATTTGATTTTGCGCCCATAAAAATAGTGGATTTATATTTTCCGATCCCTCAAATTTTTAATCGGATGTAGAAACTTTGCCCATGAAAACATGGCAACTGTCTCGCCAGAAATGAAGCTTATGAATGAAAGAGGACAGACTCCATCAATGAACCTCGGCTCTTAATAAAATCAGCAGTTTTACCTACTTAATCTGATGAATTCTGTGTTTTTATTCTTTAATTTGCTCTAAATTTCACAGCCTAAAAATACTAAATGCTGATCTGAATGAAAACACGATCACAGAGTTTTTCTCCGTCTCCAGGAATGATCCAAGCTCTCGGTGGTTTCTTCACCTACTTTGTGATTTTGGCTGAGAACGGCTTCCCTCCAGCCTCCTTAGTGGGCATCCGCATCAACTGGGACCACCGTGATGTCAATGACCTGGAGGACGCCTATGGGCAGCAGTGGGTAAGGAGTGAGACATACAGGATTCATAACAGCAGACCTCCTGATATATTCCTTTTATAATGTATGATGTGTGTGTTTTCACCCGGCAGACCTATGAGCAGAGGAAGATCGTCGAGTTCACCTGCCACACCTCCTTCTTTGTCAGCATCGTGGTCGTCCAGTGGGCCGATCTGATCATCTGCAAGACCAGGAGGAACTCTCTGTTCCAGCAAGGCATGAAGTAAGATGTTAGACGGATCGTTATAGAGATTACTGTCATGATTGTGACGTTTTAAAGGTTTTCTTAATTATCTCAACTCTCTCCTTTCTGTCCCACAGGAACAGGATCCTGATTTTCGGCTTGTTTGTGGAGACGGCTCTGGCTGCCTTCCTCTCCTACTGCCCTGGAATGGACGTGGCTTTGCGCATGTACCCCCTGAAGTACGCTCTGCATATGCATGTCTCCACTGAACCATAAAATAACCTCTTAAGGACCTAATAGGCCGCCATTAGCCTGTCACTCCGGACTTTAAATGAAGTCTGTGATCTTCTTAAACACCACCCTGTTATCCTTAATATTCAAAAATGGCTGCAATGAATTTAACAATTTGACTGTGACTCACACTGCAACTCTATCCATCCCCACCCCTTTTATACTCTTCCTCTCAGGACCCTGTGGTGGTTCTGTGCCTTCCCATACAGTCTTCTCATCTTCGTTTATGATGAGGTCCGTAAATTCATTCTGAGGAGGAGCCCTGGAGGTAAGCGCGTATTAAGAGAAGCCCAGATTAAAAGGTTTCAACCCTCTTTGTCTTGTTAATAAGCAGGAAGAGAAAAAAAAAATACCAGGTGATGGTGAAGTGATTGACACGCCTATCTCAGGAAGCACATGTACCAGACCCTTCCTACCATCCTCTCTCAGCCGTCTGTCCTTGTTAAAAGGAAGAGAAAAAAAAAAACCTTAAAGTTGACTGTCTGCTCCGTTGAGGACGCGCTGATTGACAAAGTCGCCACAGCTCCGCTCTCCAGGCGTGACCTGGAGGATCCCCCAGAGTATTTGACAGATAGAGACACGAAGGGAAAGATCAAGTTCAATGTCAGACCAAAAATAAAGGTTAGACGGCAAATTAAATCTCATTTTTAATTAGCTTACCAGTTTTCATAGAAATGCTGAACACCAGATGAGTACAGATGTCTAATCAGTGAGCTTTGGTGAACTCTGATAGAACACAATATGATGGTTTCTTATACGACATGGCTCGATATGGTATGAGGCATTTGATTAGACACACAACTACATGATATGATGAAATCTGAAAATACAACATACAAGACTGAAGATGTGACATGAAACCAGAGAATACAATATGATTTCACACAACATGGTGCAGTGCTGTATGATACAACCTTCAATAACATACTGTAATACAATACAAAATGACAACGTATGAAAACATGATATATAGTATCTAAAAACATGATATAGTGTGATTTAAAATGAATAAATAAGACGATACAACAGGTAACAGTATAATTCAATACAACATGGTGTAACACTGTATGTTGAGAGAATACTGAGGTCGCTTTCACACCAGAGCTGTTTCGTCGCTTTAAACGGACCAGAGTTCGTTTCCTCGGATAGTCAGCTTCATTTGGGCAGGTGTGAAAGCTCACAATACAATACAATATAGAATAATATGATACAATACAGTATGACATCATAATACAATACAATACTGTAAAATATGAAAAGATACTTTACAGTGAGACATAACACAGTACAATATAATACAATACAAATGGTATGATACATTATGATTAGATACAACAGAAAGTAGTATAATCTAGTGTGATATGATGTAGTTTGATATAATGTATCACAGTTTGGTTTGATACTGTTTATTATTGTATGATAGAATGCAATACAATGATACAATATAATGCAATGTGACATGATACATTATGATAGATACCAATGCACTATGAATGATATGATACTAAATGATACAAAACAGTTAAATTTGTTATTACAGGATATATTAGATATGATATAAAGTGATACTAAACAGTTCAAATTAGTACACAGTGTGATTTGACTCAACAGGACAAACATTAGAGTATCTGAGAGGACACTTACTGTAAATCAGGATCTAAAATAATAACTATCACACTCTGCTTATATTCTGTGTGCACTAAACTGTGTTTCTTATTCCTATAAAAATCATAATTAACTCTTGTTTCAATGACAAAAGAGACTTAAAGCTGCATCTATCGCGGTGCAGCTGCAAACTCTCAGGCATCCCACAATCCACCTAATGTCGAACAATCCTCATGTGTTCAGAGCTGCAGCCTCAGCAACACTTGACTGATTACTGCTTGTCTTCCAGGTTTGATTTCTGACAAAATAGCATGTAAATGTCCTGCTGTCTGGCAGTTTGCGCGGTAATTCCATTTGATAAATAGAGCATAAAACGGTGACGAACACGCATCACCACTGGAATCTAATCTGATGTGATTTTTAGGGCCAAGAGCTGCAGCTGCACGGGTGTCAACCAGAGCCCTCTGTAAACACATCTCCATATATTTAAGCTGAAATCACAAGATTTTGTCCCATTTTGTTGATAGACAGAGAGGGAGAAATGAATTCTTCCAACAATACAGGGACTGATAATAAAACTTTGATCATTTCAGTGAGTCGTACAAGTCCTTGGGTTAAACTGATGGCTTGTCCGCAGACCCTGCAAACCCCCAGTGTTGCACATAGCGCAGTTTAGGAAACACCTGCTCCTTGAATCTGATTAAAACCAATTTGAGCAGAGAATCCAGCGTCACTGTTCACATGAGCGCAAATAAAAAGACCTGATTAAGGCTTCAAGCTTTCGATCAGAGTGAAAACATTTTTACTCGCACAGAGTTGTTCTGCCGGTCTGATGTGCCAAAATAACAGAAATGTTGTGAACAAACATCATCGTACACATTGTGTTTCAGATTAAATGAAAAGTGCAGTGTGTGTTATTTCCCAGCATTTGGCAGAACCCGGCAGAGCGGGCACACCTGGCTCTTAAAGGGAAGAGAGCAGACACACTGATTGGTTTGATTCATTTTACGCTCAAATCACAACTTGGCATAATGAAGGGACTTTATTCACCCTCTTTGCGCCCCGAGCTTGGATTGTGTGCCACTTAACTAGCAAAATGTGATGCTAATGCAAGGAGAGAGAGAGTGGGGAGTGACATAAGGGACAGGAGCCACAGACTGGAGGCAAAACCTGGGCTGGTCCCTTAAAGGTGGGGTAGTCAGGATCTGAGGAAGTTCCAGTTTTTAGGAGAAATCTTGAATGTAAACTCTACCCCTCCCGACCAGTTTTCCCCTCAGCTCCTCCTCCTTGCTCCAGCAAGCCCCGCCCACAAACAGACGCTCCTGCTCGCTCGTATCGTTCCAATTAAATTCAGATATAATGCAGATAAATACTTCAGATAATTACAAATGGGGCCCAAAATGGGTTTGTTAGGAGAGAAGACGCTTTTGCGAGTTGAAGCTGAGTTATGAGGAGCTTGTCCTTGAAGGCCACCGTAGCTTGTGGAGCTTCACCAGAGGAGGGGTGAGCAAGGGAGCGTTTTAAACAAGATAGGACCACTGGACATGGCTTTACTTTTAAAGTTTTTATATCTGCAGGAAAAAAAGTTGACTCGCTCCCACAATATTTCTCAACCGGTAATGTCGGGTCAAGCGTTTACATGGAAACTGATTCAAAATAACAACGGCAAACACCACCCATCTTGGATGGAGGGAAATTACACCACTTTTCTCTGACTGAGGTTTTTACGTGATTTTTATTTTGATCAGGCTATCGGTGTTTCGTGTAAACCCTCTCAATGGTCTATTATGGACACATTTAATGATTCTCCTCTCGTGCTGAAGATAAAAATCTATAACAGTATAGAGCAGGAGGAATGTCTAACATGAAGCCAGCAGTCTGTATAACCTCTGACAGATCAGAGAACACGTGTAACACTTGCACCAGAAAATAGACCACACCTGTCCGACAACAGCAGAAGGAGCAGCGAATGATGAGAGAGGAAATGAAACCAGGGGCTGATGAAGACTCTCCAGATCCGCCCCAGAGATCCTCCACATGATACAGCTACACTACAATAGCTCCGAACCTGCTCTCTGCCACAACGCTTCAGCTGCGAGGAGCGAGACACAGAGAGACAAATACAATTTATCGTGACAGTTAATCATTTCTGTTAATCTGTGTGACACGGGTGGCTGATCAAAGTCTTCGGAGTTATAAGGGGATTCATTTGGAAATGTACAGAGACAAAGGCAATGAGATGAATACAAATAGACCGAAACAAAAAGGATTTTATGAAATCTGCTCGCCTGTCATTTCGGTCTCTGACACTTTCCCCTCTCTCTGTCTCTTTCTCTCTTCCAGGTTGGGTGGAGCAGGAGACATATTATTAACATTCAGAAAATGTCAGTTTGAATTGTGGCTCTGTGATTGTATGTGTGTGTGTGCGCGTGCGTGTGTGTGTGGATGTGTGCATGTATCCTTGTGTGCCTGCAAGAGAGAGTGGATTCGTGTGTGTGTGTGTGTCTGTCAGTTGTAATATTGCATGGATCAGTTCACAAATCTGATTATCATAAGAGTACTGCTGAAAATAGGCTTTTGATTGTGCTTTGAGTTTTTCCCTCTTTGTTTTCTTCTGAAAACATTTCCAGCAGAACCGCGGTATTGTACACCCATGTGCCTTATGTCAACTGTTATCTCAGTGATGTACCCTGGCCTGTTTGGCTGTAGAGTTACGCCAAATGTGAAATGTACCAAATAAAATGTATTCCAAAACACCCCAGACTGTTGTTTCAGTTATTGCTCATTGATTCCGGACTACACCGAGCCCTACTACTGTCATGATTTGGTACTGAGGGAGACGCCTGGAGGCATCCCTGAGGGGGTAGGTGTTTTTATTCGTTTTTTTCCATTGGGTTTTATGACAGAAGGGACCCTCCTCGATGCCTGGGACCTCCAGCAGGTACAAGTGTGAAGCAGCTGAGATGAAAGTCAGCACATCCAAGTCTGAGGTCATGGTTCTCTGCTTCCTCTAGATGGCAAGAGGGCCAATACTGTATCTTCATGAATGAGGGCAAAGTTGATCCTGAGATGACAAACAATGTGGCAGCACCAGTGTTACCCCCAATTTTCACCACATCCGGAACCTCTACGAAAAGGCTGTGTTCGCCGATCGCAGCTGATGGTAACCATGCGCACAGGTCACAATATAAACTCCAAAAATGGCATTAAAATCGAAACCAGTGCGTAAATTAATAGGCAGGAGTCAGTTAAGGTGGTTGGGGCGTTTGATAAGGTTCCTTTCTGGACGCCTCCCTGTGAAGATATTTCCTGGCAAGTAGAACCAGAGAGAAATCCTGGTATACATATCCCACCTGACCTGGGAACACTTCGACTGCTGCCCCCAGATCAGTGGAAGCAAATGGACTGATGGTTTTACACAATCACTAACCAAAGCTCATGGACATCTGTGTGGGGAACCGCAATTACAGCATTTTTAAGTAACCACCTATATTTACGAGTGATGCATGTCATATTTATTATTTATAGCCCTTTTTCGCCACGTCTCTTCCCTTACATTGGCCTCAAATTCATGCCAGACGCAGCTATTTACGTATGTATAACCTATAGCTACACAATGTTACACAAGCCCCTAGATTACTTTAAAAGAGCAGATCCAAAAACAGTTATTTAGTTATAGCATATACATCAGTTGCAGTTTGTGCCAACCTTAAGAAATCCAAGTACAAAATTGCCGACAGTATTACCGAGGTAATTCAGAAACCATTACGGAGTATTTTCCCAGCAGAGCACTGACAGCTTTGTAATTTCAAATGTAAAACGTCTTACTCAATTATTCAACAGCCTTATAAAAATGTTGTACTTTTGTATGAAATAATCATAACATGACATAACATGTTTACATTCTCATTAAAGTTTTAACCCTTTATAATAAATTTGTAAATCCTGCTGTTTTATCCTCACTGGACGCTTGTTACCTCGCCATCCAACCAGCTGAGAGAAAAATCGACTCGCGTCAAACCATTTCCTCTGCTGTGGAATCAGCTCTTACTGGAAGCTATCTGTTCGTGAGTATTTAAATATTTAACAGATTATTCTTTAAAATAATGAGCGGCTGTTTGGGTTTGGTAAAGCCAACCTGAACCTCGTCTAAATGAAGTCCTCAGTGGTCTTTGTGAATACTTTATGCTGCATTAATATACCAGCAGGCCACTGGGAGCCCAGTTCATGGTCCTTCTAGGCATCATTAGCCTCATTAACTATTCAAGTCTGTGTAATTATGTAGATTTCTGATGGGGGTGTGGGTCAATACTGTGAATCACTGTTACATGATTCCCTGATTATTATATGTTTCTTCTCACGTTTAATTATCTGATTAGCGGTTCTTTTTTTAATAATTTGCTGATAAAATTTGGACCTTCTTTCTTTTAAATCTGCGCTTTCCTCACTGTCTTAATGTAAAATAGTGGTTAGGTTTAGATGTGCGTTAGAGCGAAATATAAATCAAACAGGAAATGACTTTTAATGCCATTAATTTGCATTCTTATTAAATGTGGTGTGATTTTCTTTAAAAACCATTTGTTTTATGGTATGCTGTATGAACTGAGATGAAGGAGCAGAGACATTTTTGGAGCTTTTGTGATAAACTGTTTGTTTTTTTCTCTGAAAAGAAAAAAAATCCTTATGCCAATTATGCATTGACTGTGTAATAACTGTGGTAACAAATGGTCTAACTAATTTACAAAAGCCTCCTATGGACAGATGTTGCAAATGATTAATGGTCATTCACTACAAGTTAAATCAATTGGTGTGTGTAAACGACTTACAGGATACAAAATAACACGACTGCTTAACATGTTCACACATTTCACTGTATGTTTGCACGATCAGTGACCAAAACAAGGATAAGGCTTGTTTCTGCCTGTCCTATAAAATTCATAAATAACCCAGAAAATCAGCACTTTAAAGCTCCTTTCAGAGACTTTCAGTTTGTGTCGATTTTGGCGCCCCCTGTAGATAAAATGCTTTTTGCTTACATTGCCCTGCACATGCTTAAGTGATGACTTATACATGAAAAAATCTCCTTCTTCTTACTCTTGAAGGTAAAATTGTTCATTTTGAAAATACAAAAGAGGAGCTGTTGAACTTCTCTGCTGACACCTACCCCCTCCTTCCAGTTCAAAATTACAAAATAAATATCATGAAACTTGTCGCTGATGGTCTTGTTTACATTTGGATATCATGAAATAGCATCGATATGAAGTTAAGTCATTTTCATAAATGTCAAAAAGCTCCTCACAGGAGCTTTAATTCAATACCATAAATCTTAATTATTTAATGTTAAAATCTTTCCTTTTTTCTTTTTCTTTCTTCTTTATTTATCTCAAACTTTAAGAACAAAAAAAAAAAAAAAAAAAAAAAATCGAAACTCCGAACAAAATAATACATATGTACACTAAACAACTGTACATGTCAGAGATAAATTTATACAACATATGTATGTAAAAAAATTGTTTAAGAAGGAACAGAATGAAGCAACAAGCTTATCTAGTCCTGCCCCTTCCATGCAAATTAAAGATAAAAAAAAAAAATCTAGTAGCATAATTTGTATAATAAATCATCATACATAACCATGTTGAAACAAAATGCCCTGATATTATTTTTTAAAAGGTTTTATACATGATTAATGACTTTGATTTCCTTATATATTCGCCTATTTTTAATTTAAAAAAACTAATTTTTTTCTGCAAAGGAATCTTTGGCCTAATTGTGTTCCTTTGGTGGAAAAACACCATATTTGTCAGTTATTTAATAGAGAAATTTACATATTTTAATATTGTAGCTTTGATAAACTAAAAGTTAACTAAATAAACCAGAAAAAAGGATGCTGGCCTATTTTTAAACGGTATTTAGTCCCAGTTTTCACCTCGTCCTGACCTTCGCCTGTAAAAGGACGCTTCAACCCTTCAGCCTTTAAAATAACTAAGCGGTACCACAACATCCGGTAACGTCATTTCCGCTTGTTGCTCATCAAACATGGCGCTGCTCCTAAGGTCAGTACATCTGTGTTTACAGTTCGGGGCTACATGGAGCTTTTTCTATCATTGTCTTGAAGTATCATGTCTAATAAGATCCTCCGTTTGATAAAAACGTTAAAGCTAAAGACAACCCGCGCTAGAGTGAAGGTTTAAATCGTTTATTTACTGGCGTTTTATGTAAACACGCTGCGACACTGAGCTAGCGGGCTAATGCTAACTGGTTAACGGGTGAAGGAAAGGTAACAGAGGGTGGACTTTGGCTCATAAATACTGGTCTTTAAAGGTTTTTGAGACGCTTTTGAATCTTTTTCTGACTTCTAATGTGACCGTGTGTTATAAAAGTTGAGTTATCTTCAGTTGTTAATGCAATGCTTGCTCTCGTTTGTTTATAGTAAATTAAAAGTGTGATTAAATCAGAGGTGAACCACTGGTCTAGGTATCATTCACAACATGAGAAACATGAGAGATTGTTACTGATTTGCTTTCTTTTGTATTTGTTTGTCATTTCACTTCATTTTATCAGTGCAGAATCAAATACCAGTGTTTTTCTCATGTAGTAGTTAAAAGCTGATTTATTTATAGTAAAAAAAAAACAAACTGTCAGATGTCAGACTTTTTTTAAAGATATTTTTGTTGCGTTTTTTTCATCAGACAGCTGTCGTGAGTAAAGAAATCGGAGGAGTAGAACGAAAAACATAAACCTGCTGTAATGAGTTGTGGGAGGAAATCAAACCAGTGACCACTCTGAAAGCGCGGCTAGGCAAAACCTCTGCTCTTGTGTACAACATTTCTCATGTGCTTGTTCCACTTTTGTTTTCTCCACTGCTCACCTTTTTCTCGGTGCCTGTTTCTAATCCCTTTTCTTTCTCGCTCTTTAGGACGTTGGCCCGTCAGGGTGTTTGTATCTCTAGACCAGCCTACAGTAGTGTCCTCTACAGACAGTGAGTTGTCTCACATCGGTGATACTTACACCTGTTTACTGAAAGCTTTTCTCGCAGCTCTAACTCAACTCTCCTCTCTGCTGCAGTGCTGCTCCGATGGGGACCACAGCTAAGGAGGAGATGAACAAGTTTTGGTCCAAAAATGCCAGACTAAACAGACCAATGTCTCCTCATCTCACTATTTACAAGTATGTCCTCTTCTTCAGCACTTGAGTTTGCACTGTATTAAACATATAAATATAACTATTCATTGGTATGTGGAGTCTGCTGGCTTCTGTGACAATAACTAAGTTCATTATGTTGCACCGCCTGTGACTCACACAGCTGAATGAACCCTGCAGGTGTAACCATTTCCAGGAAACACTCGGCTGCACAATTGCTCCTCAAATGGTCCGTACAAGTAGACATGGTGTCAACCGGCCCTGTAACTGTGATCGACCGTAAACAGGAAAGGACTTGATACAAAAGCTGTCTCGTGTCACTGTAAGCCTTCCTCTAAAACAGCTGAAACGCTCTGCAACAGTAGCAGCATCCACAGTCATCAGGTCTTTATACCAGTGAGAAGTGTTAAGAGAATGATAACAGTGTGCTGTGCAGCTCCAGTGAAGAGGACGAGGGTATTAAGACGGATCATACCCTTTGGTTGTGTTTTAAGATGAGATACCAGTGAGATAAGACACAAAAGGTTGTGCAACAACAACCATAAAACACACGAGTCCAGATAAAATATTTGAGTGGTATAACAGACTCTGAGCTCACAGAAGTCTGGTTTAACTGGTTGAGCTCAGATCTGTGGCTCTTACAGGCTTCATAGATAGACCCCAGTCCTTTTTAAAGATTTAATTTACTGAACCCTTTTTTTTTTTTTTGTAAATCAGCAGGATGGACCAGCATTGTGACAGATTTTCATGCAAGGCAGTTATTGGAGCCCTAAAACCTGCTTTAAAGTCGATATATTAATTCAGTATGTGCCTCATAATTTCTCATCAGGTTTCCTTCTTCTGTCATTTGCTTTGTGACTCTGAACCTCTTTGATGTAGTGTGCAGCCCGAGGCTGAAAGCAGAGCAATATTATAATATATTTGTGTCTGAACCTGAAACACAACGGCCTCAAACATCGAGTAGAAACGACTTTGCTTGATGCGCTTCCGTTTGATTTGAAATCTGTTTTCGTATCATTTCGTTGAATGTGTGTATTTGTGTGTTTGTAGATGGTCTGTCCCCATGATGATGTCCGTCACACACAGAGGGACAGGAGTCGGGCTCAGCGGAGGTAAAAGCTCATTTGGTTTTCTAATGAATAAAGCTGTCAGTTTTCTCCTTTTTAATCGCCAAATTATATCATAAAGGTGAACCAAATGATAATGATGCGTGGCCGAGTCTCCTCTGTTATTATTCTTACAATAAAGCCGAGCTATCCCGCTGCCGCTGACAGCATTTGATTGACCCTGAAAATCTCTTCAGGGCATTTTAATCCATGAGTATCGATCGCTGCTAAGAGCATTTACTGGCATTACAAAACCAAAGTTGTTCAATAGAATTCAAACCCTCTGCCTGGGAAAAACCAAACCCTAACGCCGGGCTGCTCACAGCTCGGACTCATTTACCTCATGTTACACTGTACATTAGCTCTGTTGACCTTGAAGCGCTGCGTTAAAATCGCGGGGGTCAGGTTTGTTTGTATGTTAATGGGTTCAATAAAGGTCAACACCTTTCTCCATCTCTCCATCAACCTTCTGGCTCGACCAAAATGAGCTCCTGCTGAGAGTAAATCTTACAACACATCGATTGATCAAATTCTGATTGTAATTTTTACATGTCCTGCTGCTCCTTTCAGTAGGATTTAGCATATGTAATTAAGAGTTGGGTGTGGTTTAATGTCTGGTTTAAAAGGTTATCCATTCACATGTGTGGTGGATATTATTTCTTGCTTGTTTTCATGCAACTCTGCCTTTTGTGTTTACATCGATCCACACTTTCTGTGCATTTCCACAAGGAAATAAAGTTGGGTTTCTTCGACCATTAAGCCTTTTAATCATCCAGACAGGGCAGAAATAGACGCTAGACAGGACCATTGAGTGCAACTCATTGTAAAAGGCAGACCAGTGGCGAGTTTGCTTGATATACAGACCCATTGTTGTTGCCTTCATTTCCCAGACAGCGGTGAAAACCGTCTGCTTAGGTTTGAGACTCTCAGCGAAAGCAAAACAACTGCTGAGTGGAGGTGTGGTGACTCATGGGGACGGAGACCGAGGAAGGCAGATTCTTGAAAGACTAAATTTGTCACTTATTAGTGATTCACTCTACACGGGCATGCATTTACAAAGCAGGCATCTCTGGTCTCATTACTTCTGTCTGTGTTTAGCTATCTCTGCCTTCGCCCTGGCGGCGCTGGTATTACCAGGAAGTTACCCATACTACCTGGACTTGATTCACTCGCTGTCCATCGGTCCCTTTCTCATCGGGTTGGCCAAGTTCGGCATTGCCTTCCCTGTATCGTACCACACCTATAACGGCATCCGCCACTTGGTAAGACTGATTTTTGAACTGTGTTTGTCTGTTTTCTCATCTGTCATCGTTTTGTATTTTGTTTGTTTAGACTCATTTCTTTGAATAGAAACAACCTCATTTGACAGACGCTGTGTCAAAGGTGGAAAAAAAGGCATTTAAACCTCAAATTTGATTAAAAATGGTGCAAAGACGATGTATCTGATGTTGAAACTAAAGGATTGTGTTGTTTTATGAAAATTAAATGATAATTTTAATAATGCAACGAACTTTGGGGTTTTATCACCGACAGTCGGACTGGACGATTCGGCAAAAAAAAAGATCAGGATATATTTTGTCTTGTTGTCTAATCTTGATTATTATCATGATTTTTTTTTAAACTGTCAGTTTTAAAGCATCTGTACTAAAAACTAAAGAAACAAGAGATTAGTTCAACATTTTATTAACATATTTTTAAGGAGGAATGAAGACGTCTTAAAGTGTAAACGTTAGAAGATGTAAATGTTCGGGCTGGGACGATATGCTTTTCTCCCGATTGAATTCTTGTACGATTTTTTTTGACGCAGATTCGATTTAAATCGCGATTCTATGATATTGTCGATTTTGTCCATATTTAGTCTGCATTCTTAACACCAGTGAAACAGTTGAATGATTATGATTGTTCACTGACTCCTCCAGGAACCATATTTCCCCCAAAAATACACATCACATGTAAATCAGTTTTTAAGATTTATTCTTACATTTAAAAAACTAAAAATCGCAATACTTCCGAGAATCAATTTTTTCTCCCACCCCTAGTAGATGTAGATGATATGGTTGATTGCTGCTTTTGGTCTGGTGGCTCCACCGCTAGTTGTGGCGAAACTGCTAATGCTAATAGTGCCGTCAGCAGTGGCAGGCTGTGCAGACTTCACGCTTTCCGCATAATCAGATGATTAAACAGATCTGTTGTGTTTCCAGTTTTGGAGGGCACTGACCATTGACATACCTTACACATCAGCTGAATTGCTTGACGTCACTTTGGAGATACCCGAACCACTGCCACAAAACCTAACCTAAGGACTTACAATCATGAAAACGTTCAGAAAATATGGAGAAAACTTTGTACAAAAGGGACAAAGACCAAAGACTGAGACTGGAAGATAATGATCTTCAGGTCCTCAGGCAGCTCTGCATAAAAAACAGACAGGACTCTGTTGTGGAAGTCACCGCATGGGATCGAAATAACATCCAAAAACTATTATTAGTGATCAAAGATTTCCCCATATCCATAAATGAAGGTTAAAAGTATGTAATGCGTGATGAAGGAAGGTGAAACATCTAGTTTGGCTTTGTTGGAGCAGCACATGGAAGAAAGACCAGCACATGACTCAGGAGTCGAAGAGTCCAGGTGCTAAACTGACTCGTCCATTTAAGACACATTTGGAACAGGAAGTACGATAATAGAGACCCAGATCTTGAAGTGTGTTTCTGTCACCGAAGTCCGGATGAATACGTGGGAGAGTATTTCCAGCTTCATCCTCAGATTCGTCGTCTTTGTGCTTATTTTTCTAACTCTTAATGATTTTTCCAAACCGTCGAAATCTGTTTTGAACATTTTTACACAGCGTCCCGACTATTTAGTAATTTAGATTGTACAAACGCTGACAGTGTTTTTCTTCTCCTCCTCATAACAGAATAACTTTAAATCATTTTGTATTTTCTTGCCTTGAGCGTATTCGCTGTTTTGTCTGAACTCGTCGCCTTTAATGGAAACAGCTGTCTGTCCAATTAGGTTGTTTTTGAAGTCTTGTTCATTTCGCTCATTTCATTAGAATATATTTTGCGAGAGCTGCATGCTGACGGTGATCCTCGTGTTAACATTTCTTCTTCTTCTTCTTCTTCTCTTTTTCTTATTATTCAAATCAGTGGTGGGACATCGGAAAAGGCTTCAAGATCCCAGAGGTCTACCGCACCGGCTACACCGTCATCATCCTGTCCGTCCTCACCTCCATAGGCGTGGCTTTCCTCTGAGTTTGGGAATAACGTGGCGAGTTTTGTGTATATGTTCTGTCGTGGCCCGCTGCAGGCCTCGTTTCACCAAAATATTAAATAAAAGATTATATTACGCCGTACTCTGCGAACGTGTTGTGATGTTTTGTCCCTTGGAATTAATTAAACTGCAAAGCTTTGAGGTCATCAAGAGCCGAGAGAGTGCAAAGTGCATGCAAATGTGACCCAGTTTGTTAAACACTTGTTATTCGTGTACACAACGACTGGAGGCCAATTTTAGACGTGCCCTACATGTTCTATCCTTATGTAATTTGTGTGATCGTGCTGTGACGTCAGGTTCATTTATCACTTTTTGCCCTTGCTGCTTGTTCGCTGAGTGCCTGCAGGTCATTTCTGTGCACAGGAACATGTATTTGTGCGCGCTCCGTAGGCTGTCATTCATATTTTACCTAGTCTCGGTCTGCAGCTGCTCGGATGCATTTTTGAACACCAGGAAAGCGAGTGGCTGAAATGTGAAGAGGCTGCCCCGGTGGTTGGAGGCTGTGAATGTGAACAGGCTCCTCACCGGCAGTCCCGCCTCAGGCTTTACCTCCCACCGAGACACAGAGGAGCTCCACGCTGCACCTGAGCGCCGTTTGTCCTGCAGTGTGAGTGAAGAGGCAAAGGCGTGATGTAATGTCAGATCCGGCTGCACTTATGTAGGGGACACGACGGTAATCGTTCATGGGGACCACCCGGTTGGAAAATGTGTCCGCTCAAATCAATTGAAGTGGAACAACAGGACCACTTAGTCAAGTTAGCTCCTGCAGAATTGGTTTAACAATTTGTTTTCCTGTGGCTGAAGGGGAAAACGCTTGTCAAACCGCATTTCTTCTCACTTTTGCCGCTGATAGAATTTATTCCTGAGCACATGCGATCAAACATAAACAATAACTGTCGTTGTTTGTGAGACTCAGGAGGTAATTCGACGCTTTCTTCAGAAATCTTTTTGCAGTAAATTTGGGTGTTTGTAAAAAAATTCTTTTTTTCGGGCCACCGGAGCTACAGATCCATCATGAGTTTGCACTGTATTGATTGTGAATGACAGGAGAATTACTCAAATCCTGCAGCTCTCCGGGGACTTGAGTTTATAAGTCTGCTCACGCCAAAACCCTGCAGAAATACTCATGAAAAAGGAAAGCATGCAGAGGTAATCATAAAAACATGGCCTGCTCACCGAGGCAATTCCCTGCAAAGAGCAAACACTTGCTCTTATACTTATTGTTGCATTTACAAAGTAAGGAGTCCAATCTCCAGGCTGCGCTCAGATAACATCACTATTATGATGCTTTGACGAGATAACCACTGTGGAAGCGATGGGGGATGGAGAATCTCTGTGAGGCGCTGATTGAGCGGCGGCAGCACCCCCTACCGGCCGGTGGTGTAACTTCCACAGGGCTGCGGTCCTGATGCTGAGGGAGGATGGTGAGGATGCTGCGCAGAGCAGGGAGGGGGGAGTATAAACCCGCTTTTGATCGAAAAAATGTGACATCGTCTCTGTGGCGCAATGGAATAGCGCGCTGGACTTCTAATCCAGAGGCTCCGGGTTCGAGTCCCGGCAGAGATGTGGCACATGAAGGGATGTGGCTTTTTGGATAAGGGAAAATAAAGAGTAGAGGTGATGAAGAAGAAGGAGCGTAGTTATATTGCCTTCACAGCTGACAGGGCTGCTCTGTCTACAGATGACAGATAGGAGGTTGAAAGGATGATGGATGGAGAGTTGGGATGAGTGAATGGACAGATGTGACTTCAAGAGATGTGTTTATTTCGCAGGGGTCCATTACCCCTCTGCATCTGGGCTGAACAATTCACATGAAGCCTTTTTTTTTTCAGTCCGCAAAGGTCACCGCTTTATTTCATATGCAGATTTGTAAAAACGGGCAGGAAGCCGAAAACCTGCGCTCCGGTGCGGCTCCAGCTTCATTACCAGACTATTACTATCACCGCACGTCGCTGTCACGTCGCGGGTCGACACAGCGCCGCGCGTGAAAGTCAGTGGGCTCGCTCGCGCTCTCTCCCCGGCTCCCTGGCTCGCGCACGGTTTCAGCACCTGCGGCTGTCCACTCATTTCAGGCCGGGCTTAAAGCTTTTGTAACGCGGCGCCAACAACAGAGCATTTAAAGCTTTTCCCGTCCTCATAACAAGTGTTTAATGATGCCAGATGCTGCTTCAGTCTCCCATTTAGAGGAGGAGATAAACACTCCGATTCACTTTCAACATAAAGGCCGGAAATGAGGTCGTCTCGAGACTGCTGTGTACGGATTTGGTGCTGATGTATAGACCCTAACTGTAACAGGAGGGATAAAGAGTGTCATTATGTAGTTTTAATGTACTGTTAGCAGAGTGAGCACTTTCGAGGAAGTCCCCCTGAAGGAAAAAATAGGGGAGACCGGGTAAGGTTTTTTTGTAAGGTTTCGTTTGCCTCTGATTGGCTAGAAAAGCTGGAAACGTCATCACACGCTCAGGCCATATGCGGGCTATCGGCTCGGTACATCGAAGAGAACATGACCGGGATTCTGAATCTCCTAAATCTAACCCGACAGACGATGATGTTTCACAGCCATACAGCATAACCGATCAGAGCCCAGCACTTCTAACCAATCAGAAGGGCGGGACATTCCCCTACCATCCAACAAAAAATTCGCAGATCGGTTAGCGCTGTTTTTTTCCGTAGGAAGTAGGGGAAGGTACCGCCCTCCTTCGCTTCTGATTGGCTAGAAGTGCCAGGCTCCGATTGGTTCTTCTTTTTGGCTGTGAAACGTCATCGTCTGTCAGGTTAGGGTTAAGAGATCCAGTATTGCGATACAAATGTTCTGTTCGATGTACAGAGCTGACAGCCCACTCGTCTTGCGCAGCCAATCAGAGGCAAAGGAGGCGGGACCTTCCCCTACCATTCTACACCAAAAAATCATCACAAGTTTGGCTGTAATATGAGGAAATAGATATAGAGGAAAGCAATTAAATGTCACTTAGCCACGCCCCCCTTTTTGGGCAAAAATCCATCTAAATTATATTATTTTATTAGATACAAATTTAACAGCCTGTTAGACGAACTTCTAGGGAGGAAAATAACATTAAAAAAATCAAAGTAATGAAGGACATGAGAGCTCTGAGATGAGGACTAAGAGCTGCTGTTTTAATCCTGCTCCATTAGTACAAGCTTGATTTATATGTTAGTCTTACCGCCTGTTCGATTTGGACTCTCAGTAACAATTAAATAATTCAGTTTTCTTATTCTAAGCAATTCAATTAACTTAAGTTTCCGTTCACTGCCAGTCAATTCAGAGTGACTGCTTTCAGCCAAAAGGGGCGGGGAAAAGGACCTCATCTGAAGGCACGAAGATATTTTCAGATAGAAGCGAGGGTGACTATACGTCCTCTTTTACCCAGACATTTCCTCTTTTTTGGGGGCTGTCCGGCTTTGTCTGGGGAAGTTTATAAAATCCCTCAAATATCTGCTGTTTTGTACATAAGTTTGGATTTTGTGTCACGTGGATTTACTGAGTTAGAAGCGCATAAAAGACATTCAATCCGACCAGAAAAATTCTCAAAATTAACTCCATGCGACTCCGTGACTCCGCCCCCACGTCGTCGTGTCCTCTTTTCGGAAAGTCAGAATATGATCACCCTAAATAATCTGTACTATTGCAGATAAAATCATATAAATAATGTTCTGTGTCAAATATCCACGAGCCTACTTCATCGTGTTTCTACTTCCTATAGGGGGAGCGAAAACATTGTTTGGCTTCACGTTGGGAACCGCCATGTCAGCCATTTTTAAACGCGTTTATCTGTTCTAATCTGAATTTATCTGTTCATTTTATATTATTTTCTTGTTTTACTCTTTCTTTTTACCATTTTTATCTTTTATCTCCAGTGTTTCCCAAAGGTAGCTCTTTCCTCATGTGATGTCACGGTGTCATGACATGTCTCCTTAATAATATATCTTACTTTGTGTGTATGTGTGTGTGTGTGTGTGTGTGGGAGGGTTGGGTTTTATTGTTGTTTAATTGTTGTTTTTAGCCTTTGTGAGGCACTTTGAAATACATCTCTTTGTCTGAAAAGTGCCGCACAAATAAATAAAGTTAAATTTATTTCAGGCTAATTTATTCCCAAGTGCTCATTTTCCTCTCTGAAGATAAACAAACACAAGAACTGAACAGGTCCATCACACGCATAGCAAACTCCAGAGCACAAGACACCACTCACCCACTCAGAAAATACTTCAACCTCCTACCCTCAGGGCGCAGGGACGGATCCCTAAGGTTTCGCGAGGCCCGCTTTAGGAAAAGCCTGGTCCCTGCAGATATAGATGTCCTCATCTATCTATCTATCTATCTATCTATCTATCTATCTATGTATCTATCTAATAGAGACAGTGACCTCTGGGCTCCACCCACTTGAGTACCACTACTCAAACGCTGAGCGCCCCATGTACGCAGATCTTGGTGTCTAGTTTGCTGTTAACGACCTAATCCATGTCCTCAAATTGAACTGGTCTCATTTGTCGTGAAAAGGTTCTGGGTAACAAATCGAGCCTACCTGTGAGCTACAGGTGCCGATTGTTGCATCCGTACCCGGTCTCCCCTACAGTACCCTCATCATCACCGCCCTGTTTGTGTTTACACTCAGAAAGCAGCTGCTTGCTTGAAGATTTCTCACACGATCCCCCACCACTCTTACCCTTTCTGGCTCCCGTTGATTTTTCTATTATTATTTTCTATTCCCCCCACAGACCCTCCTCCCTCCCTCCCTCCCCTCCCTCCCCTCCCTCCCCTCCTCCCCGGTGTCACTTTGTCGCCACCACCGTACTGACTGATTGGGCTGCCGTGCGGCTGCCGCCATCCATGTTTAACCCCATCATGCCTCCCCACACACAGACCTAATCCGCCAGTAAAACTAATCCCTAATCCTCTCTGGCAAGTTGAACAACCCCTCCCTCCCTCCCTCCCTCACCCTCCTCCCCCCTTCGTCCCAAGTGAGCCTGACGCATGCAACGCCAGTTCTGTATGGACTCTTTCATAAAGTTTACAAGCATGCAAAACTGAATTTATAAGTCTGCAAACATGTTAAACAAATTCAGAACTGATAGGACACAGGTGTCAAACTCAAGGAACAATTACATGTGGCCCACAAGATCATATAATATTTGCATTAATATTGGCCCACCAGTATGAAGTCTGCAGATTTCCTCTAGTATCATTATTTTAAATGTCCTTAATAAACCACAAAAATCTTGGAAATTAAAGCGTAAAGAGTTTTATTTCATGTTTTCAATTTTGCATTTCAAGTTCTATAATACACCTCTAGGTGCTACTTGGACACATTATCAGTGATGAACCTGAGCTCATTGGGTGTTTCAGATCTTCAATCGTCAACCCCAAACTTGTGTCAAAGTGGCCCGCTACTCCAAGGATCTCCCCTCCGGATCCACAGCCATCTTGAGGCTTTCTCCGCTGCCTCTGTGATGTTCTTGATGGCTCTTTTTCACAGCTGACCTTTAACTCCAAGGAGTTTGAGGGTTCGGTGGAGTGACTGGCCAGCAAAACCCCGCTACCCCACCTCTACTGGATCGCATCGGGCTTTCCAGCGTTTGGTTCTGCACTCTGAAACCAGCTCAGCATCCGGTCTTCCCAGGGGACAGTAAGCTCTACCAGGACCACTCGCTTTGTTGACTCTGATGTTAACAACATATCTGGGCGGAGTGAAGTGGCAGAGATGTGTTCTGGGAACTTGAGATGTCTTCCCAAGATTACAAGTCAAACATGATTGGATTTTTTTATTTCATGCTTTGATTTTGTTCAACTCAGTATTTAGACTTTTGTCATTTTTATACTTTAGATTCCAAGTTTTTAGTCATATTTTGATCTTTTAAACCTGATTTCAACGTTCTGCTCATGGATTTGCTCTTTAAAAGAAAAACTTTTGACCTAATAGATAAAAATAGAATAAAAAATTTAAAATGTTTCTATCTCAGATTTTCTTTAAACTTGTCTTTTTTATCTTTTTTTAATTTCCAAATGATTTATAATGTTTTTTGAAAAGTAGGGCTGACTGTTTGGGTGAAATGTTGACTCTATTTGGCCCCTAAGATTAGACCTAAACCCAGATATCGTCCCTTGCTGTGGTTGAGTTTGATAAGAGACGGTTTAAAGAAGTCCTGCAGGGAGAGGAAAAATCCCACAACTCCTCAAAGCGAGGACTCATCTCCCCCATTTTGCAAATGATCAGGCCTGTGGGATTTGCAGCGAGCCAATCTGCGAGATATGAATAATAGCTCTTTAATATCAGTGATAAGAGAGTCTCTAACAGCCGTGACAATCATGGAGGACTTGTGCTTCATTTCAGGAGGACACTCGGGCCAGAACCTATGGAAACGGAGGACAGATAGTGGACCTTCTTTGTATCCAACCTGGAGATAAATCCTGCAGGAGACCCCGGAGTGATGTGCTGATAATAAGAAAAGCCCGATAAGGTCAGTGTGGACTCACCGTGGGGCATTATGGGAACATTATGGTGATTTTTCCGGTTTGGTGAGATCACACTTGACTATCTCCTCCATCTCTCCCAGCCAGTAGGCCCTGCTCTGGTCCTGTTATCCCGATGGTACGGGCCAAATCGTATTAAAATCCCCTCCCTTCCCTTCCCTCCCTTCCTCCTCTCCTCTCCTCTCCTCCCCTCCCTCCCTTGTCCCCTCCCCTCCCTCTCGTCTTTCAGACAGACTGTTTTTGCTGCAGTGAACGGCAGCCGTGGAGAGCGAGCGAGGGAGAGATAAACACAGAGAGTAGACTAAAAAAAGAGAGAGAAAGAGGAAAAGCGAGAAAACAAAGAGTCAGGAGAAGGAAGGAGGTGGTCCAGAGAAGAAAAAAAGAAAAAGGAGAAAAGTCGAGGAAAGAAGATTAAGAGGAAGCTCCGGACGAGCGAGAGCTGCGCATCAAAGGAGGGACCTTACTGGGGACCTTATTGGAGACCAAGACCAGGCAAAACCGGACTCCGGAGGCGGAATATCACGGTGTGTGTGTGTGGACGCGTGTGCGCGCTGATTGCCGTGCGTCGCTTTGCAGTTTGTGTTATTGTCCGGCTGGAGGCTGTAGGGCGGACAGGAGACACCTGTCAGTGCTGACGCTTTTCCGTCTCCAGGAATGTGTGTGTGCGCGTGTGTGTGTGTGTGTGTGCGCGCTCTCTGGGTAGGTAGGTGGCTTGTGTGTGTGTGTGTGTGTGTGTGTGTGTGTGTGTGTGTGTGTGTGTGTGTGTGTAATCCGTTATGCCCAGTCCAGAGGGAGAGCTGTATAATCCCTGCCTGTTCTATCATTTACTCTGAAAACGCGTTTTGTTGTCGGGCTGCCCGCGCTGCGCTGCGCGGTGCCCGACTCCTCTCTCTCTCTCTCTCTCTCTCTCTCTCTCTCCCCGCTTCTCTTGTGTCTTTATCGCTCTGCAAAATTAAAGCATCACAACTGAGGCAACTGAGTGCAGCAGCAGCAGCAGCAGCAGGAGCCACAAGAGTCTGTAAATCTCATCCCATCAGCGCCACATCTTCCCCTGGATGGAGCAGGTGTTGGAGAGGAGAGAGAGCATTGGTGCTCCCTCCCTCCCTCCCGCGCTCCGTCGCAGCGATCGTCGCAGGCCACCACGCACGAGCTCTTATTTGAGTGTTTTTTATTGTTACTATCACCACTCTGTACCTACAACAACTTGTGTCAGATCACGCCCGGAGTGACCGCGTTATTCCTCCGCGGACGCACTTGTTCTAGTTTTGTTTTCATTTCTCGCCATCACTCAACAGGAAAAGGGCTGGAGCAACAATAAACACAGCCCCCTCTTCTCCCCTCCCCTCTCTTCCCTGCCCCTCCCCTCTCAATCCCTTGCATCCCCATCCCCATGCCTCCCCCCCCTCCTCCCTTCGCCTCGCTCTCCCGCTATCCCCGCCCTGTAACCGCCCGCCCGTCCCGCAGGCAACACTCCGGCTTCACCGCTCCTCTCTCACAGTAAAGGGAAAAAAAAGGGAGCGTTTCGCAGATGGACCGAGCGCTCACCTCGGCTCAGGCTATTTTAAGGATTGTGCGTGAGAGAGAGAGAGAGAGAGAGAGAGAGAGCGAGAGAGAGAGAGGACGAGTGCCTAAGCAGCTCTCACATGCACGCCTGTCCGTGTCCAGTAATGTGCAAAGCGCACCGAGTATCCTCAGCGGGCGACAGGTGCATCCCTCCTGTGCTGCTCCCTCTTTCTTTCTCTCTTTCTTCGCCTCCTTTGTTTTACTTCTGAGGGGAGAACCTTCCTTTGCATTATTTCTAATTAGCGTGAGTTAGTTGAGGCTGTCTCACGCGCCCGTTTCCCTCCACTCCACACGCGCACAGCTTGTTAGGCTGGATGAGTAAACCTCTCCTCTCCTCTCCTCATTACCACCCATACACCAGTACGACCATCATCACCCTCCACCCTATCCCTCCTCCTTGTCCTCCCGCCTCTCTCCATCTCTCTCTCTCTCAATCTCCTCTCAGTATGGCATGACACAAGCAGATCGATGAATACCCATGGAGCAATGCGTGAGTAACGGGTGGGCCAAGCGTTTTATTCAGCGGCGGCCAACCAACGGCGAGGGACGCAATTAGTGGCCGGTCTTCCTTTTGCCCCGCTTGTTTTCCTCATCTCTCCTCTCCGTCTCCCCGCAGGTGACACTCCAGAGCTCCTCTGCCCCTCCTGAGGATTCAGCGAGACAGGCGGATCTGTGCGCCCAACCATGGCCTTCCCATCAGCCCCCTCCGCATTATGGAGTGTCAGCTTATTGACAGTACTATTCGCAGCTGCGGTTCACACTACTGTTGTCTACGGTAAGCACCTCTCTCTCTCTCTCTTTCTCTGCCTCTTTATCTGCCCGCTTCCTATTCTTTCTATCTCTCCGGCTCTCCCCGGGCCCCTGACCTCGCCGACCCGCTCCCTCTGTCTCCGGCGGTGCCCCTTATCTGTTGACTTGAGGCTTTTTTTGTTGTTTCCTGTATTATGACAAGGGAATCAGAGAGCCGTTAATAAGCACATGGGACACTCCCACCTCCCCGGACCCCACTGGAATTTCTGCCGTTGTTTTTGAGGAATGTGTGTGACTTGCACGTGGGCTCAGGACTCGACTCACACACACTCACAGCCCA